TGCTTGTGCCAAACCTACCGTACGTCTGAAATCTGATCTGTAATGTACCTTTCCTCCGCATACTACCTTGGCGATATTACTCATTGTTCATGTCAGAGAACAGCATAGAAATGGTGGTGTTGACGTATCAAAACATCCTCCTCCCTTGTTCTGACAACCCTTTCTGACCTGCCAGGGGCAATGCTTCGGCAAGCCCTCGGTTAAATTAATCAGTATTGCGGAGTGGAGGTACAGAATAACACTTCCACTTCCAACACTAAACTCCATGCCATGGGAGTACTTCCCTCCACCTACAACTTGTACTTACTTTCCTTTACCCCGATCGAGAGCAGTTCATAGCTGTTCGAAATTCAGAGACAGCCTTGCCATCAATACTCGGAATTCTGGGTACGGAGTCACATGTAGATCCACTCCAGTGAAACCTTTTAGCCGTAGAAGGCCGCTTAAAAGTAGGAATGCCTGGGACGCAGTATATGACAGTTCGCATATCTTATATCTGACACAGATCAACTATTCTGCGGCAACACTTCCGTAAGGAATGGTCTTGACACTCATGAGATCAACTATTCCGTCAACACGGTCGACGCCCAGCTTGACGTTCTCCGTCCAAGTACCCATATCCTTTAGAAAACCATCGACATTTTCCTGGACAGACATATCAGTCGGCTCCTGATCCCTACCGACCTGTTTAATCTGGGCACGCGCAACAACCACCGTCGTTCCAAAATCGTCCTGGTCGAGTATTGGCAAGATGGCTCCTCCACTGGAATTTTGGCCTTGGAGAAAATCTTTGGCCAGGCGGAATTCCTGGCACAAGGGACGACCCAGGCCAACGCCGTCCACGGTCTTGAGAGCATTCACCATGCCATCTAGGGTCTTGAATCCCCCGGTGATATATGTCTTTGTCTTTGTCACGGCCGGGGTGATCTTGTCGGCGAATTCGAGGAAGAAAGCCTCTCGCTTCCTAGTCGAATCCCGCTTGTGCACAAATTGTAAAGCTTGATATGTCCCTCCAGAGAGCTCTATGAAGTCAAATTCGTGCTGTTCGAGCAATAGACAGAGATCTTTGGCTTCCTCGGTGGTGAACCCATCTTGTTGGAACTCGACCGAATTGATCTTGATGCCCAAGATGAAGCCCGACGATGAGGGCAACTTCTGCCGAATTGACTTAGCAATGTCTAAAATCAGCCGAGCCCGGTTATGGAGCGAACCGCCATAGTGGTCGGAACGTTTGTTGGTGGTCTGTGAGAGAAACTGGGCCAGTAGATATCCATGAGCACCATGCAGCTGGATCCCATCAAAGCCCGCCTGGTGCAAGTATTCGGCTGCGTGAGTGAAGCGATTGACGATGTCCTTGATCTCCTCCAGCGAAGCAGCACGCGGTTTATTGAATTTCATTCCACCGAACTCAGTCTCAAGCTGAACATCGCTTGCGGACAGCGGATTGGGATCGAGGCTTCGCTCAACTTGTCTTCCTGGGTGGGAGACCTGACCGAGGACCAGGCTTCCATGTGCCTTGGCTCGTGTCGCCAACTGCTGAAATCCTTCAAAACGCTCACCCTCGAAAGTTGATCCAGGTGGAATGATCATATTGCCCGCTTTATATGAGAGTCCGACAAGTTAGCCAGATGTGCTGCCTTGTATCAAGGTATCTGTCTCAAATTACCTGATTCTAAACTATCAAAATCCACCATGATGTTGCCCGTCAATATGACGCCTATCAAACCCTCTCCCCATCGTTGGTAAACTCGAATCAACTCCTTGGAGGGGACTCCCCTGGTCTCCTTGTTTGTGGGATGCCATGAAGACAAGCGCTCAGTCAAAGCCGCTTTCATGAATCTGTTTGGAGCCGTTTTTCCACTGAAGGCGAACGTCAGGGGTTCAGCGAGAGGGCCGGGGTCCTTGATCTGAGAAGGATAACGGGCAGGCATGTTGGTGTTGAGCTCGGATCAAATTTGTATTATTCATCCAATCCAGTCAGAGCAAAGGCCTAGATGTCTACAGGCTCACATAGTCTTCATATACGTACGGATCTAGACACAGATGTATATGCAGCATGGGACCCAAGATCCGGGGAGACCATGAATGACGATTGGTTGTCTTTGTGCTTGGTACTTATATTCTGACATTACTTTCTACATTCTGACACTCGCGTTACCCTTGAACTCCGTAAATTGCATCAGAGCATGCACCCCATGAAGCTTAAACGTCTCCAAAGAGTTCAGTTACCGAACTCGCCCGCACTCGGAATCTCGGACGTGTTCCCCCGTTAGACGGATGCGGATCTTCAGTAATCGGATGAGACTTCGGACAAGAATGCGATTTGTATATTGTATACTCCGCTTCATTCATTTTGGTGTGAGTTTTGTTGTTGATTGGTAAGGATACTTATGTAAGTAATGGCGACGGCGGAGTGAACCGTGAATACAATGGTGCCGCATCCAGTGGTCTAGCTTCTTGACGCAGTGGAGCAGAACTGGTGTATTCAAGCCACGTCTGATACAATTTCCATCTAAGGAAGCAAAGGTAAAGATCAGGAGTACGTAGTATTTGCCTACCTATATAATTGACTTGTCGCTATTGGTTTTTGTTTCAATGGAACAATCCCATCTCCTCTCTTGTCTAAACATACTTACCTACAGAATATAATTAGACCTGCCTCCCTCAATACTTCATACTTCCTCAAGCATCACCGCCCAAAGAACCCCAACTAACTCGATCTCACATCACGCTACATCACAACATGTCGAAGGAGGTGCTGAACGAAATGTTTGCCCCGGCCCCTGAGCCAGCGACGGAGCTGGGACGGTATCGTGTGCTGTCCAGCACCGCTGGCGTCAGGGTCTCGCCACTATGCTTGGGAGCTGCATCCATTGGAGATGCGTGGGCTGGAGTAAGTATCATTCCAATCGCGCTTTACTCGGTTCCTGCACTTTCTTTTTAAAACCCTGGCGACTCACCGGCAACATCATGAGGCAGATCGCTAACTTGGAAGTAATTTGAAGGCCATGGGCAGCATGAACAAAGAGAGCTCGTTCAAACTCCTCGACGCCTTCTACGAGGCCGGTGGAAATTTCATCGACACTGCTGTAAGTCCTGTCCAGTCATGCCGGAAGACCTAGCCCAAAACTCTAGAGATTGCTGTAGCAAGATGGCTGTCGATAGCTTGAGGCCCTCTCAAACATCATCAGGAAATCCCTGAACAACCCTTCGAATTATATATAGTACTGACTTCCATTCTCCACCCGCTCTAGAATAACTACCAAAACGAACAATCCGAGAAATGGATCGGTGAATGGATGAGGGAGCGCGACAACCGCGACATGATCGTGCTTGGCACAAAGTATGTCATTCTTGACTGTGGCACTTGTCTACGACATTAGCATCAGCTGAATGCCGCGGGACTGTCACTGATAAGCTACCTCTTCTCCAGGTACACGACTCCGTACCGCAGCTACGAGCTCGGCAAGGGTAAGACGGTCAACTATTCAGGCAACCATAAACGCAGTCTACACATGTCGGTGCGAGACTCGTTGAAGAAGCTGCAGACAGACTATATCGACGTCTTATATCTGCATTGGTGGGTAAGTGAGTTTTCTTCCTCGTATTGTCCGACTAAAAGGGCAGTCGAGTCTGGTCTGCTTCTCTAAAAATAAGCCTCTGATATCCTATACCCTACCCCTACAGGACCACACAACCTCAATCGAAGAAATCGTAGACGCACTACATATTCTAGTCATGCAAGGTAAAGTCCTATACCTAGGCATCAGCGATACGCCAGCGTGGATCGTGTCCGCTGCGAACACATACGCACGCGAACAAGGAAAAACGCCATTCAGCGTATATCAGGGGCGGTGGAACATCATGTCGCGCGACTTCGAGCGAGATATTATCCCGATGGCCCGACACTTTGGTATGGCTCTGGCGCCCTGGGACGTCCTCGGCGGCGGTAAGTTCCAGTCTAAGAAGCAGATCGAGGAGCGTAAGAAGACAGGCGAGGGACTACGGAGCTTCATGGGCGATGCCCAATCGCCCCAGCAGGAGAAAGTGTCGGCCGCGCTTGAGAAGGTCGCAGGCGAACATGGGATTGAATCGCTCACGGCCGTGGCACTCGCGTACGTTATACAGAAAACTACGAATGTGGTCCCTATCGTTGGCGGACGGAAAGTCGAGCATCTCAGGGATAACATCCAGGCGTTGAGTTTAAGGTTGAGTGACGAGCAGATCAAGTTCCTCGAAAGCCAAACCGAGTTTGACATTGGCTTCCCCGGCAATTTCACCGGTGCAGATCCCAAGTGGACAGGTCAGTCAACTAGTATGTTGGCTATGGCGGCCCATATCAGCTTTCCCTCGCCCAATAAGCCTTATGTGCATGAGAAGTGAAGATAGACACTGCCCAGCGTTGCCATCCCAGAGGTTTTACACCCACGCCCTTGAATTGATTGTTCCCGATTGCAGCTGGATCGATCGATGGCCGACTTGTTCAACATGGGTACTTCTTTTACTCTTCGTCAGGGGGCGGCTCAACCTTGGGATACTTCACAGTGGCTTATTTACGCAGAGTTTGTGAAGAAATGGGAGTTTTCGCTCCCCGTAAACACGTCTTTTATCTTGTCAAAATGTAAATGTACTGGACTTGATGACATAGGGGCGCACGAATTTGTTGAGATTACGTTTCTACGGGCATAACAGGACCCAAGTCTAGTACCCATGACCAGTAAATGCACTCCAACCCCCCATAAACTGACAGCTATACATGAAGTTTGGGCTTTTTGTGCAAATATTTCCAGCAATATGCTCCCACGTATAGGCGTTCTCAAAGCTGGATCTTACGGGGCTTGGTGTGTGCGCATGAGGTTCTCTGATATCCTTTGCCGCGTCCCCTTCACGCTCTAGTGTCGCGATGCCTAAAATGAAACGAAGAGGTCAAATGGTCGGCCACTCCTTATTCTTCTCAATAAATCTCGAACCTTGGTTCTCAGCTCCAACTTGACAGAAATTCAGCTTCGCCGCCCAAGTCTTTCAGCCATGTAATGTACAGTTGAACCCCCCGACTCCCGCCGACCAATAGGATTAACGGTCGTTGGCTTGAATTCGCGATAGACGAAACTTCCATAAGCCTCGCTGGGAGAAACATCTTCCAAAGTCTTGGCGAGTAAGTACAGGCCTCTGTCGCCGTCACCGATAAGCAGCGATCTGCGGTCGGGCGAGAAGACGCCAGCCATGATTTCACTGTTGCCTTTGAACACGGTTGGTGCTTCAGCGTCCTGGCGGGAAAGCTTGGGATTCCAACATCGTATCACGCCATCACTGCTGCCTGTGAAGAGTCTACCGGCACCATCACCCCAGTCAGTCATCCTGACTCCGACATCATGAAGCTCTCTGTCTTGACTATTCCGATAATAGGTGAAAGGCAAGCCGTGTGAAAGTGAAAGAAGAATGGTTGAGGGTTGGCGCAAGTCCCAAATCCGAATTGATCCGTCCGTGTAGGAGGCAGATATTAGATTTTCATCTGTTTCACAAATGGTGACGTCGTTGATATCTGCGGCCTTGCAATAAAGGCGTGCAACAGGACGGTTCCATTTGAGATCGTAGACATTCAGCTGCGTCTTGTGCTTTTGCTGACGTGTCAACTCGGGGGCGGACATGGTCCCACAGACGAAGCCAGAACGGTTAGAAAACGATGCGACGGAGAAGACTTGGGTGTTGTCAGACTCTATTTTGATGGGTGATAGGCGGGATTCTGAGATTTGGAACAATGCTAAATGACCGTCATCGGAGAGCGACTCAAAGGCCGTGCTGGCCGCACTAAATCCCGCAACAAGGAAGTTCTTATTCGGTTCGGATCTGCCAAATTGAAGGCATGTTGGACTGTAGGCAAAATGGGTGCGCTTTCTCAGAGGATACATGGCGTCGTTTACAGGGAGGCCATTCCTTCCTATGTTGTGGATTAGGATAGATTTTGGTCCATCGGTGGCCCCTGTGGCAAGAAGACGATGAGTAGTCGAAACGTCCATGACCTCGACTTTGCCCGTGTGCTCGATCACACCCTCGCAGCGGGGAACGGGAGGCCGAGTGTCCCAGACACGAACAGTTTTGTCATATCCGGCAGTATATGCGTGTGTCCCATTGCTAGAAAAGCGTACAGCAGTCACAGAATAGTATTTCGGGCCCGTGACCGACCATCCTTCCAAAGGTAGTTGGTGACCGGGGAGTTGAGTCAGGACACCATCAAGAGCAGAACCAAAGACGAGATTGTGGGAACTATGGGACGTGCCATTGACGCAGGCACCGGCGATGAAATGGGTGCCGCTAGATGACCACGCAAGGGCGTTGACGTCCCAGGATGCACCTTTCCACGAAAGGGCTTTTTGAAAGATCAGTGGGTCAAAGTCAAAATCCTGGGCTGCCACTGAGTTGGCGGCTGTATCCTGGCCTCTACGCTTTTGTTTTGGTCGTTTGTGGAGGGATCGAGCGACGAAGGGCTCTGGGCTCGATGAAAGAGACATGATACTCAGGTCTCGCTTCCGCTTCTTTCGAGGCTTGTAAGCGTATTTTTGCATGACTTCCCTTGCCCACATATAGCCTCTTGCTTCGCATACATCTCGGAGTGAGCTCGACCATGCGTTACCACATGAGCCCGGTATGCGTGAGAAGCCCAAAAGTGCTAAGCCGTCCGAGACTCGCTGCCAGAGGATTGTTCTCGACGCCCCAGGTCCGAGTTCACTGAAGATGTCATGGACCAAGCTGATCTCTGCTTCGTCTATGGGCGACAACGGCATTGTTTGTGCGTTTACCAGTGGGGGTTCATCGTCTAGCCGAGTTGCAGGAATCGACGGAAGGGACTGAGGTAGGGAAGAAGGTGTCTGCGGACTTGGGTCTAGGTTGTCATACGGAGTCATGCTAAGCGAGGGACGTGTGTCAGCCGCTCTTTTTTTTCCGTGACCATGACTCGGGACTGAAGTCCAGCTGTTGATTTGATCATTGGGGGAAGAATGAAGGATCGGCGAGTTCTCTGTAGCATGACCCAGTGATGTCAGAGCTTCTGAAGCGAGCTCCTCGAGAGGCGGTGCTTGTGGCATCAGATCACCCTCGACCACAGTATTTGATTGCGGGATGAGAGGTGTTGATGCGTCGTTTTGTAGGATATGGGGTGTCGAGGCATGTCGCTGGGGAATTTCCAGTGTCGAGGCATCTTCCTGCAGGATGTGAGGTGTCGAGGCATCTCTCTGAGGGGTTTCCAGTGTCGAGTTGTCGTTCTGTAGGATATGAGGTGTTGAAGCATCTTTCTGCGGGATTTCCAGTGTCGAGGGGTTAACTTCAATAGTCTGATCTCGAACGACTTCCACAGTAGAGTTGATCGATGCTACGACGGTGATGTCTGAGTAGGTAAGGAGGGTTGGTACCGCACGAGGTCTTGGAGGTGGAGTGGGAGGCGATCTGTCAGCGCCATGGATTTCGTGGTGGCTTTGGGCTTGCTGCTCGACACCTTGAATGGTAGAGTGAATGGAGATAGGGCTGAGGATAAGCTGGGTAGGAAGATGAGTGGAATCGGCTGGGTGAGAGGAGTGTGTAGAGGGGGCCTCTGTAGAGTCGTTGGACTGGCTATCGTCTAGACATAGATCATTAAAAATCACACTTGTGATATGGGATCTCGCATCATTACGATAATTGAACTCGGCCCTATTGCGGCGATTGATCGAGTTGGTGAGATTTTGCAACTCTGCTTGTGTGTCGATGACACGACGTGAGATCTTGTGTAAATTTGCTTGCGAATTGGATTTTGCATCAGCAAGCCGGCGAGAGATCTTGTCCAACTCTGCTTGCGAATCGGTATTTGCATCAATAAGGCGGCGAGAGATATTATCCAATTTTTGGCTGAACTGATGGAGCTTTGTGGCCACATCCTCATTGTACTCGATGTCTTGATTCATTTGATCGGCAAGGCTGTCGAGAAAATTGAGAGATTCTTTGCGACGGTTGATCTTGGACTGTGATGACATGATGGAAGGAGGTAGGTTCATGTGGTCGTTGCTTAGGCTGAGATCAGAGAATGGATCGAAAGGCGACTAATAAGGAATGTGTGAAAGGAGGGGAAAAAGAAAAGCAGATAAAATGAAAAGGCGTAACGGGTCGCCCCTGCTCGTGTATGTGGTTGCCAGATGATGTAGAAGATGGGCAGAAGATGGCAAGAACGTAGTCTGAGGTTAGAGGGAATGCAAAACAGGAAGCTGCGAGTGTAGACAGTTCAGGGGGAAGGTAAGATGGAAAGAGCAGAGGAGGAGAGACTTTATGAGAATGATCAGAAATGATCAGATCCAAAACAAAAAAGGACAAGACGGTGATTTCCAAAGGTTTCCAGAGGTTTGGCGATACTTTGGTCCTGGGATAGAGACTCATCTGGCAAGGCTCCAAAACCTGGACCAACTTGCCGACAAAGATATACGAGAATGTTGTGCATGAAATACTAGGTACTAGGTACCTCTTACCAACCTGGCTAGCGACGGGAAGAAACAACATTGTGATCCTTGGAAGGGAAAGCAGGATTGAGAGAGCGGCAACCTCAGACAAGAGACTGCTGTCTATCACAACTGTGACCAGGAGGTGCCAGGAATGTTACTGGCCATCTCTCCTCGCTTCTGTCGTGGCTGTAACTAGCGCCTGGGAAGGTCTCGCGGGTCCACGGCTGCTCCCGTTTGGGGGCTGCGGGGGGCGCGAATTAACTGGCGAATTATGCACGAGTTTGGGAGGAGGTGGGGCCCGAAGGGCCTCGGAGAAAATGCGGTCAGCACGCATTCAAATGGGCAGGTGCCCGCGCACATATACCTGCCAGTCGTGCCTGCCACATGCCTGGTCATCCGACCCCGTTAAAAAGTTCAAAAGGGGAAAAAGCCATGCATTGCGTTGGACCCAACTTACGAGAACTCGTACATGTTCCTTGTAAGCCCCACTGGAGGAGAACTGTGTGGGCACTGTGCAAGCAGGGGAGATTCCAAGGGTCAATACACGCAGACTCGGATGCATGCGTACGGAGTACATACACATGTGGACGTAGCCTCATGATCATACCGTGCATATGTAAACAACCTCAAAGAGCATGCTCGACGTTGACAAGAGCAGGCTGTGACAACTTGCCAACACACCATGCTTGGAGTACGGAGAACAGGGGTATAGCTCGAGGACTCTCGCTTACATGCCCGGAAATTCGGGTAAGGCATCCCGCCCGTTACCAAGTCAATGGGAGTCGTATTGCCCCTATGATAGAGGGGTCGGTTGCCTTGCATGAGGCTGGAGAGATACAGTATGGAGCACTCCAATCTCTCCGAGTCGATCGACGATCAATGGTCGATTTTCAAGGAAAAGTCGACATGAGACACACCCTGATGGACAGCACTTGTCGAGATAATGTCAATGTCTTGCTTATGTTAGCCACTCGTCCAACTGCGCTGCACGTCAATGCTTCACCACACTCACCATTGTTGATGTATGCCCCTACGTTCGCTTCTGTCAGACCGCCACTGCTTTCCAACAAAACATTCCTCTGACCTCTCCAGCGCTCCTTCAAACTTCTCGCCGCCACCTTGAGCCCGGGCCCGTCGAAATTGTCCAGCATCACCACATCCGCTCCGGCTTCGATCGCTTCGTCCGCTTCCTCCTCAGTCTGTACCTCGACCTCGATTTTTAGCGCGAACCCACCGACTGCCCTCGCCGCCTTGACCGCATTGGTGATGCTGCCCTTGGCCCAGATGTGATTGTCTTTGAGCATGATCATGCTGCTCAAGTCATGGCGATGTCCGTCGATGCCACCCACCAACATACCATACTTCTCCACTAATCGGAACCCGGGGGTGGTCTTTCTCGTCCCGGCCAACACCCCAGTATAGCCTGCATCTCGCACCAGATTGAGCATTTTTCGGCTCTTGGTCGCCACCCCACTGCATCGAGCCAGTGTGTTCAGAGCTACCCGCTCGCCCAGCAACAGCTTCCGCGTGGGACCTGTCACCGTGGCGACCTTGATTTTACCCCCAAAGTTGTCGGGGTCCAGGTAGGATCCCTCATTGTAATGCCAGGTCACGGTACAGTCAAGCTGTCGGAACACTTCGTCAAAGAAGGGAACCCCAGCGAGCACTCCGGCAGATTTACACAGGAGCTGGGCTGTCCTTGGTGAGGACCCTACCACAAAGCCTCCATAGTCAAACGATGGCGTGTCTTCGGCCAACCAGCTGGTGATGTCAGTGGTGAAGTGGGAAGGGAGCAAGTCTGCTAGGGTCCCGTGCGAGTGGCTGGCAGAGGTCGGGAGAGGAAGGTCGACCGCCGTGGGAGGTGTCCCCTTTGATCCTGCCATCGCAAATAGACAGGCTGACCAAGATGAGGCTCGTTGCTTGGTACTGGTGGGATGCACAGTAGTACAGCCTGCGGTCAGGAAAAACGCAGGCAAACGCAGGCAAACGCAGGCACCGCAGCCGGGCATCTGACTGTTCGCACCTTCCCACCATAAGATGGAGGGGTCGCGGCTCACCTTCCAAGTTCAGGTCTCAACGCTAACCCGAAACAGTAACTTCGCCGAGAACCCCGGGATCATCGTGTACCCTCAGAGAAACTCTCATTCTTTGCTATTCTCCCATAAGGCCTTCAATCTTTTGAACGCGGGCAACCGAGGTTGAAGTTGAAATAGTCTCCACAATAGTCAGTCTGAATTGTACCTTAGGTAATTGTTCATTTTCGAGTCTGGGGGTGCGGCAAGATCAAGCCATTTCTAACCGCCTCTTGCCATATCTAAAACAGAAGGACTTTTTCTACCTGTAGTGTCGATGCTGGATATCTCAGGTCTCGCTAGATATCATGAACCTGCTTTGACAGAGCATTATAATCGTCAACCTGGTCAATTGTGTGCGTTTGACTGCCCCTGCTGACCATGCTCGAAAGCCTCTGATGGCAATGCTAAGGGATTCACAAACCATCAGATATGACAGTCCATTCCTTGTTCAAAGTCTATACGACCTAGAATATAGGTTCCAAGTTGATTTTCCTCAATGCATCCTTATTCAGAACCTCCTTTCACCGTCCATACAAGGACTTCCATCGCGGTAAGAAAAAATTTCTCAGATTCATCAACCTCAGGGCAGTCCATTCACGACGAGAAGGACATGCTCATGACAAGACGGAGTTGGCCAACAAGTGTGAAAGTAATAGAATTCGTGCATCTTTCAAGATAACCGCGAGTATCCAGACATCCGTAAGTCCTCGGCTACCACCTAACTCCTATGCACGGATAGATTCATACACCCTGTCGAAATACTTATCAAAACTCCCAGCGTTGCATTCAAGACCAAGTCCAATCCAATCAAGAGAGGGGTTTCTCCAATTGACAAGAAGCAACCCTGCAGGTCTGACTGGCTGTCCTTTTGCCCAGGATGTATCCGTCAAGAAGCAAGGCTATCTAGACCTCACACACGGCCTTCCCGCGACGGACTGGCCGGGTGAGGCGGAAGGATCTTCTACCATCGACATTGGTGGCAAGGTCACTCAGGTGGGTCACGAAATGCCGGTTTTCCAGACGGTAGCATTCCCTCCCGCTTATCAAACCACAACCTGGTCCCCCATTCAACGTGGGCATGAATGCAATTGGGTCAAAATGCTAAGCAATTCAAACGACTTGAATTAAGCTTTTGATGATCTACCAAGCACTTGCTCGGCGTAGCTTGGTTATCCGACAATCGTGGAGCCACTGATATCATCTCCATTGTTTTTTCACAAACCATATCACCGTCAGGGATCTTTGGTTCTCCACGACAATGTAACGCCCATATCTTAGTTTGGGGGGCGTTGACCTCATGTTACAATCATTAGGTGATCGCGTCAATACCCCCCCTTGACCAGCATACCGACATTCCAGCATCAACCAGATTAAATACTTCACTCTGATCACCATGGCATCATTAACATCTTCTACCAGCTTCTCTTTGCCCACGTCTTGTCCTTCTTGTTTTATACCCTTCCAACGCTGTTTAAAATGGCCGAACACGAATCAGACGCATCTCGGTACGTTGATCCACCAGATACGGTGTCAAAACCTTTCCACTAACCTATGTTATCTTGTAGTCTCCACGCGGAGGTTGAGCAGGAGCGGCGAGCATCTGGAATCGACCAGAAATACTCAGAAAAAGATGTGATTGAAGCCAATCAAGATCATGACTCTGTCAACGACTATGAGGCGGAACTCAAAGAGACTCCCATCGGTGGGATCCCCACAGCATACGAGAAATCGACCCTGAGACACGTTGGTGAAAGTCTCCCTTACTCAGTCTTCCTGGTGGCCATCATCGAACTATGCGAACGTTTCACCTATTATGGATGCCAGGGCATTTTCCAAAACTACATCCAGAAGCCCCTTGACGGCAGTCTCGGCCGCGGTGGTCTGGGTCTGGGCCATCAGGGCGCCACCGGCCTCAGCACATTCTACACCTTCTGGTGCTACACCACTCCTCTCCTCGGTGGTATCATCGCCGATCAATATCTCGGAAAGTACAAAACCATCTTGACCTTTGCCGGCGTCTACATGGTCGGTCTGCTGATCTTGGTGTGTACCTCGATCCCCAGCTCGCTTGCCAATGGCGCTGGTCTCGGAGGTTTCATCGCCTCCATCTTACTCACCGGCTTGGGCACTGGTGGCATCAAAGCCAACGTCGCTCCTTTGATCGCCGAGCAGTACACTCGCCGGACCATGGAAGTTAGCATCACCAAGAAAGGTGAAAGAGTGGTCATTGACCCCTACGTCACCATTCAGAGAATCTATATGATTTTCTACTGGACCATCAACATTGGCGCTCTATCTCTGCTCGCAACGCCATGTAAGCATTCCCCTTCCCTTCCCGCTCCTCTAACCTAACCATCCTACAATTCTCATCAAACCCCTATACTAACTAATATCCTCACAGACATGGAACGCGACATTGGATACTGGTCCGCCTTCACCCTCTGCATCTGCATGTTCGCCGTCGGCGTCACCGTCCTAGTATTAGGACGGAAGATGTATGTGGATCGACCACCACAGGGAAGCATTGTGACCGACTCATTCAAAGCCGTTGGCATGATGATCCGCCATCGAAGCATGAACGCACCGAAACCATCCTGGCTGCGCGAACATGGCATCTCCAAGACCGTGGCATGGGACGACCATTTCGTCAATGAACTGACTCGAGCTCTGACGGCATGCAAGGTCTTCACCTTCTACCCGATCTACTGGGTCGTGTACGGACAATTCTCCAACAATTTTGTGACACAAGCGCTACAGATGCGCGGACATGGTATTCCCAACGACTTGATGCAGAACTTTGACCCTATTGCCATTATCGTCTTCGTGCCGATTCTCGACAGGCTGGTCTATCCACTACTTCGCAAGTATCGCATTCCATTCAAGCCCATCAGTCGAATCGTGGTCGGTTTCACTGTGGCGTCGTTGGCCATGATGTATGCAGCCATTGTGCAGCATCTCATCTACAGCGCCGGCCCATGCTATGAGCATCCACTATGCGACGCATCCATCGACTCGTCCGGCACCGCACAGGGCAACAATATCCATATCGCCGTTCAGACACCCGCGTACATGTTGATCGGTATCTCTGAGATCTTTGCCTCGGCGACAGGCTACGAGTACGCCTACACCAAGGCTCCACCACGCATGAAGTCCTTTGTCCAGTCCTTGTTCCTGCTCACCAACGCGTTTGGCTCCGCTCTCGGCGAGGCTTTTGTGCCTGCTGCCTACGACCCAGCCATTCTGTGGATGTATGTTGGTCTTTGCATCGGCACTTTTGCAGTCGGTGTTCTCATCTGGATTCTCTTCCATAACCTCAATGACAAGGAAGAAGAAATGAATTATATCGAAGGTGATGTCTTGCCGGATGATCCAAACCGCAGACATTCCCACATCACGGCATAACGGATCAACTATCAGACAAGCAAGCAATTTTAGTCTGCTGACTGACTCTGGTGATTGCTCAAACTCAAGCAGATTATAGAATAAAACGCTGGATCTTCATTACTATATTTAATCTCCACCCATGAAATATACGTACTTGATTGTCCAGCTTTCAAGCCTATATCATCATGATGCCCACGATGTCTCCATCTGGGCGAGCTTTGGAATGCACATGATCGACAATGGTACAAAGATACTACTTGCCGCCTCGTAATACTATATCGTCAATCATATCCAACAAAAGTCATACACATAATGGCATCAGATCTTGCTGCGCCATGCTATATTTTTCAATGCCATAATATGTCCCAGCAGGGGAACGACATTTCAAATCCCTCTTGTGATCAATTAGTAAACGCTATGTTTTCATTTGTTGATGCATCTCCCAATTCGTCAATAGCTTCCCCACCGCCTTAAAGCTCACGGGCTTGGTCAAGTAAAGGTCGCACCCTGATTCGAATCCTTCGGCCTGGTCTCTGCCACTAGCAAGACCCGTCAATGCAATGATAAGCGATCCGGGAACCCCAGGACGCGTTGCCTCCACGTCTCTGATTGCTCGAGTTGCCTCGAACCCGTTCATGACAGGCATAGATATATCCATAAAGATAATTTGGAATGGCCGAGATGTCGACGTAACCATGTCGACGGCCTTTTGCCCGTCATCCACACATACGATATCTGTATACTTCCGTTTATTGCGGAGAAATGTCTCCAGGAGCTTCAGGTTGATAGTATTGTCATCCACCACCAGGATTCGAGGATTGTCCGTTCTGACGTCAATCTTGTTCGCTATAATCTCGGTAGCTGGTGTTTCTGGTGGCGTGGCTGGAACAAGTGGTGCCGGTCGATGCGGCAGACTCGAAGGCTGTAAAGCGCTTTGGCCCGGGAACGGGTATTCATCGTTTCCGGACTCTGCGAGATCTTGCTTGGGTTGATCGATCGACGGATCGCTGATCGCCATTTGTGCTCGTTGACTCACCTGTGATGCTGCTAATGTCTCCGTCGCCTGAACCATCTGCGACGCTTCGTCGAAACCTGGATTATTCAAATCCATCTCCTTGAGATTATCCAGATCGCCCTCCGTAGCCAAGCGGTCACGGGAATTGTCAACTTGCGTAGCTTCTGCTTGCTGCTGCTGCTCATCCAGAGCATCTGCTACCTCGTGGTCAAGTGCAGTTTGGCTCACCCCCGCCAGTCTGTGCATTGAAAGTTGGACTGCTTTGGCCAATTTGTACGGGCCGCAAGGTTTCGAAACGAACTCGACTGGTCCAGAGATGCGATGCTGAAGCTTCGAAACATAGGATGTACTGTGCCTGCTAACCACAGAACATAGTACAATCAGAATACGCGTTGCATTCGAGCTGGGACCAAACGCCGTGAGAAGCTCATCGAGATCATCTTCCTCGACAAGAATGATCTGGGCGCTATACAGATGCTCCCGGTTTACCAACCGAAGTCCGTACCAGTCCTCTACGTAATTGGAGAGAACATGAGCAAGCATGTCGCGCTTGGAGAAAAGGCGAGGGCGGAATATGAGAACAGGCGTGTCGATGGAGATGCTTTGCAAATTCTGGACGACCTCATCACCGAGAGAAGAACCAGAATTGGTGGTGCCCGAATTGGGCGCCGTGTTTGTTGAAACCTGTCCCGGAAGAGGTCGCTTTAGAGGTAGAAAGACTTGCATAGTAGTACCCTGGCCAACCACACTCTTGACGTTGATTGTACCACCAAGCATGGTGACGATGCTGTGAACAATAGACAAACCCAGTCCTGTACCGGGCGCAAGTGAATTTTCCTGCGCGAAAGGGAGGAATAGTCGTGAGGACATGAACTTTTGGGAAATCCCACATCCTGTATCTTCGACAGTCAGGAGCATAGTTTCGTGGTCAGTCTCTTCCGGGGCATTGTCGATAAGCTCAAGCTTCACGATGATATGGCCACTTTTGCAGTATTTCAGGGCGTTTCCCACCAGATTTTGAATGATTCTTCGCACCGCACCAGGTTGCGTCATAAAAGTCCAGTCCGCGTGTTGGATATCAATATAGAGATCAACGTCGTTGTCCTGGTCGTCCGCCGGGCTCATTTTTCGTTCTGGTCCCCTACCTCGTGCAGTTCGAGATAAATCAGTCATGTCAAGGCCGGATGATATGTATGTGTGACCAAGGATTAGGCCATCAACAACTTCTTCCAGCACCACAGAGATGCTTGTGACTCCCAAGAGCTGCAGTAGAGGCGGTGCACCTGACGTGAAGGGTTTAGAGGCCCCGTCAATGTTTGTTTGCAACTTTCGCGTAGCCTTGTGGTGCGGCTTCTTCTGGGAACTTTGCCATTGCTTTTGAAATGTATTGATCTTAGAATAGTCCAAGACGTGATTGATGGTATCCAACAATGTCTGGCCACAGCTCCGTACCGTTTCGACTAAAGTCTGCTGAAAGCTATCCAGCTCGGTTTCAGATAGAAACTCGGTACTGGCAAGTATTCCATGAAGAGGAGACCGCATTTCATGTGATATGGTTCCCACAAAGTCGTCCTTTTGCTTGTCTGCTAAAATTGTGTCGATTCTACTGCATTCGGCCATGAGCGTGCTGCAGAAGGAATTGATGAAGCTTAGATCGGTGCTGGTGCTCAGGCTCCGGACTTCGAGTTTTATCGTCACAAAAACAGCATGGGCAAAAGTTCCAAGGCTCGGACTCCATATTGGTGCAAATAGTAACTGTCGCGCGTCGGGAAAGGCGGACTGGAGTATCTTTTTCTCCATTTTGCGTCGTGGGCTAACTTTTTTGATAGGTCGTGGGGCAAAAGTTGGATCATCATCATCGGAAGAGGAGCCTCTGTAGTCGTCAAAGGACCAGACAGTTCCACCAGGATAGCGGCTAACCAAGCTGTGAAGTGTTTGGTCAGTTACTGAGCATCTTGGGATCGCTGGTTTTGCTTCAGAGGAATCTAGTTTCAGTGATGAGGAGGCTAAAATGGATGCGACAGAGTAGTCTTCCGAAGACTGGATCGGGCTCGAAATGCTTTCGGAATTCTCGTTGTAAGGGCTATTCGGGTTCTGGCGCGGAGACTGCAATTCCGTGGGACTTGTTTGGAAGGACTTGGATCTGTGATGGGCTGAGTGCTGCGCGGCAGTACCCTTCAAGTTGACGAAAACAACGGCGGCGTCCTGGTCAAACTCTCCGAAGGCTTCTCTTAATATGTTGGCAGCACGGGCAAGTGTTTTGGTATGTGAACGTGAGTCCAACTTATCTTGCTGGTCGATCGAGTTATCGGGACCTTCTGAAGAAATGCCTTCATCTGAAGCAGACTCGGAAGGTCTGCCGCCTGGAATGTTTGCCGCTTCGCCAGGAGCAAGCGACGGGCGACGATCAGTATGGCTGGAGCGGGATCCTCGATTCTGCTCTCGGTGTTCTTGTAAACTGTTTCTGCCGGCGATGAATGCATTCATGCAATGGGCCATACGGCGTGATCGTCTACCCTCGATGGCTTCTCGGTTTGTCTCTAAATGGGTCATGATCTGACGGGCCGTTGTGTAGAGAAAAGCTTCCTCTTGCTGCGTTAATCTTTCGCGAACATTGGTGTCCATAACGCTCAGGCTTCCGATATTTATTTGGTCTCTGGTGGTAATGGGAGTTCCTGCGTAGAATCTATAATAGGGCGGCCCTGCGACGACGGGAACTGAGGCAAATCGGGATGCGCGCATGTCGGATATTTGGAAGGTGGGTAAGCGGCCTTCTGGAGCGAGAGGGTTGAGAGCGATTGTCATTTCACAGACTCTGTCCTTTGAAGGCATAGATGCACAGCTAGACAAGATGGGATCCTCAGTAAACTCGAAAGTGGAGAAAGTGCGATCTCCATGAGGCTCTTGACACGCTTCCGCTAAAATGTACATGGTATCACGGTCGATAAAGCTGAGCATGACCTTGGGTACATTGCAGCGGAGAGCGACAAGTTGGCAGTACGGCGTCAGAGATGAGGACAATTTCGGTAGGTGTTTCTGCTGGTCCGTGAAGAAGGTATTGGCCGATCGTGACTGAACCTGATCGACATCTTGTGGTTCGAGATATCTGTAAAACTCCCTTGCTCTTCTGATCGCATCGGCAGGCTTCTCGGCTCTGATATCAGGCTCGGGGATGGGAGTTTGAGGCGGCATTGTTGGGATACCTGGGAACGAACGGCAGGGAAGCCCTTATTGGACAAACTTCAGGATCTTGCGATGCGCATGGCCTCAGTTGAAGAGCACTTGAAGTTCAGGTCTTCACAGTCGCGCAAAAGCAGTATGAGAATGAGGGTGTCTGTCGTGTACGGCACGTGTTGCGGAAAGGATCTGATTCCAATATTGCGGCGGCGCAAGCCAAGGTTGGTGAGGAACTAATCCGGGCACGTCCCACGTGGAGGGCGTAGCCCAACTTGTGGCACCTTTACGGAAGTAATATCCTGGGGGATATTGCCTCGGAAAGAGTGGCGGCTCCTTGGCTCATGACAGAAGCCATGGCGGCTTGTCTCTGTCTTTGTCCGGATATGGGCGCCCCGGGGGCACCGGAACTCCCTGGGCAGAGTCCAGGCCTGCTCAAGCTTTTAAAGTCCAGCACAAGGTTTTCGATGGGCAGAAAGTGGGAGACAGATCGAACCTTACACCTAGATCGGCACTTGTCTTTGTAGGCATCGCCTCGTGTGGCTCTAATATTTCAGGTGGCGAAGTCGACACACTAGAAGAAGAAAAAGATGTCATTATGTGATTCTGGAGGTTTTGGAAATGTTGAAAAAATTGATTGTGTTGAGCGAGATTCTTTTTGTGTGTATGGGAAGGAAGGAGGTGCAGACGGCAGGAGCGATGCTAGAGACTATAAAGTAAAGAAGGGAAGGCACGACTTTGCACATCGACTCCTGACAAGGAAAGCACGCGCTGACCGAATCAGGTAAGAGGAATTCCATGCTTGATGTTTATACAAAGTCCTCTGCATGTATCGTAATCAGGAATGCATCAAGTACCTAGTAGTAATGCCATTAAGATCACATAATAAATAAATGGAACCACCGATGAACGCTAGGCCCGGCATCACTATAGAAGACATATTAGGCTGTCACCCCCCGGGCATTCTCCTTTTCAAACTCCTCCTGGTCAACCACACATACAGCCTTGCCACTCATCTTTCCAGAGTGGGCCAATTCGACCATCTTGGGCACCTCTTCCAGCCCATAAAACATATTCGTTTCCACTTTAATGTTGTGCTTGGAAGCATCATTCAGCATTTGTTGACTGTATTCCTGCCCAGCGATCAAGGTGCCTTTGATCCTGATGTCGCGAAATACCAATTGTTGAAAGGCAACGCTGACTTGATCCGGCTGCGCGGCCTGTACCATGGTTCCATGCATTCTGGTGACATTGCAAGCTAAATCAGCTGAAGTCTCATGCTCACTGACGTTGATTGAAGCATGCACTCCAAGACCATCGGTTAGTTGTCGAACCTGTTCGCTAACTTTGTTGGTCCCGTCTCTTACGTCCAAGACGTGCTTCGCTCCGGCCTTTTTGCACAACGCAATCCCTTCGTCCCGCGCATCGATTGCCACGATGTTGATCCCCAGTGCAAGGCCAAATTGGATGCCGAGGTGACCGAGGCCACCGCCGGCGCCGACAATGGCCAGCCAGTCACCCCTCTGGACCTCGCTTACAACAATGGCTCGGTAGATGGTGCATCCGGCGCACGCCAGTGGTGCAGCACTTGCAAAACTGACATTGTCGGGGATATGACAGGAAGTGCGACTGTCCGCAACGTGATACTCTGAAAAGGCCCCATCAACCATGACTCCAATGTGGCCCTCTAGGTGTTCACAGTACTGATGCCAGTCGTTGGGTCCTGTGCAGTTGTAGCATTTCCCGCAAGGATTCTTCGGCAGACCCGACATGACTCGCTCGCCGACCTTGAAATTGGTCACCTTGGAGCCAACTGCTTTGACGACTCCAGTGCCTTCGTGGGAAGCAGTGCAAGGTAACTTGATGGGAAACTTCCCAGCAACCACCATCGAGTCTGTGTGGCATAGCGACGCCACGACCGTCTTGAGAAGGATCTCGTATTCTTTCAACTCTGTCGGTGTTTTTACCTTATGGATCTGATATGGCTTGTTGAACTAGATGCCATTGTGTATGAGAAAATATCTAGATAATGAACGAGCAACTCCTACCTCTGTTACCTGCACTGCAAGCATCTCTTCTGGCACTCCTTCGATCATCATTGCAGATATCTTGTATTTTGGGCGTAGGCAAGGGAAGCACTTTAGACCTGACTTTACTGTGACGATAAAACGTAGCACCGAGAACGTTGATGTCGAAATGTATTTCTCCCCACCACATTTACCTCTCACGGTTTTATTTAAACTCCGTTATTATTGCCGTCAATTATGACGTTGCCACGAGGGTATCCCCGGGTGTATGCGTACGAATACTTAGTCATCATGCTTCCACCCCCGCCTGTTCTGGGCTTTGTCCAGTAGGTACTCGAGCCAATGAAGCACAAAGAATGTGTAGCCAGATCTGTCGTGGGAGAGAAGTAAACAAAGGGCTGCAATCAGATGGAACGAGTGATGTGACTACCAATGAAGCAGAGATAATGTCAAGCCCCATTTGTTGAGGCATACTTTTATGTTAGAAGCTCGCTGAATATTCCATCTGAAGAGGTCTCGATTGCCTATCTAGAGTTCAGGAGCTAAATCTCATTTCTGGGGTTGAGCCTGTCCATCTTCACGTCCCTTGTTCAAATTCCAATCTACGAAGTAGACAATCTTGGAATCTTGGCCAAACCCGAATCCCTTTGTTTCTTGACAAAGTCTAATCCGAGTGAAGTTTCTTGTCGAGGAGCTGGTGGCCAACTCATTCTCATGGCCATGAAAGCAGATTGCATATCGAAATATGGCAGTATTGGACACCATCTGTCAAATTGCCGCTCAAGATAATTGCATACAATTACGGCATGTGAAGCTACCCCCACACCAAGCATTCGCCATTCACGATAGAGCAGTGGCCAGTGCGAACTCATCAAGCCTGTCGCATTGTTGCCATGTTCCCTTAAAGATATCCATATCAACCAATATTCTGCATGCGTCCTTTCCTAAACCATGAATCTCCTCTTGATGCTCTTTGTTGAGGGTTTGCCCTTGCTGTCCCTGATTTGTTTTCAGTTTCAAAGACAATTCCTTTGTGGCTCATGCCGTCTTCATCTGCTTTACGCATAAGGACACGGTAAGTACTGGCAGGCTACCGCTCCTCTTTCATTTCAGTCTTGAGATTTCACTTGCTCAAGGTATCTTGTCTGTCATTAATCGGCCTTCCTATTGTCGCTGAGCCACACAGGTAGGACAATAACACTTACTGCCAAAAGTTCCAGAAAATGGCATCTCCTCAAGACGTACCCGATTTTGACAACTTCGCATTTACCCTGCGACAAGCTTCAGACAACTATAAGCTTCGAACGCCACGGTCCGAAGGAGGAGATCTTGATGATGAATGGTACGAGCAGCGGATGCGACGGGGGGCCTGGGGCAACCCTCGTCGTATAACGCCACAGGAATTCATACGACGATATCCAATGATTGAGGACAGTGAGGAGTTAGACAAAGAATGGGGTCCAGTCAGACTATTGGGCCAGGGCGGATATGGCCTTGTTGGACTCTGGGAGAAGCGCGACATCAACAATAAGACAGTCGATCGAGTCGCAATCAAACATGCAAACGTCCTCAATAACAAGGGCCTATACCTGGGTGATTCGCCGCCCCTTCTGAAAGAAGCGGTTGTCCACCACGACCTCAACACCAAAAATGCCGATGTCTTCCCCTGGCTGCGCAGATATAAATATCACCCGGGCCAGAATCCGTCGCTGTATCGGTTCAGAGTTCCTCGCACACAGCGGATGTACCTAGAGTTCTGCGAGCACGGCGACCTTGATAGTTTGCGTTCCAGATATCGCCTCTGGGACCAACATCTGCCAGAGCTCTTTATATGGCGAGTCTTCCACCGATTAGCAATGGCAGGTGATGCGTTGCATGAGCAGCCTCCACCCAAGAGCCTGGTTCTCAAACATCTACTGAAGGATCGCGCTGATGCGATGGCTAAACACGACGAAATAGCAAAGGCCCAAGCGGAGAGACGCCGTCTCAACAAGCCTTTATCAGACGCTGCTCGTTTAAAGGAAGAGGAGAAGCTCTATGGAATTATGCTGCTTACAGAGAAACCTCACTACGATCCGAACACGGAAACGAAACAATTTGACTTTCAGCACTACTATACCCTGCACTTGGACATCAAGCCGAAAAACGTCCTGCTTGCAGACCCCAATTGGCCAGGCAAGAAACGCTCGCATCATGAACAGCAGCAAACACAGACCGCCGAGAGATCTGGCGGTACTACTCAAAGCGAGGATCAAGACTCGCCTGGGAATCGAGCTACGAAAAGGCCCCGAACCTCCAAGACACTGGCCGACAACGAAGAGCCTGATCGTGGTGATCTATACGACCCCGATTATCCATTGGCCAAAATGAGTGACTTCGGTATCGCCGAGTACACGACATACTTTCACCGTGCCAACCCTGATCTATACTGGACACGTGGGACAGAAAGCTTCAAAGGACCGGTAAGACACCATTTTCTCCATCAATCTTGATGACTTGACAAACACATTTTCTTTGTCTACGTAGAGACTTGCTGACTATATTGGGGTTTCTGACAGGAACAAATGGGTTACGGTGCCAATTGGAATACTCCTCCAACCGGAGCTGTGATACGGGAAATGCGCTGGGGCGAGAACGGTCAAGTAGAGCCCAATTCTGACACACAGGCTTTTGAGCTCCAGAGAGACGATGGCCAGCGCGAGATTGTCTTTGATCACTCACTGAATGTAAGTTTCTCAAATTGAGCTGTGCTGTTAACTCGTCTTTGATTTCGTCTTTTTCGTGCTCTTTCACAATGCTGTTGGCAATTCGATCACTGACACGAGGCTTCCGTTCTATCTAGATCTATGGCATTGGACGTACCATGTACTCGTTGGCGACGCTCGCAGACGACTATGAATTACACGGGGACCCGAAACGAGGGTTCGCCGAGCGACGGGCGGTGAACCCCCAGCAATACAAGGCATGCTACCACCACCAGGTCCGGCGTGTGCGGACAATGCTCCCCAAGACGTACAGCCCACGACTACGACACTTGATCTGGCGATGCATTGATCCGAATCCGGCCAACCGACCGTCGCAATACGAGTTGCGTGACCGAACCAGGCGCGGCCTAGAAATGTTCGTAGAGAAATGCAGGCAAGAGGACGACGAGACCATCCTCGATGTGTCCGATCAAGAGAACAACCCAAACGCCAAGCCCCCTCGTCCGTCTCAGAAGCTCTTCTACCGCGGCGTTGAGATCAACAACATGCCTCGTGGCCAGGCGAACTTCCCTCTTCGTTGGAACGATGTTCGTGAAGCTTTCCGTGACGAATTTCTCAACCCTGACGTTCCCCGTCTTCGCATTCCTCCTGGCAAATTCGATCCTCTGAGACCAGAGAATCCAGAGGCGGCCGCAGAATTCGATAAAGAATTGGCTGGCAAAGGCCCTCTATGGAAGAAGTGGGAGTCTGGTAATGTCACTAACAACAAGTGGTTCAAGGACGGCCTTTGATGACCCCAGCCCGCCAAAGTGATGCTTTCCTGTGTTGTCACCTGAAGCTGTCTGTCGTGGGACAAAGGTTCATGAATTGGCTTTTGGAACAGGGATGATTCACCCTCTTAACCCTGATCGGGGAGGATGGCCTGAGACTTCCACCTTCAAGCCCTCAGTGTCAGTCTTAATCTTGTTTGCTGGCTAGGGAGGAAAGCTAGCTGGCGCGCCTGCTTGTAAAACGATATCTAGTCTGCGAGACTGAAGACTGCGGGACCTCAGATGCTCGTCACTTGGTGTGGAATTCATTTTTTTTTCTTTGGGCGTTTAGAAAGAGGGGGCTATTGATTCTTTCTTATTCAAGTATCCCTGAAAATTGCTAGTTCACTAATCATCACTGATCGCATTCGTTGCGACGTGTAATTCATTACATCTCTATGCTATGCTTACAAGTCTTTCTTTACGTCTCGTGTTGTCTATCTTGCGGCTGCTGCGCGCATATTGTGATTCGAAATAGGTGCGGACCTTGTCCTACGACAAAGTCAAACAAAGCTGTCATCGCATCTTTCGTCACGCCCTCCTTGATCCATCGGCTGGAAACTCGTCCGTAACGATAAGGCGGGTATTGACGTTCATACTTCCTAGCTCGTGGAGTAGGAGTTTGAATGCATATGGTAACGTCATTCGAACAACGTTGGCCTCCAAATCACCCGCATTGGTACAACGCTGACAGACTCGTCCAAAGGCCATAAAGCCACAAGACTCGCACACATCAACTTCATGTTTGTCGCTGGATAGCATGAGTCGTTCGCGGAGTAATTGCGAGGCACCGTAGGCGATGAGGCAATCTCGTTCCATCTCTCCCAGACGAAGGCCACCATCTCGAGACCGACCTTCTGTTGGCTGTCGAGTCAAGATTGCCCTCGGGCCACGGGATCGGCTATGCATTTTGTCTTGAACCATGTGCTTGAGTTTCTGGTAGTAGATGGGACCAGTAAAGACGTAGGCCGGGAGCGGCTCGCCTGTAATGCCGGAAGTCAGGTAGTCTTTGCCATCGTAACTGTACCCTGCTTCGATCAACACCTGCGACATGTGCTCGAGTTTGCTTCCGCCGAACGCCGTTCCATACTCAAACTGCCCCTTCAGGATTCCTGCTTTCCCGGACACAAGTTCTAGCATCTTGCCAACCGTCATCCGAGAAGGGAAACCATGAGGATTCATGATAATGTCAGGTGTGATCCCTCGGTCTGAGAAAGGCATGTCCACCTGTTCGGCAATGATTCCAACAACACCTTTCTGGCCGTGCCTGGACGAAAATTTGTCACCGACCTCTGGTACCCGTGTCTGCCGGGTTTGAACCTTGATCAATTGATTGCCCGACTCCACTTCAGAAACCATGACCTTATCGATATAACTCGGATCTGGAAGACGGTACTTCTGCGGCTGCGCGATGGTGGCGGATTTCTTACCGTTGTCAGAAAGCCCCGAAGAATTGGCAGCTTCGGGCACGAATTTGTTGACGTAGACTTGCCCCTGGCTAATTCTTGCGCCAACTGCTGTAATGCCGTCTTCGTCCAACAATGCTTGACCCTTGGCAGGCTTCCCATTTTCCTCTAGAGTCGGTCCGTACAGTTGGTCTTTGAGGTCATTGCCATAGAGTTTGAGGGTCACGGGGTACTTTCGTAACACCTGGCATCTACCAAAGCCTCGATCAACGGATGCTTTGTTCAACACCAGAGCATCTTCAATATCGTAGCCGCTATAAGACATGACAGCAACCGTCGCATTCTGTCCTGCTGGTAGCTTGTCGTAATTGACCAGTTCGATCGTTCTTGTCTTGACCAGCGGCTTTTGAGGATAGACCATCAGATATAGCAGAGTGTCAATTCTCAGAAATTGGTTGTTGGCAATAAAGCCTATCGCTTGCTTGCCCATGGCGCATTGATATGTGTTACGTGGTGATTGATTATGATGTGGATATGGTATCAGCCCAGCAACAGCACCCAAAATTGTGAAGGGCTCGATTTCCAAGTGGGTGGTGGACGAGTTGATGTTTGATTCGTACATGGCGATATTACTGTCGTTCTCCTCATTCACATCCAGGTATTCCACTAGGCCTCTGGCTAAGAAGTCGTCAAAGTCCATAGATCCCTGTCGAAGGGATTTGAGGTATCTTTTTGTCACCTTTGATTTCTTGTCTTCCACAATGATGAGTGGTCGACAGATTCGACCTTCGTCAGTGGCAACATGTATTGTTCCGTGATGATGATTGATGAAAATTGATACGAACTCTGAGATACGACCTGATCTGCGGAGCCGTCGAAACGAGGTCAGAAAGTGGGAAGGATGGCGAGTGCAGGCGATTGGTGTGCCGTTTAGGAGTACAAGATATGTGCCGGGGGCATACAGTTCAGAACCGCCCACGGAAACAATGTCTTCGGCACCGAGCATGAAGATCAGGCGTTTGACCGGTGTCTCGTCATCGTCGGTGGTGATATGAGTCATGAGGGCAAGGTTTTTTACCAAGCCGCAGGCCTCGCCTTCGGGCGTGTCGGCCGGACAAAGCATGCCAAAGGAAGATGGCTGAAGAGCACGAGGTCCACTGACCTTGCGTGTTTTCTCAAACTGACTTGAAATCCGGGTCATCATTCCTAACGAAGCGATGAAGCTTAGTCGGCTGAGTAGATGAGTGACACCGGCACGATCCATTCTGAAACGCTTCAAGTTCCAATTCCCCGTGGCGATGGCACGGATCATACCTTGCGTGATGTAAGGACCTTTGCTCTGCAATTCGACGCAGGGGTCAATGACACCTGTTTTCACTGGTTTCCTGAGCTTTTGATCGATGGCCAGCTTGACGGCATAATTGTAACTCTTGAAAAGGTCTTCGAACAGCAATGACAGCAATTGACCTGCAAGTTCAAGGCGCTTGTTTCCGACGTAATCCCTATCATCCACCAACGCAGGGTTTTGCTTCGCCATAAGAACGCGCCGGGCCATGTGGCCAACATAAAGAGCTTTGGGTCGAAAGTTGAGATTCTCGATAGGAACGTGAGCGACAAAGACGTTGCAAACCGCCTCAATGGCTTCTTGAACATAGTTCCTGCGTGCTTGACCAAATGGTGTCGGCTTTCTTGTGATCTTTATTCGCTGGCCTAGATAGTCGAGGGCCTGTTGCTGAGTGTGTATCTGGTGCTTGATGGTCTCCTCGAAATTAATAGCGAAATCCTCCTGCAAAGTACTATCGGTACCAGCGACAATGGCCATCATGTCGATGTCCGATGTGACGCCCATGGCTCTCAGCAAGATGCAGATTGGGACGTCCTCGTTGAGGATGTTGTGGCGCATATACAGAAGATCCTTTTTGAGAGCGATGTATGATTTCGATTTGCGAGCATGTGTGGAACTTGTTACGGATGCGACGATGGACTCTTTCTTGGGATCGGATTCGACAATAATGCGGTTTTTACTCAACTGCTCCTGAACCAGAATGACTTTTTCAGTGCCATTGACGATGAAATATCCGCCCGGATCTAATGGACATTCGTCCATGGCACACATCTCTGTCTCTGTTTTGTTGGCCAAGAAGCATTTTGAACTTCGAAGCATGATCGGTACGCGCGCAATGACTAGACCTTTCCGTCGATATGCCATTTTAGACTTTGTGTAGCGCACATCGACCAGGATTGGTGCTGCATAGGTCAAGTCCCGCAGTCGACACTCGTTTGGGGTGACGGTCGACTCATCCTTGGCTGTGAGTCCATAGTTGTGCTGTTCTTCGACCCGGCACGGTTTGCCCACGTAGATTTTTTCGTATTTGATGTAGAAGTCAGGATCGATCTCGCTTGTGATGACGGGCTCGGCGTCAATAATCTTTTGCAACTCGACCTCTACAAAATGGTTGAAAGATTCGATATGCTGCTTGACGAGGCCTTTGACTTTGAGGAAAGCGGGGAGGAGGTTCCATTTGTCACGAGCGGTGTCGATAGGATCAGTGAGGGACTTGTCGTAGTAGAAGGGTTCCAGGGCGGCATTAAAGCTATCGGTATGATGGTGAGGTTTTCGGGAGGGTTTGTCGGTCTTTGGAAGTTCAGATGATGACTGTGCCGCAGTCTCTTTGAGGGAAGACTGGTTGGACACAAAAGAGGGCTTACGTGCTACCTGTTTCTCACTCTTGTTAGGTACTCTCTCAGGCCGTGAAAGGTTGCAAAAGAACACACCTTGGACGTTGACTTCGCCGCTGATGTGGAAGAGGACTGATCGGCATTTGTACCGTCTACCTTCCGTTTAGGGGGCATGACTATTCGAATAGTGGAATGCCAGGTGCCAGTGTAAGCGGCAAGGAAGTTTATAGCACGTTCACTTCATATTTGCTGATGTGGTGTGGTGTTGGGCTTAATCTCGCGTGCAACAAAATTCGATGAAGGTGGGCAACATAATTATTTGGATGTCAGGCGCAGATCCACTTGAGGCCTGACTCAGGGTAATGGATTGCGGCTGCGACCATGACTCACAAGCAGAGGGGCATTGGACTTTCACGTGACCTAGAATTTCATCCCTCGCTTTTCGGCTCATTTTATTATCAACCATCCCAGAGTCTCATTGGTATTAACGACCCCAAAGCGTTGACAAAGAACACTGCTACAATTAAGAAAGGCACAGATGTTACATTAGGAATAATTAACTAACCAAGGTATATGTATGGTGAACAGGTCAGATTGATATTCATTACTCGTCCTCGTCCTTGGGTGGCTGGTGATGCCTGGCAAGGTAGGAAACTGCACCCATTGTGAAGTGGAGTCATCTACAGGACATACGTACTGTGAGGCACGGAGGCTAGAACTCGCCTGAATTTTTGCTGCTATGATAAGTACACGACAGCCAATATAATACATGTGTAGATATTGCCGCCAGTGAGTGTACATATGTACATGGGCCGATCGCCGTTGTTAACAGATATTACTCTTTTGCACTTTGACCTGGCCACGTCCGAAACAAAGTTCATTCTTGCCATTAAGCAATGCAATGTCGAAGGCTAAGATGCAGCAGATATGCTGTATGAGTGGTAGAGCCAGGCAGGATTATGCTTGCAACCGGAGCCGTTGGCGAGTCGAGGATGTAGCTAGTCACGACAGTGTCACTGGCCTTGGCCCAAGGTCAGAGGAAGCCGAAGCCAATGTAGTGGGGCACGGTTTCAATAGGTAGTGGTTGGCGAGAGACGCCTTTGATGCAGGGACAGCACACTCACAGCCAAAGAGCGAGTGCCATGACTGGGGTGCCGGGGTTTCTAAGTCTTTGACAACGGTATCCCTAGGTTAGAGGGACAAAAGCGATGACTTCTTGACGACAATTTGCTATGAGAGTGAGGGATAGTCTCGTAAGATCGTCGCCTCACCTATGTGGTGAACTAAGTAGTAGAAGGAAACTTCTTCGGCTCACCGGAGTCGACTATGGATCTGATCATCGGAGCGTTGTTTCAACCTAACGTGTCAAGGTAGATGGGTAGACCATGTGCTTGCAGTCAATCGGCACACGTAGACACAGGGACGAGGGTCTGGTTCATCATGCTGCAGCGAGAAGTCAACCCCCAGACCATGGATTCCAGGGCACCGTTTCGTGACGAGGCGTGCAAGGGAAAGGAGAAAGGGCAGAGGATGGCTCTACTTCGGCACAATTGGTGGACATCATGTCATGTTCAATGGTGTTGGGTTGTCTCGATGGATCATTATCGGACAGCTTTCTCCGCTGACAAAGGTGGAAAGGTAGTAAGTAGCTTGAACAGGTCTCCGAGTGTATCTACATGTGTTTACATAAAGGAAGTTGGCTTACGAAGGGTACCTCTGGGCTATACCTGGGTAGGGACAGTAACTCGAGAACTATCACTGGACCTTGGTGTATGTCACAGTACTCGATCGCCAGGTAGCACTTGCCTGTCCCAGGAACCGATGATACTGTCCTCTTGTGCTAAAGGTGGTTCCTTCCTTGAGAAATGGCAATGGCTTGGCAGTGCGTATCCCCACGTTGGTTGGTGGCGATTAATTTATAACTAGGACCTCGAACTGTGGGCCGACTGGACCATGTGGTGGGCTTCTCGTGGCCCGCTGGGCGTGGGCGACATTTCTTGTCTCTTGGACAATCATGGGGATAAGTAGTAGTCAAGTACTAAGGATGAAATCTTTTGAGAATTGTCTCGGCTGACAACCTCGATGGCTTTGGGACCATTATCCTACATCATCGATCTCTCAAGGCTCACTAGTCCACAGGCTACCCTGAATGGTATACTCGTAGGTGAGGAAATGAGATTTGAACTCCCCTCGTCCCCCCATATGAGAGCCCACCGAGCCCCGGTGCCCCTTGGCGTTTAGTACGTACATACGGAGTGTATGCGTACCCATACTTGGGCAAGTCGTGGGTTGATTGCGCCATGGACTGCAGATCGGAGGACATATTCCGTACTCCGTGGGCAACCTTCCAAAGATTGAGACTTAGTTACACCAGACAACAATGGTCCTCTCTTGCTCATTCGCTCTTCCCAACAACGGCGGCGCTTGCGAACTTGTGGGAGTCAGTCGGAGCAGTGACACACCTCCACCCGACAATTTTGAGCACTGGTCTGTGCCCTCGTGTGTGGACCGACCTCACCCCTCAGCAGGAGAGAAATGACTGGCTCCGATTTCGATCCACGGGAACAGCCTTTTGACTTTTACATGGTGCGGGGCGATGTCTTCTCCTGAGTCTGTGGTTTTCTTGACCGCCATTTCGCACACACAAAAGGCTAGGTAGCCGCGAGGACATCCTCGACTAAAGCAACGGCGGCACTATTGAACAGGCTATCGTGGAAGCGCAACAAAGTTGAAAGAGTGGTAAAGGGAGATCACCGTCTCAGACGACCAAGTGACGGCAGAACAGGAAGAAGCAAAAATGAGTTTTGGCCAGGTGGAATGTTGCATACTGAGGAAGGAACCACCTGGGGTGCCTAATAGATGCTTCCTGCCAGCGTTCCTCTGATCCATTATTCGATCAAGGATGCATTGAATCCATTCACAGAAACACCGGCAGTCGTGTCCCCAGCCACTCCCATTTGCCCATCTGTCGAGTCCACCCACCGTCCGCACAGCCTGGCCAGCCAAATGGATGTTCTAAAGGTCACAGGGCGACTCCCACGGATGCGCCTGCCAATCCAATACTCCCGGTCAAGCCCGACCATATACAGCTGACTTGATAGATCATCTTTGATTGGAGCTTGCATCACCCAACGCACCATCGTGTCTTTGAGGTTCAAAAACCACTGTCAAGGAGGGGCATATTGGGGCTTGCAGTATGGCCAATTCACCTTTCGTAGAGGTGGCGCCCAGTATTGCATGAGCGCCATCGGCACCAACGGCCCACCAAGTGGTGTCAAGACCAGTGCCAGTCCACTCTTAAATGCAGTGGATCCGACGCACAAGGTTGGTGACTTCCAGGGGGCTGCAGCTAGTTGGGCAGAGGCGAAGTCTGACCCTGAAAGCATCAAAGTGTAATTCCAAAGTTGCCATGCAGTACGAGGAAGTGTGACGAGTTCATGCAGATGATCCAGAGAATGGCGATTCCCGAGCCGAGTGGCTGTTGAGTGCCTCGAAAATGAGAATGAGGAGCAGAGTGAGGACTGCACCGGGCGTAAGCTGACTGACCTCCACTGAAGTCCAGTCTACGTACTGAGCACGACGAGGCAAGGCCAGGGACGAGGCTTAACCGCACGTATGCAAGTTCACCTACGGAGTACAGTAGGTACTTAGGCCGGCGCGGCGAAACTCGAGTCTGGGCCTCCACCGCTGCCGGCCGGTGGGAGTCCATCTCTCGGGCTTCAAGTGTCACTCTGTATTAAGATACGCGATCAAGGTGTGAATTATTATTATCTGTAATGTGACGATTATCTAGCTGGGTAGTTAGTTGGTGTCGTCAACGGTTGATTGAGAACCCCGCGGTTGTTGTTACTAGGTACACATTGTATGGTGTTATCCTAGTCTTGATTCTGAGTGGTAGAGTGAAGGAATTGTCCCTCTGCCGTCCGCTTACTGTAGATGCCCCTCGGGTGTATTGTCTAGGGAATACTTAGGCAGCTACGGTAGGTACCGTGGCCAGAAGGTGCCAATTTTTTGCCCCAGCGAAAATCATTCCTTTCATCTCCTTCCCCCCATCCCCGCCCACAACCCACGCTTCTTCACAGGCTAGATAATACTGCATTGCAATTTTGGTGGTTGCAGGTCGACTCGCCCATGGATGGAGTCATCACGCTTGTCTAGATCCCTAATGACAACCCTTCAGGTGGCCAGTAGTGCCAAAATCGCAGGGCTAATGGGTTTGGCATAGCATCCATGTAAGGACCTGGGTGCCTGGGTCTTTGCACTGTAGCTACCTCAGGTAGTCATTGGTTAGCTGCGGCCATCATTTCCCACCAGAGTTGGCCCCTCGGTCCTCTCCAGACCCATCAACTTATCAAGCCTCTGTGCAGCATCCTCAGTATCCACGCTGGCGCTGGCGCTGACGCTTGCCCCAAAAGAGCGCCCCGAGCCCCAAGACGCCAACCTCCATGGTTGCTACCGTGCCTTTGCCATCTTGGGGCTTGCATCCATCCCGCTTCGACTCGTCTCGTTTCGTCCCTTTCCTTGAGGCCTCTCCTCCTCCATCCAGGTTCATCCCATCCATCGCACTTTGTATTAGTATTATACTTATCCTTCTTTTTTCCTACGTCGTTGGTGTTTTGATTTTCCGCCACCGTTCCTGTATCTGTATCAGGCAGAAGCTGCTGTGCTGCCCTCAGTGCACACAGCGGCACCTGTCATCCACCTCTCCTTTGCAGAGTGTGCTTGTCTGGCATCGGCTCATTCTCGTCCACGCCCCGGCCGTCAACGCTGCTGTTTGAATTTCGACCACCCTCACCACCATAACCCCCCTTTTTATATCCAGTATCTCCCTCATCGTCTCTCGTACTAGGTACGTTCACCTCACCTATGCACCCGGATGTCTCGAGAAAACCCTTGGTCCTCGAGAGACTGCCTGCGAAGTGCTGCCAGTCCCGAGTGCAGGAAAGCGAATTTGTATTCTTTCAGCCTTGCCTAACTCGAGCAAGGAGCTGTCTTCTCCAAGTGGCGGCGCGGCCCAGCCTGGTTTTCATCTTAAGGATCATACTGACCCTGTTAGGCTATTTGTGTAGACCTCAACCATGGCCTTTTCCAACTCCCTGAGCGGCCGCATGGAAGAACTGCGTTTTCCCAACCTCCGGTCACCTTCCGAGGTAGACAGCTCCTTCTCTCCCAATGGTGCATCGCCTAGGGACCCGAACACATACTTCACGGCCCTTCAACCGTCCCCGAACGATGCAAGAGCAAGTCTGCAACGACGTTTTACCACTGATTCGAGCAAAATGTCAACCACCCGCCCCTTTAGCCAGCAGTATACTGCCATGACCTCGACCGCGGTATGTTGCATACCCCTGTGTGACCCTGTCAAAATTGCCTTTGTTGAGCTTGAGGGACAATGTCATTGTGAAATTCCATGCAACCAGAAGAAATCTAGCAAGATGAAACATTCCGAGACACTGTGTCGATAAGCATTTCCATATGTCCCTCACATCCGTTGAAAAGTCAGGGGTCTGACTGTGAAGATGTGCAACATCATATGTTATTTTGCCTTGCAATTTAGGAATAGCCGCTGATAAGGATGTGTGATAGGCCATGAATAAACAAATGTACGATGAAATCCAGAATGCAAAGCGTAAGGCCGAGGAGCACCTACGGCTGCTTGAGCTTCAGGAACGGAGTCTGCAATTGGGATCGGGCGCCCATGATCTCGAGCGTCTGTCGAGCAGAGTCAACCGGATGAGTCTCACTGGCCCTGTCAGCGAGCCAACGACCCCTCCAGAATACGCCGACAGCGGCTTTAGCAGTCGCTTTTCCCGCTCGAGCCGGTTGTCCATGAACAGCATCATTTCTCCCCCCGGGCTTAGCCAGCGCGTGTCGACGTCAAGCACTCAGCTTACCTCGCCCCCAATCAATCGGCTCTCAGGCAATGGGATGTTCGGACAGTCCCAAAAGCCCTCAGCCAAGTCCGTCCCTGGCTCTCGCCGAGGGTCAGACGAGGATGAGTATTACCCAGAGGACCTTCCAGATCCACGAGGCCTCGCAACAACGTACGTACCGTTATCTCCTTACATGTTCTGCCTGTCGCGTGTTGATTCTTCTCTCTGTCATCAATTTTGTATGAAACAAGGGAACTCTTGATCACAATGTGATATATCCACTCTTTGCGGCGGTGGACAAGTCACGTTGTGTTCACAATGTGATTGTTATTCACCTCACCTATTCAACAATTCAGAGGTCCCTAGTCACCTTCTACTAGCCTTGTACTGCTTCTTCCTATTTAGCCGAAGTTTCCCCCTGACTTTCCACCACAGTTTAAACAGATTTTCTATGCCAGTTCACAGCAATCGCCCCTTGCAAAGACTAAGTCTCTCAAACAAAACTGCATCTGCATACGGCCTTGCAAATACCACCAGCTTCCTTTTTGACGAGGATGAAGACAAACATCTGTCCCTGAATGCCATCGATTTAAAGTCTCCCATTGCAAAGGCCTTTGCCCAGCTGGAAGGCGACGATACGTTCCCAACCTTGACCAGTGACGGTCTTAAGGTACATCCCCTTTCACTATCACGTGAGCTTTTACTAATTTCTCCAGCTTTCTGCCAATTCAGCTGCCTTGGATCTTGCCAATTCTCGGACTCCTGATCTGGATTGGACCCTAGGCTCTCGCTATCGTCCTGCTCATCAGAGCATGCCCCATACTGATTCGTCTATGTACCGACCTGTCCTGAGCAATCTCAGTGGATTAACCAGTCCTTCATCAGATCGGCCAGCTGATCTCAACCGTCGTAAATCTCAACGTCACTCTCTGGGAGTCACTTTTGAAGATTCTTCGCCTCTTCCTACGACTCTTCCCGTCACTCGTCCTTCGTCCCTTCAAACTTCCTATTCCACAAACGACGTACCCACCGTCAAGAAATCCCTCACGTCAGAAACAACCCCCTCCAAGATTCACGCTGAGCAACAATTTCACAACCACAACGTTAGTCTCGGTCGGATCCCGGCAAACGCCGTTCATCACCGTCAGAGTCGTGAAGGAGCCAACGGAAGCACCAAAGTCGACGAAAAGTTACTATCGTCTGCAGCCAACATGTCTTCCCTACATCCTGGTGCTGCTCCATTCAATGCCCATTTCAACGGATCTGATGGCTCTATGACCACGACTCCTGGAAATGGTGGCTACTATCCTTACAACATGCAGAACTACAATGTCAGCCAGATGGCCCCGCCTGCCATGGCAGGACCCGTTGGTGGATTCCCGAACGGCAACACCTATGTCAATGGGTACGGCAATCAGCCCCAACGTGGTGGACGACGCCCACAGAACGATGAGGCCAGATTCAACAACGTTCCTCTCGATTCCTACAAAGGTGGCTTGTATGAACTGTGCAAAGATCAGCATGGTTGCCGATATCTCCAACGCAAGCTTGAAGACAATGAAGCAGACAATACCCAAATGATCTTTTCTGAGACTTGCCCACACATCATCGAGCTCATGACGGACCCATTTGGAAATTACCTATGCCAGAAGCTATTTGAGCACTGCACCGACGATCAACGAACTGCTCTTATCAACACCGCTGCTCCAGCCCTGACCACCATTGCTCTCAACCAGCATGGCACTCGAGCTTTACAGAAGATGATCGAATTCGTCCACACCCCACAGCAAGTGGATACCATTATCAAGGCCCTGGCGGATCGCGTGGTCGATCTCGTCCAAGACCTCAATGGCAATCATGTCATTCAGAAGTGTCTTACCCGACTGGGAGCGGAACGATCTCAATTCATCTATGATGCTGTTGGTCATTACTGCGTCGTTGTCGGAACTCATCGCCATGGTTGCTGCGTGCTGCAGCGTTGCATTGACCACGCCCAAGGATTCCAGCGTGCCCAGCTTATCCAGCGGATCACTAACTGCGCCTTCGACCTTGTTCAAGACCCCTTTGGCAACTACGTTGTTCAATACATCCTTGACCTGGATGAGCCGGCCTTCACCAAACCACTCTGTGAGAGCTTTGCTGGTCGGGTTTCAGCACTGTCTAAGCAGAAATTCAGCTCGAACGTCATTGAGAAGTGTCTTCGCACCGCTGATATGGACACCAAGAGAAAGATGGTCGAGGAAATGCTCAACGGCGCTGAGTTGGAGAAGATGTTGCGTGACTCATTTGCCAACTATGTTGTTCAGACTGCGATGGACTTTGCAGATCCACAGACCAAAGCCCGGTTGGTGGATGCGATTCGCCCCATCCTTCCTTTGATCAAGCAAACCCCTCATGGTCGTCGCATTGCCAGCAAAATCATGGGCAACGACGTCCAAGGTCGTACTAGTGGTACGTCGAGCGGCCAGATGACACCTTCGGACAACTATCTTGCAAGCTTCTCAGGTGGCCGCACCAACAGTCGTCGCAACGTCCAGATTGTTGGCGGCGGATTTAACGGACTTCGCCCCAACCCAGTCTACAACGGGACCGAGAACGCGGAGCTGTCAACCAACGTCATGGGTAATGGTAATGGAAACGCCTTCTCCCCGGGCTCTAAGGACGTCGGAGGTGCTAGCTTCAATCCTCAAGGCTATGCAGGAGACGCTTCTCAGAATGGGTTCAATGGCTATCACAACGGACCAGTGGGCAACGGCAATGTCTTCTGATGCTGCCATGTCCATCACCTACGCAGTCAACGCGTCTACGAGTTATGATTTTATGACTTCGCGACTTGTCATTTTGTTTTTGATTTATCCACACAACGCATGACGCTCGTCGGAACTTGAGCTAGAGATGCTCGTTCTCTGGCGATGCTTACATCTAACCCACGTGTATCATCTTGCATTAAAAAGCACCCGAAAACATGTTTTCACGAAGGTATCACGGCCATTGTTTCTGTATTATGCCCCTCATGGCCTTTTAGGCAATCAGACCAGCATCAGTCTGGCAGAATATCAGCTTGGTTTATCAGTCGGCATGGCTTTCTTTCACTCATATGGCTTCAAAGCCTACGAGGGACCGAAAAGGCTTCTTGCGACATGTTACATCAACATTTTAGGGCGTGGAATGGGGATCGGACCGGAGTTGAGACGATTTTGTTTCTTTTACCCATAGCTTGAACATTCATCACGAGGGTTTGGACACAGTGAAGGAATTGCTCTTGGAGGTATCGATCCCCTAGATCATCATCAGCCTTGTCATCATGTACAACGGAACCACAAGTGAGATGGACCGACGAGGATGGATCTGGGGATTGTACACTGGACAATGGACAGGGAATTTCCTTTCCTTTCTGAACCTATTGGAGCAAGACAGCTCAAAAGACCATCGCAACGGGAAACTCAGGCATACCTATGGATGATTGCGAGAGTCATTCTGGCCAGCACCTTGTGTGCGGAGCTCAGCTTGCAGTGAGTTCTTCAGTGAGCATGTACCACCAAAAATCAACATTAAGACAGCAATAGCTAGAGAATTGTACTTGAAGATCATGATTTTATTTTGTATTTTGCCTGGGCTCTTTTTCACATCTTACCGCGTTAAATTGGGCGGATATAGATACCAGAAAGGTGTAAAAATGGAGGCTCCCAGAATCCTCCTGAAGCAATGCAGAGCAATGGTCACAAACGATATGGCCGATTTCTTTGCTTGCTACATGCTTGTTAGTCTTTGTAGCTCAGAATTGAAGAAGTATTTGGTCTTCTCCTGGTGCTGTGTCCGTTGGTCGTCATATCGTTCAAGGTGACACAGAAATGTTCCAAGGCGTCAGGCCGTTCAAAGACATGGTGTTACGAACGCGGAAGGTTTGGCGAAGAGGACGCGTTAAGTGGTTTCTGCAGACGCGTCTTCAATAGCGACTTCCGCAAGTCACAATCGAGTCTTATTTCCCCACTACACTGCGACTACCAGCCCAGGGATGACAATACAATGACCAAAAATGTCTCTTCAACTACCACTTGAAGTGGTTCATTCGATTTTACAGTCTTGTCCATGTCGAGAGGTCCAAGTCAAGCAGTTGTTGACCTACTACAATGTAAGGCTTCACCCAGGAACATCACCAGGATGCTCCAGAACCCCTTCCGGACACGACAACCATTATCATGTTGAAGCCATTTATTAGACCTCAATGACTGACCTATGTGTGTTATTATCAAGGCCATTTATCCATCCCCTCCTCTGCTGGTCGTATCCGGCCTTGACCAACTCAACAAAACCCACGTCCTCACCACCTGCCTCGCCTCTCGCAATCTTTCATTCGCGCTAGTCAAAGTACGAGATTGTTTGTCGCAAAGACACCTCCTGTCAAAGATATTTGCAGCTTGCGTTTCTGCGCGAGCAGGTTCTCAGCAAATAGACGATCCCGAGGACAGGTTCCAGCAGCTTATTGACGAGGGACGTTACGATAGAGTTGACAGCACAAATGCCCTGGTGCACAATCTGCACAAGCTACTTGACATTCAACCTCAGCAAAGCAAGGAGGAGAGGATTTCTTCGAGGCTGATTTTGATTCTCGATGGGATCGATACGCTGCGAGGCGGCAGTCTAAATCTATTGCCTGCCCTGGCCAGGTTGGGAGATATGGTATGTTAATCTGACTAGGAAAACCTGTCAATCAAATAAAACAAGCAAGGCAGCATCCACAGGATTTCACGTTCGCATGCTAACATGAGCCAATTGCTCATATAGATACCGTCTTTGTCCCTGATCCTAACATCAACCTCTCCCCGTCCCCTTGCTTTGCACAAATCAGGGGTGCCATATCTACATTTCCCTCCCTACACACGCACCGAATCTATATACATCCTAACCACCACAACACCTCCGTCAAATCTCCTCCCCAATTCAACGATTCTCCCCGACTACCAACCTCAAATTAACGAAGAAGCACTGAAAAAGATTTATGCCCAATTTGTTGCAACAGTCTATGATTCTCTTGTTTTCGCCACAAAATCAGCTTCATTAGAGTCCTTTCGCAACACAACTGAGAGGTTATGGCCACGATTTATTTGGCCTTTGGTCATCGATGAGCCAGTTCCAGGTGGTGGTCGCAAGACATGGGACTTTGCAAGACTGCTGGTGCGAAACAGAGGCCTTTTCCAGACGGAAGGCGAGGCAGCTCTCCACGATGTTCCTAGGTCGAGAGCAGGGCACGATGACGTTGCGTGGACATTTGAAGATCTCGCAACAATTCATTCTACGATACCGCAGGAAGACTCATCTGCCCCAGCAAGCATTCCGAGCACGCCTACAAAACGATATAGCTCGACAACCCGTCCAGCGACTGGCAAGATGAACAAAGATAATGATATTCACCCACACAATCGTCTGAATAGGAGATCAAAAATCCCATCGGCAGGCCAGACACGCCTTCTCAAACCATTCCCAACCCTGGTCCTCCTGTCAAGTTACCTCGCAAGCAACACGCCGCCCAAACACGACATTCTTCTATTTTCACGCCTTTCATCCTCATCAAGTCATATCAGTAAGAAGATACGCCGACTCAAGAACACGCCGAGCCGGAAGAAGCAGGCACAAAAGTCGGCCATGGACGGCACCACTCCTGGAAGTGGTGCTGGAGGTGATCGCACACCGAGCAAGTCCAAGAATCGGATTATGAAAACAATTCTGTCTTCATCGGCGTCAGGGAATAATAATCCGGCCATGAATCAACTCCAAAAGTCCTTCTCGCTAGAGCGACTCCTAGCCATTCTGCGTGCCATCCATCCAGAAGGCGTGGAGAACAGAACCGGGCGGGGAATCTGTGATAGAGTCTACCGCGAATTAGGAGAGCTGGAGAGACTCAGGCTGATTGTCCGAGCAGATGGGGCAGCAGGTGGTGCGGGCGGCGCTGGCGCCTCTGGTACTGCCAACACAGCGGCCGAAGATGCCATGGAGGAGAAATGGAGGATCAACGTCGGCCGACAGTGGGTTGTCGATGTGGGAAACCGTAGTGGCATGAGTGTCAACGATTATGAGATTGAGGGCGAAGCCTAAATGTGCACATAACATCTGTCCATGGTAGGTGTTGTGTCGCTGCCTCAAATAACAATGGTATGGCCCTCCACATAGCTCTACGAGGACAGTCACACAATCAATCGATTGAGCATATATGGAGGGATAATCGAACTCCAGGATCCTTTCTAGAGGTCCTTGTTGTGTGATATTTCTTCAATTGACGGACCATTCCCACATGCCCGTGGGGTTTGCCTGGCTCGATTTGACACCAGCCGCGGTAGCTAGAAGGAGCGATTTCGCGCCAGATCGCCTTGACGTCTGGAGCCTGGGGAGCTCTTGAGAACCGTCAACGGTGGTGCCGCAGTTCCAGTCCACAAACTCGGCGCAAGTCACCTGGGAGCCAAATCTGACAGCATTCAACGGACTTTCCACCATATGACCATTCGCCACGTCCCAAAGGCCGATGCGGTGGTTGGAATGGTGGTCGGTGCTGGCGCTGGCGACGAGATTGAGTTCGGGGTCGTAGGCGAAGCCGAGGTTGAAATTGTTGGGCTGTCGAGTGGCAGACATGGAAAAGGTCGTGACTGGAGGAGAGTTGAGATAGCGTCTAGGCATCTTGTGCCAGTTGCGTGCTGCTGTTGTTGATGAAGAGCGCCCTGGCTGACGAGTCGGGATGGGACAGTAACGCAAATCGTAGACTTTCATGTCCTGAGTTCCCTGAATCAGGAGCCTGGGTTGGCCTGAATTGGCAAGGGGCTGGATGTGAGCCACGCCACTCGAGTGTTGAAGCCGCATCACAGTGGCAGACTGATCGCGCACGTCACACAGCGTCGCCTGTCCGTTGCGGCCACCAAATACGATAACGTTCTCGTCTTGAAACTTGACGCATGTTTGGTCCTTGAGTTTCTGGTAGTTCTCAATGGCGGGTCGGAAGTGATCGATCTCCGCTACGTACGAGTTCGCTCGGTCGCCTGATGTTGCAAGACGTTCGCCGCTTGGCGATTTCGTTAACCCAGTGATGATGCCCTGGAACACAAGTTGGATATCGGCGAGAGCGTGGGCATGAGGATCAGGCTCGTCGTGCGTTGCAAGGATCACCGCAGAGTACTCGTCGGGCAGGTGAGTTTGACTGACCCATACAGATCGGCCATAACGGAGGCTCAATATATGGGTAATGTTGTGTCGGAGTTGCCTCCACAGATCGATCTGTACATCAGACCAGGCAGATTCGGGTGCTTGAGTAATGACTTGTCGGGGTCGTTTTGGCTTGGAAATCAGGATAGTAGGCGTTGGATCGACCTGACGCTCGTCCGAACTGGTTGCGGTCAATAGGTTGCCGGTGGCATGCTCAAAGGCAAATTGACCACATGGCGATCTGGGTCCAGTGTAGATGTTATGGCCCGAAATACTTGTTGCATAAAAGGTCTTGACGATCTCAGCTGATGTCTTGCGTTTGTCACCTAATCGCCAGCCAAATTCGAGGAGAGACTGTTTAGATAGAACCGACCTTTTCACCGTTTGAGCGACCTTTGAAGCCTTGTGGCGTTTCTCTCGCTTGTTGGTCTTCTTGATGAGTTTCTCTGCATTAACAGCCTGTCGACTATATTTCGTTGCAGCCGATGATGAGGAGCCGCTAGCTACATGGTTGGCTTGAATTTTGAAGTATCGGTTCTTGGAAGAATCAAAATAATACCCCGGTATTTCGGTCGGCATCGTGAAACTGTTGGATATAGGCTTTATAGCCTTTAATATTGAATGTTGCTTGACATACCGACCGAGGAACCTGGGTCAACCTAGCCTGCCGGAAATTCAGAGGAACAGTAACTCTCCACGGATGGCAGGCACAGACTGATTCTCAGTCCGTAAAGGTACCGAGAAAATGGTGAATAGACAAGAGACACATGATCAATGGTAAGAACGAGTTGGACGTTGAGAAGTCGTTTGAAGAGAATTGATACTCGCACAGCCTTGCCAGGGTCTTGGCATCAATGAATGCACTTCGCGCCTCACTCGCCTACGGTCACCTGATTCTGTCCCCTTGGATCACCATCAAAACAAATACGATGATGAGTCGACGTGTACAAGTACTCCATTGATTATACGCCAGTACAGAACCAATCTGGCCACACTATTTCTATATCGGTGAATGATGACACAATCGTCTCTGAGCCTCTAGCACGCACTTGTATGTATACGGAGGCTGCTGATGGAGCTCCTCCTCCATTTTCCCTTTCCCCGGCCAGCCAGATATCAGACTTTCCTCTATTCATCCGAAACACTTGCAAACTTCTCCGAGAGGTTCTGCAACAACTTGTCATATTTCTTGGTGACTTCTTCCTGGTTGTCGGGCAGCTCAAACTTCATGCTTCTGAGGGCATGTTGAATGTCTGCAGTCGACTCTCTAATCTTGGCCCATGAGAGTCCACTTGAGACTGCCTTCTGAGCCTCGTCGTGGAAAGTCATGAAGCCTTTCATCATGTATTCGGTCTTCCACAGGGGGCAGAACTGATCATAGTCACTGTACCCATTTTGTTGCAAGAAGTCGTCCTTTAACATGGCAGCCACATCAAGGATAATCTTGTCCGAATCGCCTAGGGCAGATTTACCGACCAATTGAACAACTTGGTCGAGATCCTCCGAGTTGGTCAACAATTCCTTGATGCGGTTTCGAAGTTTGGGAAACTCGGGATGGTCCTTGGCGTAGAATTTGTCGAGGATGTTGGTATACTTGCTGTACGACATGGAAGTATTGACGCTAGGGAAATGCTTTCGCTGGGCCAACTTCTTGTCCAAGCCCCAAAAGACTTGGACAATGCCCAAAGTGGCAGAGGTGACGGGGTCGGAGAAATCACCACCTGGTGGCGACACGGCTCCGACGATCGAAATGCTACCATTGCGTTCCGGCGATCCTAGGGCCACGGCAGCGCCTGCTCGTTCGTAGAAAGATGCCAATTTTGCTCCCAGGTAGGCGGGGAAACCTTGATCCGCAGGCATTTCTCCCAAACGGCCCGAAATTTCTCGCAGTGCTTCAGCCCAGCGCGATGATGAATCAGCCATCATGGCAACGGCCTTTCCTTGATCACGGAAGTATTCCCCCACTGTGATTCCGGTGTAGATTGAGGCTTCTCGGGCGGCGACAGGCATGTTTGAGGTATTGGCAATGAGGCAAGTTCGCTTCATGATGGGCTCTTTACGACCATCGATGGTAATGGAGAGTTCAGGGAAATCCATCAAGACTTCGGCCATTTCGTTACCACGCTCACCACCTTGGAGCTGTTAGAATAGATAAAGCAAGGAGATTGGGGCAGAACTCACATCCAACGTAAACAATGATGTCACTGTTTGAAAACTTGGAGACCGACTGGGAGATGACAGTCTTGCCGCAGCCGAAAGCTCCTGGGATACAAACAGTACCACCTTGGACTGAAGGGAAGAGGGCATCCAAGACACGCTGACCGACGATGAAAGGCGAGTCGGCTTGAAGGCGTTCACTGACAGGTCGAGGGACACGAACAGGCCAGGAGTGCATCATGGGATATTCTTTGGTCTCGCCGTTGAACTCAAGAGTGAGGAGAGGTTGGTCGACGGTGTAGTCGCCTTTGGGGGCGATCTTCTTAATTGTGCCTCGAGCTCTGGGGGGCAACAGGATGCGATGCTCATTGAGAAGAGAGTTTTCGACGACGGTACCCCAGACGTCACCACCACTGATATTGTCGCCAACTTTTGCTGTTGGGGTGAAAGGCCACTTCTTCTTCCGATCGAGGGAGGGGACGGCAATACCGCGAGGGATGTAAATGCTGGAGGTGTCGGTGGCGATGGTCTTAAGAGGCCGTTGGATACCATCGTAGATGGTTTCCATCAGGCCAGGGCCAAGTTCGACTGATAAGGGTTTGCCGGTGCGCAGGACAGGGTCGCCGACAGTGACACCAGCTAGAGGGAATTAGAGATGAGGATATGAGTGGTAGGAGACACTTTACCAGTCTCTTCGTAGACCTGGATGGTAGCTTTATCGCCCTCGATACGAATAACCTCTCCGACAAGCTCATCATAGCCGACTTTGCAGAGCTCGTACATGGCCACACCAATCATGTGCTCGGCGACAATGACGGGACCAGAGACGGAGAAGATGGATCCGGTCTGTTCATCGTCGCCTGCCTTGTTGGAGGGTTTTGCGGCAGGCATCTTGCGGTAGACTGTCGAGGTAGTGGGGAGAGCAAGGAGAGGTTGCGGAAAAGCAAATACAGAGGAGGAGTTGAAGCTGCTTGGGCCAGCTAAGTCGTCGTCGAGATCGTCTTCAAGAAGATCCGGAAGGCCCAACTGAAGCTGGAGGTATTTGAGGTCAGAGATCTGGTCGATGGACTTGCCAGTGATGAATTCAAGAATGGAGGAGGAATGGTGTTTCAATCGAGGACGTCCCAAACCAAGCATGCAATCAACCAAGCACTTGGAGGTGGCAGCGATTGCCAATTGGTAGGAAGCTCTGGGGGAAGGTTTAGGCGGTGGAGCTGAAAGGGCAGGGACAACCGGTGGCAGTGGCACAGGCACAGGCAGTCACAATCGTAGTAGCAGATACCGACACCGAACTTTAGCTCTCGGTCGCACTTGCACAATGAAATCGTCACTTTAGGTTTATCAAATGGCAAGAGTGATGGAAGCTACAACGTAACGAAAGATTGTGAGCTTCTTTCCTTGTGCCAGGTGCCAATGATTATGCAGCCCAGTCAACCCTTCCTTCCTTTGGAATTCCACGTTTCTACCCAAGCACCCTCCAACCACAGCAGTTGCTCATGAATTGATTCGTTAGAATGCCTACCTTAGGTACCCAGCTAGTCTTGCAGGCTGCAGATGTAGATTCGGCCAAGTTCTCACTCCGCCAACCAGAACCAGAACCAGATGGGAATCTTGATGGAAACACAAAAGCATCAACTGGAGTGTGTCTAACGATACGCAAGCTCGGAACTAGCAATAGTTTCTTCTGCAGATAGGCAATGCTGACCGATTTGGCACAGTTGCTCATGCACAACTGGATGTCACACTAGTAATCTTCACTCTGAGATGAACTGTACCTAGTAGTAACTCAATTCAAATGCGGCCGTGTACAAGTTTAGGGCCATTGAACAGCTAGCTACCTAGTCGAAGGGTAGAAGTACTGCCTGTCACAATTCGCCATGTCACGATAGAGGAAAATTAGCTTTCAGGCTCCAGGCTCCAGTAGATAACAGGCTGCAATTGTAAAGGCTTTATAAGGTGCGCACGAGGACAGACGGATCAGCTGCTCACATCGAATAGCTTGCTCCCGAGCAAGAGCTTCCGTGGTCGCTGATACTATAAATGAGGGGTCATTGGGGGTCACGACCATCGAAGGGTTCCTAAAATTGGAGCACGGTGCTCTTCAGACATTAAATATTGAATGGGAAGAGAGGAAAGCAGATGAACCATCCACCATCTCATCCCCTGACTGACCGCTAGGTAGTGCTGGGCGTGAATGTCCGTCTCTGTGCCTATCACCGTCGCTGTCACCGCTCAAAGAAGACACGTTCCAGGTCACGCTGTGCCCCGCGGCGCCCATTCTCGACTCTACGAGGCGCCTAAGCCCAAAGTTTCAGGGTCCCTTAGGTACCCGTAGTACCTGAGATAGGCTAGGATTACGACCCAAAGTCAGCAAAAACAGTCGTTAACCCGAGGGGGAAGGATTACCGAAATGGACAGCTTCGCACACGTGACCATGAAGTGTGGTGGATGTGATTATGTGTCATCTTAGCACCTCAAAAGTTGTAATGACCTGACATGCCAAGGTGCCAAGCGCGTAGAGTATCGAAACCTTCCTGTACGTACGTATATATAAGGTATCTAAGGTAGTCTGACGAAGGCTCCAATGTTGCTCGACCACTCGTGCAAACATACATCTTGCGTTTCAACGCCGTATGGTCCGTCGATCTTATTGAGCGGCAGTCCAAGCATTCAAGTGCGCAGGAACAACGAACTTTGTCACCGTATAGGTTACGGTAAGGAGTTTCAGGAGAGGCGTTCCTGCTGAACAGTGAAATTCCTTGGTAGGGAGCGTCGTGATTCCATTGCTGAAGAGCCAATGTACGAGGTCCCTAGCTTCGCACTTCAAAGTCTAGTAATGAAAGGACGAGTGCAATACTCCTGCATCTCCTGAATAGCAAAATTTCCATCTTAAATCACTGGATAGATTGCTCATTACGACAGTTGTGCCTACTCGACGTCGTTTAGGTAGTCACAAGACACAGTAAACTTGGATAGTAATGATGGCGTTGTCCGTCCCTTTGGACCGTGGTGTTGTTCTGGCCTTTGGGAACAGCGATCAGTTGGGTGTGATACAGGAGCACAGGAACTGTAGGGAATGACTGTATGCCATTCTATCTAGTGACTATAAGAGAGAGATAGGAGGAGGAGGAAGAGGAGGAAAACCTCTTCCTGGGCTATATACAGGCAGGTGTAAAGCATATTCGGTATAGACTTTAGGAAGGAGTGGAGGGGCTTAGCTCCTACTAACACACCCCCTAATTAAGATAAATATAAGGCTTTATATAGGCTTTTCTTAGTGTTTTTAGTATTTTAGTGTTATAACTTATATTTTTCTCAATTAATGCCTTTATCTATAATTATATTTAATATTCTCTAGAAGTCCGGCTTTAGTAATACTTTTATAAAGATATCAGCGACATTCTCCTTCGAGGAGACTCTTTCGATGTCAAAATCGATACTATTTCGCTCTCTAGTAAAATAAAAGTGTATTTTAATATATTTTAATCGATTTATAACGCGGTAATTCTCTATTAGAGATATCGTAGGGTTATTATCGCAGAATAGTAGTATAGACTTCGGTAAGGCCTTATATTCCTTAAGGGCTTATCTTATCTAGAGGAGAGTTATTACGGCGTAAGAGTAAGTAATATATTCAGCTTTATAGGTCGATTTAGCGACTAATAACTACCTTTTAGTGCTCTAGGAGGTAGGATATCCGTTATAAAAGACGATAAAGCTACTATAGGATCGGGCTATATCGATATCGTTTCTATATAAGGTATCGGAGTAGATATAAAGTTCTTAAAGCTTTAATAGTATTCTAGTATAGTATTTAATCTTAAATAATATTATTCCCTTTAGATATCTTAGTATTTATCGTACTATATTTAAATAGCTCTTATTTAGCGCTAAGTTCTAGCTAGATATTAATATAACCGAGAATATAAGGTTATATTGAGTTCTAATAACGAGGAAGTTTAGGGAACCTATTAGTTATTAATATAGGTTTATATCGACTATTTCGTCCCCTTCTTAGGACTTCTTAGGGTAAGATCTAGGGTCTAGTGGTATAGCCCTAGGATTATAATTATTTATACCGAATCTTTTAAGGATTCTTTCGGTATAGCTCTACTATAAGATAGTAATATAGCCGTCGTGTTATTCTATCTCTAATCTAAGGAGATACTTAGCTATTCCTAAGTCTTTATATTTAAAACGTTAGCTAATTACTAATTTAAATAACTTAAGGTTATTATCTATCCCGGCTAGTAGTAGGTTATCGACGTATACCGCCATAATTAAGAAGTCGGTCTATATAGGGTTTATAAATATATAGGGGTTGAAGTTAGTTAGTTTAAGGCTATATTTAACGAGTACTTACTTTAGGGTTCTAAACTATTCACGACCTGATTATTTAAGGCTATATAGAGCCTTTTTCAAGAGGAGGATTAGCTATTATATAGTAGTTCTTACTTAGTAGCCTTTTAGTAATCTTATATAGACTTTATATAATAAGTTACTATTTAAGTAAGTAGTATCGAAGTCTATTTAGTAGAGTTTTAGGTTATATAAAGCTATAAGACGAATAATAAGTTATAGGCTTTCGTATTTAGTGACGAGGGAGTATATATTATTATAGTTAATACTATAAATTTATATATAGCCTTAAGCGACTAACCTTACTTTATATCTAATAAGTTTACCCCCGGTATTATACTTCTTTACGAAGACCTAGCGAGAATCGATAATATACTTTAGGTTAATCTAGTGGTTTTATATCTTATCCTAGGTTTCGTTTTCTATATAAGATAATAGTTCTATATTAATAGCTTTCTAGTATTTATAACTATCTATTATTTTCATAGTAGTACTAAATATTTTAGGGATGTTGTCTCCCTAGGTAATTAATACTATTACTTTAATAGGTTCTTCGGAGTCTATCGCTATATTCCTAAGTGCCCTCTATAATAGTCTAACTATTCTACCGGATCTAGTCTTAACCGGAGAGGAGGAAATATTTCTAACCGGAGATACTGTTGCCTAGGGCGAGGACGATAGTAAGGCGATAGGGATTTTAGATATAGCCCTCTTCCGAGGGGGAGTCTTTATACTAAGAGGTCCTATAGGTTCTAGTAGCCTAGGGATTATTACTTTCAGTGTTTTAATTAAGGGTTTCTCTATTAATATAATAAGAGGTTAGGAGACCTTTAGTCTCGGGGTATATTTAATATCTCTTAAGTAGATAATTATATTTCTATTAGGGATATAAATTCTCTTAATAGACCTACCTTAGTAGCCGATTAGAAAGCCTTTTTCGGCGCGGTCTAGTAGTTTTATTCCCGCTTTATATACCTCTATAGGGATATAGACATAACACGGCTATATAAATAGTTTAAGATACGTAATAAGAGGTTTCGTGCCGTAGAGAGCCTTAAATAGCGTAATATAATTTTATAGGGCCGAGTAAGGTTTAATATTTCTTAGGTATACGGCGTATAATATAGCCTCTACCTAAAGAAAGAGGTAGTTATTATCGCTAATTATTACCCTAGTATTAGTAATTATTATACGGTTAAACCGTTTAGTAGTACTATTACTCTTATAGCTATAGGGAGGGGTGAGATAGTATATAGTACTATCGGTATCTAGGATCTCCTTAACCTCCTTATTTTTATATTCACCTCTATTATTAGATTATAGGGTTTTAGTCGTTATTTTAAACTATATCTTTATATATTCCGTGAAATACTTAATAATTTTAGTAGCCTCGTCTTTATTTAGAAGGAAGTAGACCTAGGTAAACTTAGTAAAGTTATTAATAAAGGAAATAAAGTATCTAGACTTATTTAGCGAAGGCCGGGAGAATTTACCGGATAGATCTAAGTAAATAAGGTCGAATAGGCCCTTAGATCTCTTTATCGAGATAGAATTAGGGACTTTATAAGTAGATTTTACTAGATAGTAAGCTTTATAGTAGAAGTCTCTAGGCTTTATTAGTACACTATCGCTATCGTTATAGAGACGTTTAGTAGTAGTGGCGTTAATATTCGAGTAGCCTATAGCCTAGTAGAAGTCTTTATAGTCCGTAAAGTAGGCTATAAAGTTAGCGGTAATATAGTATTTAGTTTATATCTCGAGATTTCTATTTCTTCGTTACGCCTAAAGGATAGTCGATCTATTAGAGGTATTAACGAAGACGTCGTTACCTTTTCCGGTTATAGTATAGTCTATCTTCGCTATATATAGCTAGCTAAATAGGCGAGTATCCCTTAGGTAAGGACTATAAAGGACGTTAGTAAGTTTCGTATCTTTTATAGCGCTATTTAGTAGTAAAACTCGTAGGATAATAATTCCGATACCCTTAATTAGTAGTTTATAGCCGCTAGTAATAGTAATAGTCCCGTTCTATAGAGTAAGGGAAATAAAATTAGATAAATAACCCGATATATAGCGAGTAGTACTAGTATTAAAGATCTAGGCTAACGCGGGGGAAAGAGGGAGTTATACTATATACGCTTTAATAACTTCGTTATCGTCTTATATAGGTCTTTTACTTAGACGAGGAGGAATAGGTCTCCTTCTAGAGTCTATAGCAATATAGCTAGCGGTAAAGGTAATAGTAGTATCGTTATCCTCTAGGATATCGATAATAACCGTATTTCTAGCCTTAGCCCTCGTATTATCCTATTATTTATTCTTTTAAGTAGGGAATAATTATCTATTATTCTTCTTCTACTTAGCTTTATACTCTTTCAGGGCTCTATAGTTAGTATAAACGTATCCCACGAAGGTAAGGTTATATTTCCGATACTAGGTATACTTATTAAGAGCCTTTAAAGTATTTAACTCCCTTAGAGAGTTCTTTCTAGAGGTAGAGGTGAAATAAGTAGCCTATAGTTTAGTATAGAGGTTTCTATTAGTAATATTAAGTATTTTTAGCTCGATCTCGGTATATTTAGTAATACCCTTTATATTAAGGTTATTAATAGTATTATCTATAGTATTAGGAAGTATAGTAAGAAAGAATAAGCCTTTAACTTAATTAGACTCGAAAATTATCTTTATAGCCTTTATAACTTCCTATTAGGACGATTAGTAACGTTTTTATATCTTTAGCTAGAGTTAATTAAATTTATCGAGGTATTTCTAGAGGTCTTCTCTATCTTTATATCTTAGGGTGGTGATGTTCCTAAATAGATAGATAGTAGAGTTACTAGTATCTTAGTTAAATCGCTCGGTAAGAGATAACTAGGCCTTTATAGGAGTATTATAGCTAGTAACCGTTATTATAAGGTCCTAGTGGACTAAACTTAATAGTATAACTAAGGCCTTTATATTATTTTTATCCTAGTCCTCGTTAGTAGATATCCCTCTTTTTCTATCGATATTGTCCTATAACTTAGCGAATTTGAATACTAGTAACTAAGTAGACTTCTATTCGGAGTAGTTCTCGCCCCTTAGGCCTAGTTTTAGTAAGGAGGAGGGGTCTAATTTGAATTGGAAGCCTTAGGAAGCTATTTTAGTAGTGTTTTGGAAGGTTGATGGGGTGGTGAGGGTGGGGTTGAGAATGGATAGAATGGATGGAAATGATCAGCAGTAACGGATTTGGTGCATTCCGGGTCTTATAACCTGATATAGGAGCATAGGAACTATAGGGAATGACTGTATGCCATTCTATCTAGTGACTATAAGAGAGAGATAGGAGGAGGAGGAAGAGGAGGAAAACCTCTTCCTGGGCTATATACAGGCAGGTGCAAAGCATATTCGGTATAGACTTTAGGAAGGAGTGGAGGGGCTCAGCTCCTGCCAACAGGGTGTTCAGATACGAGAATTGAACCACTTTGGCTTCCTCCGTTATTACACATATTAATCTTCAGTATGAATCATCAACAATGCTTACAATCTCCAAATTAGGCTTAGTGGATGAACAGGATCATGCATTTCTGCATTAAGTCGCCCCACAATCCTCCATATTGTCATTCTATATCAACCTCCATCTTGTCAGGTATCAAGTAGGAGGAGTCCATCTTAAGCAGTATCTGATGCTATCTATGAAAGGAAAGAAATTCGGGTCCGTAGATAACATAGAGCCTTCTCGACAGTCGCGTGATAACCCACCAGCGCCTCACTCCGATCTTCTAGCATGGTCGCTCTCCCCCGTCGGCCTCATCCGACCAAGACAAGTTGCGAGGTAGCAACCGTTCGTCCAAGCCAATAGCTACTCGTGCCTCAACTCGGTCCCAAACAACATTGAAAGTGACGACCCGGCACCCACATAGGGGACTGTCTACTGCTTGCGCCGCCCCGAAGAGTATATAACCTGTCAACCCCTCTCCCCAGAATGGCAGGCCGGGACAAACGTTACTTACGTAGCTACATACTTCTCACTTAGCAGAAAACCATGTCGCCAACCGAGTCTCTCGTTCACATTCCCATCATCGATATCTCGGGCTATCTGGACGGAGATGCCGAAGCCTCGATACAGATCGCGCAGCAAATGCGCGAAGCTTGCGAGAAGCAGGGGTTTCTCCAGATCGTTGGCCATCAGGTTTCCAAGCAAGTCCAGAGGGACTTCCTGAGCTCGGTCGCTCAATTCTTCGCCCAGCCGCTGTCAGAGAAGGAGAAGCTCTCACAGTCGAACTCGAAGTGTTACCGTGGCTATGAGCGCATCGGCGGGCAGAAGCTGGATGAGCTTGATGATTCGGCAACACCTGACCAGAAGGAAGGTTTCTCTGTGCGACCAGAGCGCCCTATCGGTCGATTCTTGCAAGGGCCAAATCAGTGGCCGGAGAACCTGCCCGGTTTCAAGGAGAATTATATGCGTTATTTCGACGCAGTCCATCAACTGTCGCAGTCAGTCTTTCGCTTGATTGCTCTGTCGCTGGACCTGCCCGAAGCATACTTCGATGACTTTTCAGCTGACCCTGATGGTAATAGATCTGATTGCCTCTGGCAAAAAGTCCCTCTTATTGCTGTCGACTAACGGTGCCGTAGGTCTCTGCCTGTGCCGAGCTCACCACTATCCTCCCACCCCTGCCGATGTTGCTGGTCGGACTCGAGGTGTAGGTGCTCACACCGATTTTGGTGCCCTCACGCTTCTACTTCAAGATGATGGTATTTGCTTCGAGCCCCCCTTGCCCCTTCCTCTCTCTGACTACCCGCGTGTGACTGCGAATGCTTGTGCTAATCCCTTTTCCGCTCCGTAGTCGGCGGTCTGGAGGTGCTTCACCGGGCCACGAACACCTGGCACCACGTGACACCGGTCGAAGGGGCCTACGTGTGCAACATTGGAGATCTGATGCAGCGATGGACCAATGACCGGTACAAGTCGACGATGCACAGGGTCATCTCTCCATTTAGTGGAAAAGATAGATACTCATGCGCCTTCTTCAACGATGGAGCTCTCGACAAAATCATCGAATGCTTGCCAACATGCATCAACGCCGGCGATCAGGCGCATTACCCGCCACTCAAGGTTGAAAAGCACATTGTGGATAGATATGTGCAGAGCTACGGTGCCGCTGGCACCGTCTTGACTGCGGCTTGAGGGCGCAATGATGGAACTGCACACGAAAAAAGTACCATAGGGTCGAGAAGAAAAGGGCAGTCTTCGAAAGAAACCGCCCATCCCCTTTCCTGGTGGTCGGAGCAATGACTCGCAATCTACTGCCTTTTTGCTAGCCATTGGCGCCACCGAAGGTTCTTGGTGAAGTTTCGCCTGGAAGCCACTTAGATAATTGGCAACAATGGTGTTGACACTGGGCAAGACTCTTTGCTTCGGGGGCTCAGATTGCAGATTCCACCAATTGCATCTTGTACGGATGTAACGATGTTTTGAGTGCTACCTATCAGCATAAATCACGACAACCGTTTCCAACCCCTTCCTTCCTGACTGTACAAATTACTGTGCATTGAAGTCTCTTTAGTAAAATGGATAATGAACTAGATGTTCAACTTCTCTAAACCCTGCTCTCCCGCTCAAACTCCGGGCAGAATCGGTAATCTATATACCCTTCCTCCAAACCTGAACTGTAAAACGTATCTCGGTCGTAGGGAACGACATCTATTCCCTTGCGGATCCGAAAAGGCAGGTCAGGGTTGGAAGTGAAACTTCGGCCAAAAGCGATGGCGATATCCCTGGCTGGGTACTGTTCATCGACCGCCTTCCTCGCCGTCTCCGCGCGAAACCCGCCGGCGATGATGATCGGGCTGGTGTCGGCCCAGGCATCGATGGCGAAGTCGAGGTTCTCGCCTTCCTCAACGTCGGCATTCCCGGAGACCCGCGACTCCACCAGGTGAATGAATGCTAGCTTCAGCTGCCTGAGGCCTTGCAGGAGATGGGTAAATTGCGGTCGGGGGTTCTTCATCCCCATACCCTGGAATGTGCTGTAGGGGCTCAAGCGAATCCCGACCTTGTCCGCACCCACGGCGGCGACCACGGCAGCAGCCACTTCCAGGGCGAAGCGCGATCGATTCTCCACGGAGCCGCCGTACTCGTCTGTCCGGGTATTGCAGACATTTTGGGTGAATTGGTCAATGAGGTAGCCGTTGGCGCCGTGGATTTCGACGCCATCAAAGCCCGCTTTCATTACGGCATTCCAAGCTGCTTTAGCGTGATCTTGGACCAGTCCTTGGATCTCTGCCCTCGTGAGCTCGGCTGGGACGGGCGTTGCTCCGGGAGTGATGGCCTGCGCGCTGGAAGATGCAAACTTGATCCCAATCCTGCTTGCGACGGTCGGGTCGGCCGTGCGGCCGAGTGACCACAGCTGTAGAACGATATAGGACCCTTGGTCATGCACCGCTTTCGTGATCTTCCTCCATTCCTCGATCTGCGTCTCGGACCAAATCCCCGGTACGTTGGTGTAACCACCAGCATTTTCAGAGACCAGGGTCCCTTCAGTGATTATCAAGGTACCGGGAACCGAGGCGCGTTGTGTATAATAGGTAGTTGCGAACGGCAATGGGACATATGCGTCGTCGGCGCGAAACCTCGTCATGGGCGCCATGACCATGCGATGCGCGAGCTTCACTTGTCCAATTTGCAGAGGCTTGAACAGCTTCGAATCCTGCCATTGGGGAGGCGTCATTATGGGCGCGCGCATGTTGCTTCGAAAGTTGTGCGTGAAGGACTGAAAATCTACGTCGACGGGACAGTACCCCGGACGCAATGCCGGGTGTACTTATCCTTTGCGTTACTATGGCCCAGCGACCCTCAGGACAGGTCATTTTGAAGAGACTCCATATTGCTCTTCATCGACAACTTTGATCGCTGACAAATGTTTGAAGCCTCTTTGGACATCTAAGGCAAGGTCAAGCCCATCTTCCCATGTATTCTTGGTGTTCAGGGTCGCCCACGTCCGGCCCCACTTCATGGTATCGGATGGTTGGAAGACTGGCCTCTCTCTCGCCCAGCAAGTCGCCCAGCTCCGTCGCCGTCGACTGAGGTGTGCCACAGTATGAGATGTGTAGGCCTCCCGTAGCGTTTCGTCCGACGATGGCTCTGAGTGAAGATGGCGGGTGATCCAACATCAACATTCACGACCAGGCATCATGGCTGCTTCTATATCCGATACGTCGCTTAATCCCTGTATTGTATGTGCAGGTAGGTATAGAAATCGGATATATCGTATGTCTTTTAGCCACGCTCGGTGGGTTCGTTGTCCTCGTCCATACCCACAAACTATGATATATATATGGTGAAACGCCGCGGGGCCTGACCAATTCTCCTCGAGAGTACCTGATCAGATTCGTGCCAAGAGATCCTGTGGCGCCCGAAGACGCACTGAAGACGGAGAAGAACACATACGTGTGAGGATTGGGTCAGAGTCACCGAACGCGGAGCTACGGACGAAACATAACGAGGGTTGCGGGAACACGGCGGATAGGAGACGTGTAGAGATGAGTGTCTGATCCAAGTCAGCAAGGGGGGAAGGACTGCTCGAATCTGTGAGTGGAATGGCTATACAAATCTCAGTTCAAGGTCTTGCTTGCCCGTTATCAGTTGACTATATAATAGATGCTTGAATGTCGTCTCCGAAATGCTACCAAACCTTTAGCTGAATGACTATGTCCTTTTCATGGCTTCCCTCCCTCCACGGTTGCACCCGCAAACCGTCCTTCCTTGAACTCCTTCACCATGGTCTCCATGGTGACCCATTCGACGCCCTCGTGGGTGTTGATCCAGTTGATGATGCGCTCCTGCATCAGCATGATCTGGGCTTTCCCACTAACCTGGGGGTGGATGCTCATGGGGAAAACAAAACTATCGTACTCTTGGTACATGAATGCGAAGATATCCTTCCACGTCTGCTCGACCGAATAAGTATCGACATAGCCGTGGGTAGAGGCCTGCTTCAAGGACAGGACGAAGGGCGGCCAGTCGTCCAGATGCCAATTGGCGGGGACAACCACGACGTTGGACGGCTTCAGCGCGCTCATGGGCTTCATCCACGCCGAAGGAGACTTTTTGGTGTCGGTCGGAATCAATTCCTGCATGCCATCGGGCGCATAGTATAACTGTGCGTCATGATGCATATGCGAATGGTCATATTCAATCCCATACTCCTCCAGCAGCTTGATGGACTCTTTCGAGGTCGACCACGCCGGCGCCGTCCAACCCTTGGGTTTCTTGCCCATGAACTCGGTCAGCACTTGGATCGAGGTCTCTAAAATCTCTCTTTGCGATTGTTCGCTATGGTTGGCCACAAACTCATGCGTATAACCATGAAGAGCGCTGGATTTCCCGTCAAAACTAGTCGGAATCACATGGGGTGGGGTATGACTACTGACATTTCATGTCCCGCGTCGCGGACTTTGGCAATCTGGGTGGGGAAACTCTCCAGTGAATGGGCAGGGACGAACCAGGTGGCTTTGATGTTGTATTTGGCGTACAGCTTGAGCAGTCTGTCAATGCCCACCGTGGCCCCAAATATGCCGCGCGAAATGTCGGTCATATTAGCGGGAGAGCCATCCTGTGTGTTCAGCCTGGTGCAGGGTCAGAAGTTGCAGACACGCGTTTGGATTTGGGACATGCGCACCATCCGCTGACAGCGTCGACATCGACACCGTATCCTACAAGAACGCGTTTGCCCATTTTGCTATTTCCCGTTTCCTAAGGCGCTGTTGATTGACGTAGGGCGATTAGTCTGACTCTATGACGTTGCAGACAGAATGCGGCATTGGAAGTCGAAGACTTATACTGGGAGCAGCGCGTGATGAACGGGTGGATAATTTACCAACGTGGACGACCAAAAGGGTCCACCATCTCCGCTGCTCCCCTTGGGTCTCATCGTCGCACAACGGTGTAAGGCGACAATTTACGGAGTTGGGCGACACGAGGAAACGGGGGCAGTTGCGAGGGATATGGGCTGGGGGGAGGGAAGGTCATGTTGACCTTCAAGCTCGTGATGGACGCTGAATGAAGGAGTGTAGAAGGCATACGATAAGCCAACAGGTCTGTGCCTTGGGCCTGTAATTGACAATGAGATGAAACGTCCACACCGTCATTCGCAGGCCCTGGATCATTTGTTGCTGATTTGCTGGCTGTGAGGCTGCCGAACTCAACCAGCCGCAAGCCTCAACTGCTTCCCTTGCAGGTTTGCGGGGCCAAGTGGAAAAGTCTGCTTTCGGACATGGGCGACAATACATCCTTCCCTGTAAAGGTTCTTGAACATGTCAAACTCGCTCTCTAGAAGTTCTGACCACTGCCTAAGGACCCTGGGTCTAGAACCAACAAACACACCCGAAGCTATCGACTCTCTCTCAAGATCTGCCACCGCGTTGGATCAGCAATGGAAGACGACGGCTCTATACAGGCAACGCAGGCCAAAGATGAGGAGAGTTTTCAATCCCTGAGGGTGCATGATCTTCTGTCGCTGAAGGGGAAGGTCACGGTCATTACAGGTATGGTGACCGATTCACAACTACTCCAGTCCGTCAATCAATCAATCAATCATGGAAGCCTGACGGGGAGTATCCAGGTGGTGGAAGAGGCATTGGGCTCGCCATGGCGCGGGCAGTCGTTGAAATGGGCGGTGACGTGGCTCTGCTTGACAGGCTGGACGAGTCTGTTGACGATCTGGGAGAGATGGAACAAACCTTTCAGATCCGAATGAGGTACTATCGGTATGTGCGCCTCTGTCTCTGGGACCAATGGGTGAATAAGAAATTGACGCTGGGAAGGGTCGATGTTACAAACATGAGCGCGTTGTCAGATGCGTTTAAGCGTGTCAAAGAAGATTTCGGCTCCATCGATAACTGGTAAGAGGATGGGCGAGCGAGAAATTCCAAATACATATAATGCGATCAAATTTTGACAGCAGGAAAACAGCATCACCGCCGCAGGCATCGTCGTCGACCGGCCCTTTTCCGACCACGAATGGGACGAATGCTCCAGAATGCTCAACGTCAACGTATGTGAGAAGCTCCTCCCCGAAGACAATCGCCGCGAAAGAAGCCACCTTCTAATCAGAAGAGTTTGTCCCGTAAGCAGGTGATGGGAAGCTTTTTCTCGGCCCAGTTGGCTTCGCAAGTGATGCGTGAACAATCCACGGGAGGGAGTATCATCTTCATCTGCTCGTCAGCAGCGCACGCAGCCACCCCTTCACGACGCATGTCCATGTACAGCGCGACTAAAGGCGCCATTCTCTCCTTGACACGCAGTTTGGCCGTCGAACTCGCCCCGTTCGACATCCGTGTGAATTGTGTATCTCCAGGATTTATTGCGACCGAGATGGTTCTCGATCAGGCCAGTAAGAATGAAAACGTGTGGCAAGGGATCAAGAACGGGCCTCCGTTGAAACGGATCGGGTACCGGGCGGAATTGAAAGGCATCACGGCATATCTCTTGAGTGGCGCAGCAGCCTACACTACTGGCGCAGAGTGTGTGGTAGACGGCGGCATGACGTGCGGTAGAATCTAGAAAGCCTCTGAATTGATGGATGGCCGACTATGTATTTGGGTCTGGGCTGCTCTTTGAATCCGTCCGCAGTAGACACAAGGGCTCTTTTCCTCGTCGACGACGACCAAGTCAACCCGTGGATGATCCGCTTCACTCCACGTCGCCGTCTTCGAACATCAAGATCGAATGCTGCCATGCCCAAGACAGATTGTGTACTCTCACTCTCAGCGTAACTGGCTGCTTCCAGCCAATATTGACAATCGCTGGTCTAGACTTAGATATGCAGACCTCGTCGAATGGAGAGTTGAGATTGAAGTGGAGTAGCTCAACCAACAACAAGTCCTTTAGACAGATAGCTATTGTAGCTAGCCAGTCTCAATCATTGTGATTGTTCTACCCTTCAACTTCTCTCTTTCTTGTTATTTTGTCCACCGGGCTGTCGATTTGACAGGGAAGAGGGATGATAAGACTATCGAGGTACTCCATACAGCAACGAGAGTACCAAGCTACAAGTACCGCCCAGGTCCGGGTGCATGTGCATGTTCATACCGTATACCGGGGTGGTGCATCACCCGGGCTTAGGCGACAGTGATAATCCTCCTCTCGGGGATCCACGACACCACCAAACCCCCAAACACCAGGCGGCGTATGGACGCACAGAAGGATCTCTGGAACTCGAACTATGCGTGGACGTCTACATATATCAAAGACGGCACGCCCCATTTGAAGGAGTAATGTCAGACTGCAGGCGACTGACACTCGACAAGGGAACAAACACCAAGATTCATACCACAACGGCGTTTTCCTGTGCGTCCGAGACTGGAAGCATCGTGTCTGACTCCCCTCCCCCCCGACTAGGCCTCATCTCCGGTCAAACATGACTTACCCTGTACCCGGCACCGTCCACCTGGTGGATTTGGCGGGCAACCTGAGCGCCAAACATGAAGCAGGCGGCAACAACCAGATTGTACTCATCCCCCAGCCTAGCTCGGATCCCGATGACCCGTTGAACTGGACTTGGTGGCGCAAGAACCACAACCGATTCTGGCAGATAATGTGGACGGTGGTCGGCTGCGCCATCATCAGCTCGCTGTCGCCAGCCTACTTGCTCATCCAGGAGGACACGGGGATCCCCATCGCCGACCTCAACACGGGTATCGGCCTCATGTATCTCTTCCTGGGCTGGGGCAATGTGGTGACGCAGCCGCTGGCCATGAACTTCGGCCGACGTCCTGTCTTGATCTTCTCGCTCCTGGGCACTTCCTTGATGATCCTGTGGTCGGCCTACATCAAGAACAGCGGCGTGTGGTTCGTCAACCGCATCCTCATGGGCATTTTCTATGCCCCTGTCGAATCCCTGGTCGAGATTCTGGTCACCGATCTATCCTTCACCCACGAAAGAGGCTTCTACATGGGGGTGTACTCCTGGACCCTGTGGAACGGCGCCTTTCTTAGCCCCATCGCCGCCGGGTACATCGCCCAGAATCACGGCTGGCGCTGGATTCAGTACACCGGCACCATTATCGGCCTGACGGTCACCGTGCTCATGTTCTTCTTCTTCGAGGAGACCATGTACTTCCGACAGACCATCCAGGCCGAGTTCCTGGACGAGTTCGACTCCAATTCCAACCACGCGTCATCGACCGAAGTGGGAGCTGAGAAGAACGAGAAGAGTCAGAGCAATGACCCCGGATCGAAGACTCCCGAGGCTGCACTGGAGGAAGTGACCCTGGGAAAGAGCAACAAGACCTATCTCAGCAAGTTGAGGATGTGGGGGCTACGATCTCCCGACCAGCCCAACACCTTCTGGAAGTTCTTCCTTCTTCCATTCACCTTGGTGCGGTTCCCGGCCATGCTGTTTGCCGGTCTGCTTGTGGGTAGCATCCTGGCATGGTTCAACGTCTTGAACGCCACCATCGCGGAAGTCTTTGGTAACGCGCCATACAACTTTGACACCAACGAAATCGGCCTGATATATCTCGCGGCAGTTATCGGCACCACAGTGGGTTGTTTCCTGTCTGGCTGGTTCAGCGATATCGTCTCGGAAAAGCTGGCCCGCCGAAACAAGGGCATCAAGGAGCCCGAGGCCAGACTTTGGATTGCCCTCGTCACGCTGTTCCTCCACCCATTCGGGTGCTTTCTGTATGGCATCGGTGCCACTCAGAAGATCCATTGGATCGGACTCGCCTTTGGCATCGGATTTATCTCGCTGTCTTTGCCCACCGGCTCCAACATTGGCCTGACATATGTGATTGACTCGTACAAAGAAGTCGCGGGAGAATCCATGACCACCGTCATCCTCATTCGGAATACCATAGGTCAGTCACCCACGCTCCCAGCGCCTCTCGTCTGCTTGTCCCACTTTCCGAAAAGCGCTTTGCAAAAAGCACTGACATGTCTTCCCTGCAGGTTTCGCCTTCGCCTACGCCATTGCTCCGATGATCTCGTCTCTCGGATTGCAGAACAGCTTCATCTTGGTGGGTTGCTTGGGAGCAGGTTTCTGGTGTCTTTGCTTCTTGATGATATGGAAGGGGAAAGAGTGGCGCCAAAAGACCGCCGCCGCGTACTGGAAACTGGTCGAGGAACATGGACTCCATGCTCACTGAGGTTGGCGTTGACGTTAACGTTGATGCTAAGGCGCCACTGCTGGAGGAGCGCCATTCGAGTCGATTTCATATTACACTACTTGGTCTGAGGATAGCGGCTTGCAATGCGGGAGGAGATTGTTCTAATTTTGTAAGAGCCACCCTTGGTGTGCTTGATAGAGAGACAATAGATGTTTGCGACAAGGCTTCCAGTCTTTAGTTGTTGAAGAACCAGGTCAATTTTACCCAAAGCTCGTTGGCTTACGTCGCCCGGCTGTCTGACTCATCGTGGTGTGACTCATCGTGGTCCAAAGCCCCCGTGTCCATGTCCAGACCTTGAAAGGATCGGCCAGTTGAATGTGAGGGAGATTTTCACCTGGACTGATCACACAGGTCAATACCAGTCATGCACCGCGGGACAAGAGCATGGATCTAATATGAACACTTGATCATTTACTCATATACACGCATAGCATCAGAAGCCAGGCATTGATGTATCAAAGTGTGTCTCCTTTCCACAGAATAAAACCTAGTAGAGCAGAAAGGAATTCCCAGACTTTAGCATCCAACACATTCCACCGTCAAGATAAAGGCGCCAAAAGCTCACAGCTTCAACTCCAGCCGTTCTACAGGAGCGTCAGGAAATCCTAGACGAACGACGGCCTCTCGCCGCTTCAGATCCATGATGATATTGAACAAAGTCGAATTATCACCCACTCGACAAATGGCTGCCGGAGCATTCTTGCGGTCGGTGAAGAAGGAATGGACGTCGGTCCACGAAGGATCTTCCACCGCGTCCGTCAACTCGCGCATTCGCTCAACACGGAAAGGCGAGTCGGACAGCCATACCGTGTCCACGACCCCTGGGTGGGACATGAGTAGGTGGTTCGAGTGAATCACGCGCCCGCGGGAATCGGGAGGCAGCGTCGCGTGGGTGGTGGACGTGTACTCACACCCGTACGATTCGTGAGCATCCGAGATCAGCAGATGGACGGGTCCGGCGAGGAGACCGGATTGCTTCAGCGACTCGAGGGCATCCCTCGCTGTGGAATTTTCGAGGACCATGCGCATCCCAAGGTGGACGGGGAGTCGATCCAGATCTACGCCTTTTGTCCTGATGGCATTCATGCACACCCCGACGCCGGCCGAGTTGAAGCCTATCTTGCCTACCATGCCCGCCTCAGTCACCATTTGGATGGTTGGCTTGTCCAGCTGGCGAATTTCAAGGACGATTAAGTTTTCCTGCTGTGATATCTCCCACTATTGAAACCGTCAGCGGCGCAGGAACTCTCATCGCCAGGGGTGGGGAGTTTCACATCCCAATTCTGGGCCAGAAAACTGTGCTTTTCGGTCTGCCACGACAGCGAGGTACAGCCGTCGGTCCACCGGCCGAATGCAATCTCGGTCCGGACATTCAATGCCAGGATGTCCAGTAACGAAACTCCGGCGCCGTCCGCCACACCTGTGTGCTCGCCGTCAGGTGAATAAAATGGAGATCGAGAAATGTTCGACGGGGGAGATCTAGAGGGAAACTGGGCTTCCAAACCTTTCATTTCTTCCAGGTAATGTGGCCATTTGCGTTTGACTTTGGTCTCAAAGGTTTGCGCGACGCATCGAACCTCGTCCCAGTCCATCGCGCTGGCCTTTTGGAACATTCCTGCGTAGAAGGCAAGGCATCGCTGAATTTGCAATTGCGCACTAGAACCATGTTGGCGCCCGATCTATCAAAGTCAGGCCAAAAAAACCCCAAACAGTACACAAGACACGCGCGGGGATAGGTAGGAATTCACTTCGTAAGGCGTGCCACTGCACTTTATAGTGAGCATGATACTATCGGCTCTCGCACCAGAAGGCGGATAGAGTGCTTCGTGTTGAATAATTCGCGAGCAGCAACGGGGGTAGCAACGGGGGCAGCAACCATGTTTTGTCCATGAGTGATATGGCATTCTAAAAGGCCCGTCAAACGAAGACCTTGACATGCCCTGTCGCGTTGCGGTATCCACCTGGTTCAATACCAAGAGCCGGAGGTATATTCAATCCGTCTTAGTATGGAGTCGTGTGGGGACGAGCGGGATGGATTGGTGTCGCCCAGGTCCGAGGGTTGTCGCCCAGGTCCGAGGGTTGTCGTCCAGGTCCGAAAAGGTCCAGGCAAGTTGGACCAGGCCAGGGTCACCACAATGGGAACTCGTAGCACTTTACGGATTAGCACCAGGCTCAATGCTGCCGATCATGAATAAGGTCTCTGGACAGAGGGGGAGTCGACGCCAATCATTTCGATTCCAACGTTTGAATTTATGTTTGGATCACATGTACTCGTGGATGTCAAGGTCCATGCCAAAGTCAAATTCTGCATCCCAGTCGTGTGGGATGAAGGCGTAGGGATCCACGGAAGTTGCACTGATATCCATGAAGGGTTCCAACGGTGGCATGAAATTCATGGTGTCTGTGAATCCCAATACGTCCCCGAGGATTTCGGTCGGGTCATTCTCGGGGTCGTGGCCGAGTCTGTGGAACTGGGCGCCTCTCTCCTGCAAGAGAAAGTCGGAGTACTTCCTTTTAATGGGACTTAAGAGTCGATCGTACTCTTGCAAGCAGCGTGTTGCGGCTGGCCACCGTTCCGAGATGGTAGAAAACACCCGAGAAAAACAGTGGGCAAGCTCTTCGACTTCCTCCAGGCTGTATGTCTTGGCCACCTCGGACGTGCAGGACTGTAGAACCTGCAGGAAGACCACGGCGGAAGAGAAGGCATGATAGAGAGGGTGAAACACGTATTTGATCCGCCCGAATTCTGTGTTTGCCTGCTGCCAATAGCCGGTTGCCACCTGTACGCTGGACCGCAGTGCTTTCATTAGATTTTCGGTATTGAACGTCTTGACTCGTGGGGAAGGTCCGAACAACAGGACAATGATCCAGTGGTAGGCAATCTCGGCATACAGCACCATCTCATCCCAATGTGGCTTGAGTGCAGCGTCCTGATTCCAGCTCGCGGACTTGTGGACTTCATCCAACCACGTGCGAATCTCGGTTTCAGTCTGCGTGATCCAGCACTCCAGGGAAGGACAATCCGCCGGAAGGGGTTCATTTTGGTAGAGGACTGAGATTGCTGCCGACTCGACCAGGCGGAAGCCGCGAATCCGGTGTGAGACGAATTTGACCTTGGATCCAGTCGTGTCGATATAGTCTTTATGGATGGCCGAGTCGTCAAACTGGGATGGGAAAGGAACATGAATGTATTTGGTCAGAGTCCGGATCGGCCGGTGGAAGCCAGCACTGACGGCCACTTCCATTTCCCAAGCGCACCAAAAGATCCGGCGTCTCATGTCTTGTTTGGTCAGGTCCCGCTCGGAAGAGTCAACGACCTCCCGGTGAAGTCCCATTTCAATACAGGCCTCGCTCGAAATTCCGGTAAGCAGCCACAGGTTCGCCATACTGGGATTTAGAAAGGTATATTGGATGAGCAAGAGGAGAGCCTGTAGCCCGTAAATGTCGTAGGACATGACGGTGGACCGATGGAACATGGCGTTTCTGAACAGCTTGGCGGCAATGGAGTTGGCGTGCGCCTGCTTATTCCGGGCAGCAGTAGAGAGTGAGATGGCCATGATGATACTGACAATGTATTCATCCCACGCTGGAATAGAATCAGTTGTGGTGCTGTAGAAGACATGGGCAAAAGCATTCTCCACCTGGCGAATGTGGAAGATGGGATACTGATGGATGATGCGAGTGAGATATGTAGTGAGCAGGAACTCAGCGACCCGGATGGGGATCGAGGTGAGGGACATGTTGGAGGACTGCTGATTGAGGATGGTACGAGGATGACTCTGGTCCAGGTCCGACATGCCAAAGGACTTTTTGGCCGAAGGGATCTCAGTGGGCGCCGCAACACAGCCTGCCAGGCACGAATCCTGCGTAATGCCGAGAAAGGAGGGCATGATGTCGCAAATGGCATCGTCGACTATCAAAGGCACTGTCAGCCCCATGTCTCCGGGGGGTCCACGACCCTCAGCCATGGCCGCGTTCGACGGCCGCTGGGGACTCTCCAGAGCAGCAATGCGTTCCTCCAAGTATCGTGTAATGCTCCTGGGTGCCGTGTTGTTAGTGGCAGAGTTCCAGGCCACACACGGCACTCCGGCGTTGTAGCACGACGAGCATGACGGAGTGTTGGCATCGCACTGCAGAAATGAGAAATGGTTCCATCAGCACAGTCCGCGCAATGGAGATGGAGGCTTCAAGATAGCCACCTACCGTGACTTTTCTGTGTCGACATCGAGCGCACGACGTCGCCGTTCTCCTGACTCGTCGTGTTTCGCTCATCCAGGAGCTTGAGGAGAGGAGAACTCTGGCTGGGCAGGCATGAGAGTCGTGGTCGAGATGTGATTGTTGAAGTGTCCTGAGGAATCAGGATTGCTAATGATAGCCGGGAGGCTGCGAGACTACGAGTTACAAAGACTACTAGAACTACTAGCGTCGATACATAGTACTGTAGGGCTTGGTACCAAGAAGGTTTGGTGATAACAACCCGGATTCTCACCCGAGCGTCTTTACAACGATTGACAGAGACCCCGTCGCCTTTTCGGAGAAATTCCCAGTTGGGCCGGGAGGCGGTAAAGTTGACCACATATTCCGCCAGAGTGGCCCCCAGGCCCTCGGGCCCCCTCGATCCCTCGACCCCTAGCATTTGACTTGTCGGGCGTCGGAAGCTTAAGGCGACGCCCCCTTGGCCCTTATCAGAGGGGACGTGCGCCCTATGAGATCTGCCGTTCAAGGCCAGCAAGGCCCATCCGCCTGCCTGCTTGGCTCCTCGGCCTCGTTATCGGCGCCTGGCACCCACCGGCCGAGGGGCCCACAAGGGACAGCCAGCAACCAGACAAGGACCCCAGAACATGTCGTCTATCGTCTCACCCGTTCAAAGTAACGTCGACCAGAATCCCAACAGCGCTTGAGGCATGCCTGCAACTTCCAGCGATGCCGTCGACAGCGATGAGCTTCAACCTACCGACTTTGAGGCGCTTGTCCAGCTGCTCTCGGCCTGCAAAAGATGCCGCAAGTCCCGAAAGCGGTGTGATACCCAGCTACCTGCCTGTGCCAACTGCAGCCGGGCGGGCACCGACTGTGTCTTCTTTGACCATGTCTCCAAGGAGATGCTTCCTCGAAGGTAAGCTCTCTGTGGTCGACTCTCACCAACCGTGTTGACGGCTGCCAGGTACGTTGCTTCGATGATCTCCCATCTGAAACAACTTGAGGCGCGCTCTCTCGCAAAGTCGGATGCTGGCATGGAATCAAGGGCTGGTTCTTTGTCTTCTTTCGAATCCCACCAAGTCTTTCCCGTCCGACACTCCATCAGTGACCTGGGTGAGGACGGCCCAGCTGCTGTCCACGGGGAATTCACCTTACGATGGAGAGATGACATGGCAGCATCGGTGCCGTGCCCTCCTCTGAGCACCGCTTGTCAGGCTCTGATCGACCAAGACCTCCACGACTTTCTGATCAGCACATTTGTCGACACCTTGCAGGGTCCGTATCCCATCTTGGACTCCAACAGCCCGTTCTTGCAAAGGCCGCTATCCCATTGCGACAAACTCTCGCCTTGGGAGACATGCTCGCTCAAAATGGTATACTCGATTGCGTGCCACTGTATTCCAGCCAACGATACTCGATTAGTTCTTCTCTCCGACGTGCTTTATAAAGAAGCCACTGGCTATGTAGAGGAGATCACCGCCGATCAGAATGTCGAGTCCTTACAGACCATCGTCCTTCTTGCTTTGCGAGGCCAATTTGATGGACGAAACGGAAGTGCAGGCCAGCAGATCGCTTTCGCCCACCGCCTAGAGACCGAGTTGACGTCTCGAGAGGCTGACGAGGCAGTTCCAGCTCTGCAGCGTCTGAAGCGTATCATTTATTGCATTAGCAATCAAGTTTCCACGGCTCTCGATCGCCCTTCTGGTCTGGCCGCACCGGTACGTTGTCTTGGACGTGTTTGGGAAGTGAGGATGCTGATCAAAATTAGGCTCTTTCAGACAAGGAGAATTTGACCAGCACGACAGATGAAGCTGATGTCCTCTTCCATCTGGCCGCACTGCAGCTGCACATGCGCGGTGACAGGCCAATTGACCCTGCTCAGCTGGACTTCCTGACCAAGTCAATGGCTCGGGAATGGTCACCCTTAGTCCGAACATCGCTCTGTGAAACACGGTTTCTTTTACGGCCGACTCAAGAATCGGCCATGCAATTACTAGAGTCATACATGGGCGACGGCATGATTTTGACCATCTTCGTCTCACGCTGGACGTACAATGCCGTAACATTCTTGCTCTCCAATTCAGGCGACACGATTTGCCAACAAGGCTACCAGCTCGGAATGAGAGTCTTGGACCGATGCGCACTGAAATGGCCCAATACAAGAGTCCTGCGACGGGCTCTTCAGGACCGTGCATACCCCTCTAAGCAGTGACGCTCACAATATCAAAGCGGACATTGCTCTCAGAGCCGTGCTGCTATGTAGATCAAGTCAGACATCGATCTCTGCGTCTCTGGACTTGTCTATCAGCACCGTACTGAGGCCCCTAAAGTAACCATCTCGGCGGTAAATTAGCAGAGGCGGCGAGACCTTATGGCATCATGATATACAGTCCACACACTGCACGGGCATGCCTCCAGGTACTGGAGGCCAGCCTGCGACCATACCCGAACCTGGCAGGGTCGCCTAAACCAAAGGCGGTGTTGACATTGACGCTAGTGATAGAGATGTAAAGACTGCTGGCATTCTAAGAGTTGTAGAGAGAGAGAAGAGAAGTTCTCTCTGGTGGGAGATCTGGGAGATCTCTATTAGTAGAGGAAGGTGCTCTACAACAACTTTTGCGGTTGGAGGGTTGGATACTCCGCAGTGGCACGTGATCCCAACCAACAGAGCTACGGAGTACGGAGTAACTTAATTAACCACGTTAACTCAACCAAGTACTCCGTAGGCAAGTTAACCCACTAACTTAACCCACTAAACAAGTCATGTGAAAGGCCGAGGGGCCTCGCCAACTCCGATCATCGACGAACCTCGCCCCGACATGATCCTCTCTGTCCGACTCCACGACCACTCCAAGGCACTTCTTACACATCACCATCGACAACACCGCTCTCTATCTCTCTCCCCCCTCACTGCTTTCAACATCAATTCTTCCTGTTTCTTCACCAGAGCCAAATCTCCATACGACTTCCATCTCGCCTTCCATCCGTACCCATCATCACCCTATCCGCCTCTACTGGAAACCTGGCACCTAAACGCCTCCTCCACCATTTGTCACCATCACTTGCCAGATCGTGGTTCAACGACAAGACCGATACGTAATTCGAATGCTGCATTTCTCGAACATTTCGCCGACAAGCACTAGTGCTACTGAACTTGCACCTCGTCTGCTCCAGTCAGTCTCCAGCAAGTCCCCTCTCGCACTCGATCAGACTTGACCCTGATCCTGGCGGCTCGGCCGCCATCACGAACTGGCAGCCCATCCCAGTTCGAACGACCTAATCACTGCCGACGACCCATCCATCACGACTTCCCCTCAACCTACTACCACCAGAAATACTAATTCCCACCTCCCCTACACACCTATTGTTAACCCCACCTCTGCCTCCCCTCCTCAAGACAACACACTGAGCCTTCCAACCTTCACCATTCAACCCTCGCCGATTCCACCAGACCCATCGACACTCAGAGGGAGGCGCAGGAGAAGAAGTTCCTTGTCAGACCAGTCCGACCCAGACCACTCAGGCTTTCCGTTGTCCGGGCCTGCTGAAACAAACACAGAAGCGGCTTCTGCAGAAGATTCCACGATAGCATCGAGAGCAAAACGCAGGCGAGTCCATCACTCCAATATGAGAGTAGAGGAAGATGTGGATCAGATCTTTGCCAATGGCCACAATGTCAGCTCCAACGGGTCTACCCCTAGGAAGCCTGTACAGAATGGACTCAACGGTCACACCTCGGGCGCCGTGAACCGGTCGACGTCTCCCTACACTAACGGTGCAGCAAAGAAGCAGTCTGTAGTCCGGGCACCTACCTACCGCGGACACAGTCGAGAAGAGGTGGTTAGGATTATGATACAAGGCTTGTTTGACCTAGGCTACCCGAATGCTGCCAATCTCCTGGGCAGCGAAAGTGGTTACGAATTGGAGAGTCCAACAGTATCCGCCTTTCGAAACGCCATCCTCGAAGGAATATGGTCCGAAGCAGAAGCCATCTTACTCGGCTCGCCGCAACTCGACTTGCAGAGCAGGTCTCGGCTCAATGATGACCAAAATGGCGATGGCTTGGTTCTTGCCGATGGGGCTGACAGAGGTCAAATGTTGTTTTCCATTCGACAGCAGAAATTCCTCGAGCTTCTGGAGCGCCGGGACCTTGGCCTAGCACTGATGGTTCTGCGGCAGGAGTTGACGCCCTTGGAACACGACATCCACCAACTACATGCTCTGTCCACCTTGCTCATGTGCCCCCCGGAAGATCTCCGAGCCAAGGCCCATTGGCCTGGCACCGTAGATGAATCTCGACGAGCCTTGCTCCAGGATCTCTCAAGATCTATTGCTCCCTCGGTTATGATCCGAGATCACCGTCTCGCCGAGCTCTTCGACTTGGTCAAGCAAACCCAGATCAATCAATGTCTCTATCACAACACCTCGATTCCCCCGTCACTCTTTTCCGACCATCACTGTCACCGCGATGGTTTCCCCGCTCGAACAACGCTGCAGCTAGAGCACCACACGGGTGAGGTGTGGCATGTGCAGTTCTCTCATGATGGAACCAAATTGGCGACAGCGAGCCAGGACCGGACTGTCAACATCTATGAGACAGTCACGTTCAAGCTTCTGCATAGCCTTAAACAACACTCAGGTGAAGTGACGTATGTGTCATGGAGTCCTGACGACACCAAAATCATCACGTGTTGTCAAGACTGCAAAGCCCGCGTGTTTGATGTCGAGTCTGGTCGGCTCCGTGTGACATTGGAGCACCAGACGGTCGATCAGAACTACGGTATCACGGCTGCGGCATGGGGTCCAGATTCGATGAGCTTTGTGACATCAAGCCACGACCGTCATTCACAATTGTGCCATTGGAATCTCCTGGCATCGACGCCTGAGCAACCGGTTCACGTGTGGCCGTCGGGATTTCGAGTCCAGGACGTCGCCATCACTGAAGACGGTCATTGGCTCGTGGTCCTTGACCCGCAAAACATCATTCGCGTGTTCGACCTTCACACGTACCGGGAAGAGCCTCCGATCAAGACGACAGGCAAAATGACGAGTATATCTCTAAGTCGAGACGGCAGCACAGTTTTGGTAAATTTTGCTATGGGAGAAGTGCACCTAATTGACTTGGTTAGCCGAGAAGTGATTCGCAGGTTTACAGGCCAGAAGCAAGGCGAGTTCGTGATTCGGAGCTGCTTTGGAGGAGCTGCCGAGAACTTTGTCGTGAGTGGTTCCGAAGGTGAGTGCATTCTCCCCCTCTGAAATGTGTGCATGCTGATCTCCGTTGCAGATGGAAATATATATGTTTGGCACAAGGAAAACGAATCGCTGATTGAGAGGCTCTCTGGACACGGGAGAGGGCAGAGTGGAAAGCAGTGTGTGACCACAGTGGACTGGAATTCGCAAGATGCAGGAATGTTTGCTTCTGGTGGAGACGACCGCAAGGTTCGCATGTAAGCGATTGACATCTGCTGATGGAGTGGGAGTGATGCTGACTGTCACAGATGGACCAATGCAATGCCTCCCACCGAGAGTTTCTCCGCTGGGTCCGATAGACCACAAAGCCGGCAAGATCTAGGACGAACGAGCGCATTAAGGTCAACCCTTTGAAACGAGACGCAGCATTACGACACGGTTTGGAACGGATCATGGCGTTTGGGGCTTCCGTCGGCAACACGTTGCCCTGGGTATCGGTTGAATTTGCACAGAGTATAGAGGTTTGGGTAGGGCATTGCATGGAAGATAGTATTCTGTTGAATCGTTACAAACTGCAAGCCAGTCGTAAGCGACACAAGGACTAGGAACAGCCAAACAGCAGACCTTGATTGGAACGCGATGAGGTCTCATGTGAGTATCTACATGGATGGGGGGCGAGAAGCAGGCTGAAGCAATGGTGTGTTTTTTTGGCATTTGACAAGCGAACCAGGGCAGGCGCAGGTGGTACATGCGATGCTCGACATCCCTTTGCACTATTGCTGTTAGAATCTGGCTCCTCAGTATTTACAAGACTATCACAGGACATTCTCATCTCACCGACAACTAAAGGAAGAGGTGATCTTGTCATGATCGAGTGTGGATTGATAGGGACGCGTATGCGTCGCCAAAGGACCTCAAGCAAGAGGAAGGCGCCGTGTAACACCGTCGACGCGTCCCTTCCTTATTGTAGTTTCTTGAAATCGCCATATCATGTGACTGACAAGCTTCGACTTTGGCAAGATGCTGCGCAGCGTCTTTACGACGCCCATGACTGATCGATCACCTTTGGTTCTAAGATTTGGCTCCATAAAATGATTACAGGATTGAATGCTGCCTGTATTACATGAATAAGGTGTGTAAGTACATGAATCTTATGGGCGCCTCGCCACCAGGGTGACGTCGTAGGAATAATTTACTGTACCTGCCTGGACTGTGTTGTCAGTCCCGCATGTCGATGACTGGTTGGAATGAAGGGTGCCTGACAACAGGTCGCAGGAGCCTTGCCCTCCGAGTCACGCGTGCCCAAAGTCCAAAGACCAAAGAACTACATGTAAGCCACACTTTTCCTCACTATTTACCGCCAAGACTCACCAGAACCCGAACCCATCCTGTGGCTTTGAAGCCCAACGAGTTGGGTGTTGTTGGAGAGTACCCCTATAGTCAGAGCCCAAGGGCCCAAGACGTCGCCCGTGGCTTGAGGGAATCATCTGAAGATACCCCCCAAGGCAGCACTCATGTCCCTATTTGACCCCTAACGCCACTTTGATCCTGATTTGGTCCAGCGCTGTGCAGTCGCTGTAGCCTGTCGTAAGAAGTCGCTGTAGTCGACCGTGTCAACTGCCACGCCAGTGCCACTCACACCCACGTTTCCATTGCACAATCAACACCGCTTCTGCTGCTGCTTCAACTCCCACTTCCGCTTCCATCTTCTCGTCAACAACATTACTTTCCCACACAACCAACACCACCACCCACACCCATCTCACACCCTACATTCTATACGCCAATACCGTCAATCTCGCCCTCCAGTTGTATCCATCCATCACTTCCGGTTCTGGCATTTCCTCTCTCTTCCCCCATCCCCTTCCTCTGACCTTCGCTCCAGCTATGGCTGCGGCATCGCCGGTCGCCGGTGGTTATTCGTGAGTTCACCTGCTCGCAATCTCAGTCATCCGGCAGCTGACTCTCTTCCTAGCATCAATGTCAATGACCCAACCCTCATCTCTCTTGTCAACAGATTGCAAGATGTCTTCACAACTGTCGGAGTACGAATCTCACCCCTGCCATCATACCCGATCCCACTAACCCCTGCCTTTCAACAGGTCCAAAACCCTATAGATCTTCCTCAAATCGTCGTTGTTGGCTCACAGTCCAGCGGCAAATCTTCTGTCCTGGAAAACATCGTCGGGAGAGACTTGTGAGTTTCCAGCGCAAACCTACCCCCTCCCCCACCGCTTCTACTAACCCTTATCGCAGCCTCCCTCGTGGTGCCGGTATCGTGACACGACGGCCGCTCGTCCTTCAGCTCATCAACAGACCTTCTCCTGCTAAGCTACAGACCAACGGTGTCACCGAGAAAGAATTACAAGAGAGCTCTGACAAGGAGGCCAACGTCAACGAGTGGGGAGAGTTTCTACATTTGCCAGGGCAAAAGTTCCATGATTTCAACAAGATCCGAGACGAGATTGTCAAAGAGACGGAAGCAAAAGCTGGTCGAAATGTCGGCATCTCCCCGGCCCCAATCAACCTACGCATCTACTCCCCCAACGTCCTAACTCTCACATTGGTCGATTTGCCTGGTTTGACAAAGGTTCCGGTCGGCGATCAACCAAGAGATATCGAGCGACAGATTCGCGAGATGGTTCTCAAACAAATATCCAAGCCCAATGCAATCATTCTTGCAGTCACCGCTGCCAACGTCGATTTAGCCAATTCCGACGGCTTGAAGCTAGCCAGGGAGGTCGATCCCGAGGGTCAGAGAACAATTGGTGTCTTGACAAAGATTGATCTCATGGACCAAGGCACCGATGTGGTCGACATCTTAGCCGGCCGCATCATTCCCCTTCGCATGGGCTACGTTCCTGTGGTCAACCGCGGTCAACGCGATATTGAGAATAAGAAACGGATAGATTTGGCCCTCAAGGCGGAGAAGGATTTCTTCGAAAACCATCCTTCGTACAAAAACAAGGCCTCATACTGCGGAACACCCTACCTGGCCCGCAAACTGAACTTGATTTTGATGATGCACATCAAGCAGACACTGCCCGACATCAAGACTCGAATTGCCAATTCGCTGCAAAAGTATAGCTCCGAACTCGAACAATTAGGCGCTGGTGACTTGCTGGGCGGCAACAACAGTTCTAATATTATCCTCAACATCATCACCGAATTCGCCAACGAGTATCGGACCGTCTTGGAAGGAAACAGCGCCGACCTGTCCAGCAACGAGTTGTCCGGCGGCGCCAGAATCTCCTTTGTTTATCACGAACTCTACTCCAATGGTGTCAAGGCCGTCGATCCTTTCGACCAAGTCAAAGATATTGACATTCGCACTATCCTCTACAACTCCTCCGGTTCATCCCCTGCCCTCTTTGTTGGCACCACCGCGTTTGAGTTGATCGTCAAACAACAAATCCGACGTCTGGAGGAACCTTCTCTTAAGTGTGTATCTCTCGTCTACGACGAACTCGTTCGCATTCTTGGTCAGATCCTCGGCAAGCAACTCTTCCGACGATATCCCCAACTCAAGGAGAGATTCCATTCCGTGGTCATTGCATTCTTCCGCAAAGCCATGGAACCGACAAACAAGCTCGTCAAAGATTTGGTGGCAATGGAAGCATGCTATATCAACACCGGCCATCCGGATTTCCTCAACGGGCATCGTGCCATGGCCATTGTCAACGATCGCCACAACGCCGCCAAACCCACCCAAGTTGACCCCAAGACAGGCAAGCCCTTGCCACCATCTATCCCCCCTCGATCAGGGTCCCCTAGTCTTCCAGTCGACGGCTCGGATCAGAACTCGGGCTTCTTTGGCTCGTTTTTTGCCAGCAAAAATAAGAAAAAGATGGCAGCAATGGAACCACCACCAGCCACTCTGAAAGCCAGTGGAACCCTGTCTGAGCGAGAAAACCAAGAAGTCGAGGTGATCAAACTGCTGATCAACAGTTACTTCAACATCACCCGACGCACCATGATTGACATGGTCCCCAAGGCCATCATGTTGAACCTTGTCCAGTAAGTTGGGCCCATAGATGACGTTGGGGACATGTACTAACCAGCTTCCTTTAGATTGACCAAAGATGAAATGCAGCGAGAGCTCTTGGAGCAGATGTACAGAACCCAAGAGTTTGATGAACTTCTCAAAGAAAGCGACTATACAGTGCGGAGACGTAAAGAGTGTCAACAGATGGTGGAAAGCTTGTCCAAGGCGAGCGAGATTGTCAGCCAAGTCCAGTGAAACGGTGGGAGCTGTTGAAGCGAGCGATAGCTTACACACGCAACGAGTGCTGGCAAGGCACGGGCGCGGTATCAATGGTGTCTCTACGGATTTCCGGACCCCAGCCTCGAGCGACGAGCAGCCATGAACGATCCGGAGGAACTGAGCTGGTGGGACGTGGACGTCCTCCTTTTCCTTTGTTCTGACCGACTTCCGCAATTTGCACGAGACCAACATTGTATTCAGGCGCCTTGGAAATTATGATACCATGATTCGCAGAGTTCATGAGCGGTCGATGTTGGGATTGGTTTGGCACGGACTGACTAGATTTGCGGATTGTGGTGATGAGGACACTGGATGGTGGTATGATTGGGCTGGTTTGCGACAGCGAGCGAGGCGTGATCAGGCACAAATGTCTCGACTTTTGTATCGTTTTGGTCATGTTGCAGTCCCATCATTGCCTCACGCCAGAGTGACAAGTGCATAGCTTGAGTAGGATGTATTGCCAACCGTAGACGACAAAGCGTCAATAATCAGATCGCCAAGGTCCAGTTTTGAGAGAGTTGTATAGTCGAAATGTTGCACACGGTTGATGCCTACTTTCTGAGATAGCCAGAGTACTCATGTTACATGCAAACGTGGTATAAACGAGGAATGGGTCTGTATCAATAATCTGTATCAATAAAGTCACCATGTGGATTGTCAGCTCATGTGTAAATCAGGAATCAGAATTGATGGACCAATCGGGCATCATCACCAGACTGAACGCCCCAGTTCCTGAACTCATCTTGTCGCCTCCGACAACGGAACTGTCCTGGGATCCTTTGCTGTAGTGTTTACGGCACAAATCTCTCATTGCTCGACTCCTGTACCAAACAGTCTCTGAGCATGTTGCTCAGAAATGTTCAAAGATGGTCTAGATGAGTTCAAGACATTTAGAGAGGCGAGAATTCATCAATTTTATTTTCTCAAACGAGTGATCTACACCTTGATATCCTTTCAGTATTCAACCAAGGAACGGTGATACAGTATCCTGCTTTACTCCGAGGTTGTATAATCGCGGCACTCGACCTAGACACGATGGGCGATAGCGTTGAAGCATCGGTGTCGACATCGCCATCGTTATCGCCACAATCAGCGCCATCCTCTACAGTTCCGACAAGTCAATCAACACCACAGTCCATTTCAACAGCAGGCTCTCCTTTCATTAGCGTACCCGACATCCATCCAGGATTTCAAGTTTCTAGAGTCGCCATCCTCGGCGCCGGCCCTAGTGGCCTGGCATTTGCCAAAGTGCTCTTAGCAGAGAAGACGTCCTTTCAAAATCTCGTTATCACAATCTTCGAACAAAGGAACCAAGTAGGTGGGATCTGGAACCTCAGTGCAAATGTCATCAGCAAGACAGTTGCAGTTCCACAGAGCGACAAGAATTATGGCACCGGCGTTGACGAGAATCAGGACAAGGCTAGCCATTCTTTGGAACTCGAATCTCCACTCTATGACTATCTCGAGACCAATGTTCCCAAGCAACTCATGCCGTATGCCGGGGTTCCATTCCCTGACGAGGATCCCTTGTTTCCAAGCCATGGGGCCGTGTTGAAATACCTGCAAGGCTATGCTAATAATGTGCTGGGTGGAGATGCTAGTGCCACTGCAGATCTCAGATTCGGGGTCAAGATTCGGGAAGTGGCATTGCTGCAAGGTGAGGGAGCTAGCGGAAAGGACACCTGGGAAATCCAGTCGGAGCATCTCGCCTCTGGAAATATCAAGACTGAAACTTATGACGCCGTGGTGGTCGCCAATGGGCACTACACGGTCCCGTATATCCCAGAGATTGAAGGTGCCGCGGAGTGGAATCGAAAGTACCCAGGCACTATACTGCACTCCAAGGCATACCGACGGCCTCAGGACTTTGCAGGCAAAAAGGTCCTCGTCATCGGCAACAGTGCATCAGGCCTCGACATTGCCGCTCAGATTGGTTTCATGGGCCAACCCAAGGGGAAAGTCCTTCTGTCGGCCAGATCTGCTAGCGCGTTTGGACCGATGCCCGCCGTCGACTGGAAAGAAGATGTGGACCAAGTTGTCGAGTTCCTCGACTCCGACAGAGCGGTGAGATTTGCTAGTGGAAGGGTGGAACGAGATCTAGACGCTGTCATATTTTCAACGGGGTATTTCTTCAGCTACCCATTCCTGACAAAGGTCGGATCCAAGATTGTGGACGATGGGTTCAGGGTCAAGGGCCTCTATGAACATTTATTCCTCATTGACCACCCGACCCTGGTCTTCCCTGTCGTCAATCTCAAAGTCATCCCGTTCCCACTCGCGGAGAATCAGGCTGCCGTGGTCGCTCGCGTATGGTCTGGGCGTTTGGACTTACCGTCCAAAGACAAGATGAGGCAATGGGAACAACAAGAGATCAAGGCCAATGGCGATGGCAAATACTTCCACCAGAAGATGTTCCCTCAAGACGCTGCCCAGATCAATCATCTGTATCGATGGGCATGTCAAGCTAGGGGCAGTCCTAGTCAAGATTCTCGCTTGACAAGGTGGGATGAGAAATTGGTGTGGTTGAGATCTAGGTTGCCTAGCATCAAAATGGCGTTTATGACAAGAGGCCATGATAGAGTCAAGGTCAAGACGGCTGAGGAGATGGGATTCGATTTTGACGAGTGGAGGAAAACGGCTGCAGAGGGAGATTTAGAAATGTTTCATAAAGGAGGTTGTTATTCATGATGGCCTGCGTTTGGCTACTTGGAGCATAGATGACGATAATTAGTATTGTATGAGGTTTGAATCACATGCCCCCTTCAGGACATGAATAATAAATGCATGAAATCACTCAATAGTAGAGGGTCTACTGCACTTAGTCCATTCTGTTCAACTCTTTGTACATAATATCTAGTCTTGTGCATTCTAGCAGTGGTGTTCAACTGACTAAGCCTCATTTGTTTGTGAAAGTCTGTCAGATCATATCTAGGCAAGGCGATCTAGATCTAAGATCCTCATCTACCTGACCAAGTAGAGGCAACACAGTTGGTGTTAATTCGTTCACCCACTCACTCAGACTGACGCTCGAGTGTAGGACTGGGTGATGCAAGAACGTTCTGCCTGACAATCTATCACGCGGACATGTTTTGACAATTTCAAGGAACGTTTGCACTTCCATCTTATGTTGTCATCACCATATTTTCTCGTGGCAGATCAATATCACCTCATCGACTTACGACCCCGTGGTCATCATCCTCCGAGGACCGACTGGTATCACATGAGAAGGAAGCCTACCTCCCTTGCCGGTTACATCGAAAGAGCAGGATATCTGGAATATCTTGATCTAAACGGTGCTCAGATTGGCTGACATTCTAGGTGAGTACGCCTTCTTTGCATTTTTCCATTTTCATCTCTCTATACACAAGAAGACATATATGGACATATATGGACATATCGGGCGGGAGTCATTGGAGGAAGGCGCATCCCCACCTCCTCATGTGAGGAAGTTGCGACCCAACTTGAAGGCGACTTCATTCTCGGCAGACTTACCCTCCCTCCACTTGCCCCAACACGTGATACCATCCACTCACTCGCTCCAACTCTCTTCATTTTCCTCCCTGGAATCGCCCGCGTTTCCGCTTCCATCGGCACATCCACTTTGATTCCAATCCACCCTGGGATCTTCATCAAGCCACATCCGTTGCCGAATGGTAAACAAGTCGCAGCCATTTACCGTCGATGTACGGAGTAGCACCACCGCAATCCCACGCAATCCCACTTGTCTCTCTTCTCTCCATCACTGTCACAAGACTCGATCTTACTCATTCTATACTTCTCAACCAGAAACCCGAGCTGACAATGACTGCCTCCAGCGACTGCACTCGTTCACCTTGTGAACTATGAAGCCACCACCTGTCCAACACTCCAACCCCAAGTCAAACAAGACATTGAAGCGCAAAAGGCAGTCTTCCAATTCACACGATCTATCCCCCAATATCCTCTCAAAAGGAGTCGCCGATAATCTGGTCTACTCTACTCGAGACATTCCCTGGGAAGAACAGGTGACCCTTGGTCAACGGTTCAGAGAATCAGGTCAAAACGCCTGGCCGGTGCGTTGTATATTACAAGAGCGTGGAACAGGCAAGAGCAAGAGATATCTAGTAGACTGGCTACAACATCCCCTAACCGGCGAGAGATTCGAGCCAACTTGGGTAAGACTCGTGGTCTTCCTTTATCGATCTATCGCTGAATCGCTTTCTAGTGTCCAGCCTCCGACTTAGGCGACGATCTCCTCAACGAGTGGAATAAGAGACAGTCTCAATCATCTACGCTAGACACCACTTCGCTCTCTAATGGACTACACGACTCTCAGAACATCGATGATTCAGCGCACTCGACCATAAAGTCATCTAAAAGCGGTACCTTGGCGCCTTCCTCTATAGAGATTGCAGAAACTCCGCAAGACATTTCGCAGCGTACTCTTCCCACCCCACAAAACACCATCTCTGTGAGCATCCCGACCCCGAGCATCAACAAATCAGACTACGAATCTCTTCCAAGCAGCCAAATCGCCGCCGATCTTGGGCTACGCGATCCCGATCCGCCACCAGACGCAACACCAGGCCCTCACATTCGAAGGAGACGAGCTCCAGTTCTGTCAGACTCTTCCTCTCTAGCTATACCCTCACGACTGCCCAATAATATCAATCATCTATCCCAAGGGAGCCTTAACCAAGTACACGCCAGCCGTCGTCCAACGCATCAGAAATCTATTTCCTCACCATCTGCCCATTCCTCCTCTAGGGCTCCTGCCCCCCGAGCCATCTTTGAAGACCGAGATTCAGAGTCATCCTCTGAAACAGGGAGCTTTGCTACTCCGGAATACGTTCCAAGTACCCAAGGAGGCCGTCAAGCTAGTGTTGAATTAGGATCTGATCCAATTGTTCTGCACTTCTCCACTCCACTTCTCTCGCCAGATCTGGCAGAGCAAAGTGATAAACTCCACGATATCCGTACATCGACACAATCGACTACGGTATCGCCTCTATACACTACTGGTGCTCCTCCTTCACCATCAGATCGTTTCCTTGCAACACAGCCGTCTGCACCATCTCCGTCTTGGCATTTTCAAACACAGCTCCCTCTATCAAGCATTTCCTCGATCCCACAACAATCACACTCGCGAGACCAGAGATTATTCGAGGCAGGCAGGACCTTCATACAAATAATGGACAACCAATCCTCTCAAGCAACCGACTCGATAGATAGTAGTGCCGCAGGAACGGTGCATCCAAACGAAAGCACTCCACAGTCAAAGCCAAGCTCGGACTCGATGCCGGCGGATACCTCTCCCGTCATCAGGACCGTCAATCCTAACGCTGTGTTCAAGAATGGTTACTCGTCTTCGATTGACGACAATTCTGCAACAGAACCTGCACTTCCTATTCAAGATTCCATCGAAGACGAGCATCTTAACGAAGAAGCTGAATCTTCTGATTCCAAACAAAGCTCTAGTCAACAGTCCGTGGAAAACGAACAAGATGTTGACCACGTTGACGGTCTCATCCTGCCTACCGTGCCAATTGTCGGTCCTGCCCAGTATTGCCTTGCTCTTCCTGCTGAGGGCAAGGTACAGTCCACGTATTTTGATATCATGAAAGCGAAGCGCAAGGTCATTTCCAAGTTTATCAATCGCCATGAAGCGATCGGATCCGGTAATGGATCTCCTAACAGGACCCATCAGCGAAACGACATCGTTGAGCTGGTTCAACGTCTACATGACACCACCACCCATATTGATCTCGGACTACCAGGCTTCTCCACACAATACTCACTTGACTCCCAAGAGCATGCCGCCTACGCCAATTACGCCGGATCCAAATTCTCCTTTCTCGGCCATTTAGTTGATGTCCTCAAACCTGTCGAGTGTACTATCGTTGTCATGGCGCAATCTGGCCCTATCCAAGATTTGTTGGAGCAGTATTTGACCATGAAACATGTCAGTATCAAACGACATCACCCATTGTCCCCTTCCGAGTCGCCAGGTTCAGAACGTTCAACAAGCGAATTTGAAGTGGAGTTAGTCAGCACGGTGACCAGCTACGATGTAACCCTTCGCCGCAAGCCACCCCTGATCATTGCCTTCGATGCTTCATTCGATGCGCAGGATCCACGGGTTCGTCGCATGCGCACCGTCTACTCTAATAGAAACAATCAGCTCATCCCTGTGTTGCACCTGTTGGTTGCCAATTCTTCAGAGCACGTGGATCTATGTATCCCCAAGAGTATGCCTTCTCCACTACGCCTGAAGTTGCTCCTGCGCGCAACCTGGCAAGCTCGACCAAACTTGGGTGGTAAAGTCACTTATATCCCCAATGCCTCGGATGGACCAGATGGCCGACCCATTGACATGGCCGACTTCCAACGTGCGGTCAGAAAGAGCCCAGAACGCAAACTTGTCATGCTGGCCAATCTCATTGCTCGAGCCGCCGTTTCATTAGATTTTGATTCACACTGGCCATTCACCACGATGCCAAAGCTGGAACTCAGTGAAGCTGAAGAGATTCCGATCATCAGTAGTGGTTTTACAAGCGTCGCCGAAACACCTCGAGAACCTTTGGTTTCGCAAGCTGAGATGCCGCTTTCTCGAGCAGACACGCCGTCTGGTAAGAAGAGGCTCTTGGATGTGGATGTTCCCCAGCTTTTGAGCAAGCGACAACGTCTGACTCCAACACCATTGCGAGAGACTGTAGAGGGTGCCGCCACTCCATTGTCTCAAGCCGAAAGTCTCCGTGATATTGTCAGCAGGCTGCAAGCGGATCTTCTCCTGGAAAAGACTGCTAGGAAAAAGGCCGAGGAAGAGCGTGACGAGGTAAAGGGGCTACTAGATCAGTGGAAACGAGACCATGCCAACCTCCAACGACGTTACGAGAAGAGGGTCAAGCAATCACATGAGTTGACGGATAACAACAAGAAGCTTATGCAGACCATTGAGAACAACAAGTCTCGTCAAACCAAAGCCGCAGAGGACATCACGACGTTCAAAGAGAAGGTGAAAGGGTTGCAGGAAGAATTGACAAAGGCACGCGACGAGATCAAAGCTGGAGGAGGGGATGGTGCTTTGCTGGAAGTTGCCAGAGAAGAGGCACGTACCCTGCTAGCGAAGAAGATTCATCTGGAGAAATCGCTCGAGAACACGCGCAAGGATTTCGAATTTACTCGGCAACAGTACCAGAATGCCTCCAACAAGGCTGTTGAACTCTCGAACCAGGTCAGGGACCTTGAAGAGCAAGCGAGCAAACTCAGTCAAGAAGCCAGTACGGAGAAGCGTCGTCTCAAGGAGACCAATTTTCAAGAGACAATCAAGCGGCACACGGCGAAAGTGCAAGCGTTAGAACTGGAGAATCGAGCAAGGGATAGTATATTGAAGAAGTTGGAAGAGGAAAACCGACAGTTGAAGAAGAGCAGAGGAGTTCAAACCCGAGGAAGCAGTGTACAGCCACCTGGCAGTCCGAGCATGGATGTTCCAGGACGTGGGACTCGGTCCAGACAAGGTAGTCCGGCACCTGGCTTGCTTGGACAACACCACGGTACCGGGACCAATCGAGGAAGCTTGCTGAGACATGAGCGTTAGCGTATATGATGCAGCTTTGTCACCGATCGAGAACATGACAAGTGGTGAAGGTTGTGGTGGGAGAATGTCGGTCAGTGTTTTGGACAGACGCAGAGCATAGAGCAGTAGAGTTGACAAGAACAATTACAATTACAACAAGGAGAACAAACTGCAAGGCATAATGCGTGGATGAATTAGCTGCATAGTGATGTTTGGAACCACATAGTCCCTCGAATGAGGTGAGTAGACGTGTCAAAGAAGCAAGGTAAAGAAGATGTTTAGGGAGCAAGTCGATGGTAGAAGTAGAATCGGATGGATCGATCTATCGATGGTTGTATAGATCGATATATTATATAAGACAAGGTATGTATGTGTATACCTTTTATGGCTTCAGCATGGAGACCAACACGACACGCTAAGAAGAACAACTACATTGGATGGCGCGTTGCAGTCTAGGCACATCGCCAGTATATCTGCTCTCTGTGTCTTGATTCCAGCCCCAAGAATCTTCAAAGGGGTTGAGAGACATTTGCATGACGCCGTCGAGGATCTCTCGATCATTCTTTTTCTCCACTCGATCGATGATTTCGTCGAGTAGCCAGCCGCGAGGCACAAAGTTGGGGTTGACGGCCTTCATGGCCTTTTCACGTTCAGCGTCGGCCGAAGCGTCGTCGCTGCCCCAGTCTTCGATGATGCGTTCGCGCCACGACTCTAACCATTTGCCCACGCGAACGCGGCCGCTTTCGTTGGTCTCGTTCAAGCCGGTGACGCCTTCGGTGTGGAAGAACTTTTCGGCTGTGGCTTCACGGGATTCCTTGGTGGATACGTCTTGTAGTGTGACTGACGACAGCCGACGGAAGAAGTGATTGAAGTCAAGCTCCAGCGCTTCCATGGTGTCGAGCAACTCCGAGAAAAGCTTGTCGAAGTCGCTGTCTTTCTGGGTCTTGAGTCCCAGGCGTAGCGTCATCAGGTCACGGTACTCGCCTAGGAAGACGGCTTTGTACTCGTCGCTGACTTGGTCGATGATGGTCTCGGCTCGTTTAATGAGCACTGGTGCAAAATCCTCCTCAACGCCTTTTTCGGCAAAGACCTGGTCATCAACCCGTTCGCCGGCACCGATCAGCTCACCAAGAGCCTCACCCAGCCGTACCAGATTCCACCAGATGATAGATGGCTGTGCTCGGTAGCTATAGCGCAGCATGTGGTCGTCGTGGTTAGGTGTGTAGGCCGGGTCAAAGTTATCCATAAACGCAAATGGACCGTAGTCCATGGACAAGCCAAAGATGGATGTGTTGTCGGTGTTGAGCACTCCATTCATGAATCCATATGCTTGCCACATGCCCACGACCTTAGCGTTGCGCCTTGCGATCTCGCGGTAGAGTCTAGTGAAGCGATTCTCTTCAGCCCCTTCTTTTCCTTGAAGCTCGTCCTTGCCCACACCCCGAGCGGGGTCCCGGTACGCTTCTTTGTCGTCTCCGAGAACTGCAGGAAGTTTGTCCCACCCTCCAAAGACCTCCTCGGCGACGTAAGTGGCGGTCTTACGGATCAGGTCTCGATCTCCGCGTGATCTCATCAGGTCGAAAGTGCCGAAGCGGAGCCACGATTGGGCAAATCTGCAAACGATGGCGCCGGGTTCAATGCGCTCTCGGAGAACCTGAGATTTGGGACATAGAGTCAAAGAGAGAGCGCGTGTGGTGGGGATTCCCAGGGCGTTGAGGTACTCAGAAACAACAAATTCGCGGATGCTGGATCGCAGAACGGCCTTGCCATCGGCGAAGCGGGAATATGGTGTCTTTCCGGCACCTTTCAATTGTAATTCGTAACGAACTTTTGTGGCTGGATTGGTGGATTCAAATAGTGAAATCGCACGGCCGTCACCCAGCTGGGCAGCCCAGGAGCCGAACTGAAAACCTCCGTAACACTGCGCCCAGGGATATATGCCACCATTTTCCTCGTCCCAATAAAATTTGTTGCCGGCGACGACTTGTTTTAATTCTTCTGACTGAGCTTCGGACTGGGCGAGTCCAAGGTCTCGCAGAGCTGCCTTGCTGACTGCAAGAAGTTCAGGTTCCTCCGTAGGCTCAGGTCTGACATATGTGTACAATGCGCCTTTGACGAGGCGGGGGCCGAGTTTTTGTCGCGGGGCCTTGTGAGAATCGAGAGGGGTGGGATACTGAGGATCCGGTGGGAGGTTTGTGGTGAAGTTGTTGGATTTGGGGATGTCTGCTAGGGTGGCACTGGGTTCCTGGTGGCCATTGGAATGGTGACCATTGGCAATGTGTGAGGCCATCTGGGCAAGTCTCATGCGGGCAACGGGACGAGCGATCTCTGGGGTCCTGGGTTTCAAGGTCGGGCGGACGAGACGGGAGGCGTGATTGAAGAGCATGCAGATGGTAGAGATGAAAACGAATGTATAGAAGAGAAGGGAAAATAGAGATTGATTGAAATTTAGAATTATGGTCAAGACATGATGCATCTTGTTAGGATGATGGAATGGTGACTAAACATTGGAACTTGATGTTCGGGTGGCGGGGCGGCGTCTGGAGAGGATCTGATGTCACTTTTGATGTGGATTGCCGTTAGGCGTCTCGGCTGAGGAGCAGATGGCGTAAGGGAGCCGTCTGAGATAAGACATTGACATTGGGTTGTGATGGGTTGTGATGGGTTGTGATGAGAGGAGGGATGATGAAGGTGACATCTACAACGTGTTTGAATTTTCCCAACATGATCAAATATCTGACTTCCTTCCATTCTTGCAGCCACGACTGCAGATGAAGACAAGGAAGGAACCATTACAGATGAAATCAGGTCACGTGAAGTATGGTGGAGTAAGTCGTAGTCAGAGCAATAATTTCTACGGTAGACCATTGGATGCTTGGATGCTGCGACAACGCCCGCCTCGGCCCTCATCGCAGCCTCAAGATATCCTGGGATCCCTCCGACTCCCCTGCCCCTCCTCTATCCTATCCTTGAGTCCCCGCGGCAGTCCGAACCCATGTTGCAAAGTCGTCCAAGTTCCTCGTTTGGATATAGACGGATCCAGGCCCGATGAATCGACAAACAAAACCCTCTCCAGTCTTCAAGCTGGTCATAGTCGCGCCGCCAGCCCTTTCAACTCGATACTCACAATTCCATGCTACCAGATGCCCATTGTCGACGATGTGATGCTCCCCTGGTTGAAGCTGGCAATAGTCAATGATTCATTCAGCAGTATCCAAGATTCCTTCCACTTACATCAATTCTGTCAACCGCCCCATAGCTGGTCAGCCACAGTAAGCCCTGTCCCATGACCTTGTAGACGAACAGGTCTTCGCCACTGAAAAAAGCCTTGCCGAATCCTTGACTCTTGGTATCCTTTTTGACATCGACCGTCGACGCCAGGTATACGTCCTTGCCGATGAGCCAGTTGGAGTTGGCGTCGATGGGTAATGTGACGATGTCACCCAGTAGAGTTGGACCCAGCACAACCCTGCCGGGACCCGTAAACGTAGTCTCACTCATCTGGCCTCCTGTGAACATCTTGCGCATGCTGAATTTGATGTTGCCTTGAATGGCGACAGTCCCTGACATGTGGATCATGACTCCTGACTTGGACTTGACAGACGCCCCTTGTTGAAGATCAATGTTCAGCACTGCATTTGTGTCACGGTGTGTGATGGAGTAGCTTCCACCGGGGAAGCTCCCATGGTCCTGTTGGCCTAGAGGTCGTTGGCCCTGAGAAGGACCAGGATATGGCGGCTGTTGACCATACTGCTGAGATTCTACGTCTGTCAGTTGAAATAAACAATCAGCTGACCCGTTCTCATCTCACATACCAGGCTGCTGATTCCAGTTCTGTTGCTGATACTGGCCCTGTCCATATGCCTCCCCATACTTTTGATCTTGTTGATATGACATTTCTAAGGCTAAGAATAATAAAATAGGGTAGTGATTGAGTACTATGGAATCTAAGGTTGGTCAAGATCGAGGTTTACATTCTCAAGCGATGTTTATACTCTGATCTACCTCCCGTGCCTTCCCTCCTCCATAAGATCTATAGGAAATAGTCTAAACTATCCATCCTCCACCTATTTGTGATTGGTGGTTGGTACTCCTCTTAACCGGAGCCAAGCGCATTCTTGCCAGTTGGAGTGCACTGCCTCGCTCTTTCCCCAATTTCGTTGGGCTGAACCATGGTTTCCACTTCAGCCTCGACCACTTGAGCGTCCGTGGCGACATGGCGTTCGTCCACGCCTCGGTGGCTGAACAATGAGAAGTGATCGACTTGTTGATCATACAAAAGGGAGGGAATATGCTCTTGGATCTGGTTCAACAGCTATGCGCGGCTGAAGTGTTGTGGCGCATGACCAATCCTTTGGTACCTAGTCACCTAGTCTAGCCTGCTGATACAATCCCTCATCGTACTCAGCCTCAAGTATTGAAATTCCTGGTATTCTAACTCCTGTTACGAGTGAGATGCCGTTCCATCGAGGTCTTGTTGCGCTTCCGACTCCATCTCACTGGTCAATAGGTTGACCTCGCGAACTTGATTCGTGGCACGACGACAATACATCTCGGCCAGATCGACCCTTCCAGAACGCCGACACCAACGCCAGCGTCGTTGAGCCATATTCCACCAATGCTTCAAATTCTCGTTGGTGACCTGGTAGTCATCCAGAGCGCACGCCCATATTGCGATCTGTGCATCCAAGCTTTGCTCCGTCTGCAGATGCTGTAACACTATAGTCAATGGACTCATCGGTCCTAGCACTTCCAGTGCCACCTTTGCCATGAATTCTGAAAACTTCTGAAACACCTCCTCTCGGCGGCCTCCCCATATAATGGAACTGATGCAAAATGTGATGCGCGAAACCAACACGTCGGACCCTCGTATATCCTCAGTCAACTTTCGCGCTGCCCATCCAAACGACTTGCGAGCCGCCGGGTATGCGTCACCTCGCCAATATGCTAGTCCATTCGATAGCGATGTGAAGATGACATCGGGGTTCTGTTGCAACCCTGTCAAATATTCCTGCCGTTCTCGCACAATAAGCATCTGCATCGCGCGGAGAAATCGATCAAAGCTATCCAACTCATCTAGAGGTGCGGGAGATGGTGGCAGAAATGTTGAGAACGGCTTCTCAGTCCTATGAGCCCCCGAGTGACGCCCAAAGCCGGAAACCTTACGTTTCACTACAGGGATCCGAACTACCGGTCGACTACTTCCTGGTTGCTGGTCTCGGTGGACAATCCTTTCCAGATCGTGGCTGTCCAGATCTCCAGATCGAGCACGAGACTTGGCATATCGCACGAGTTTATCATGCCGAATGTGCCTTGTCTCGACTGTGGAGGAGCTGTTGTGAAGCAGATTAGCCAGGACCATTTCTTTCTCGTCGGCCTTGATGTGTTTCGCAAGTTTCCACCTTTGAAATCGTTTTTTGTACATATTCTCGCTACCGATGATGCACAGTTAGTTACTTGGCTCTGTGGACGAGATCTGAGGCGGACTACTTACGTAGCGTAAAAATCGTGGTCTTGCTCCATTTTCTTGACCACGTCACGAAGAGGCATATCTAAATTGATGTAGAGGTGCTCGATTGTCGGACGATGACGACTCCATGTTGTTAGGGCGTGCGACTGTCGTCTGGTTGTCCCTGGGGTGGTTGTCCCTGGTGTGGCATTTGATGATGATGACGTATCGTCGCTTCCACGGCGCTCTACAGGACTCTCGTCTGACATTGCGACAGCCGAGCTGGCATCCGCGCATGTAATGCGCTGGCCGTAAGGCGATTAGGTTCCTCAAGTGCGCTCACCATCCGAACAGGTCTCCACGCCAGGCGGGTAGTAGTGCTTGACCTCACCACCAACCAACAAAGGTAAAGAATCGTATCTGACGGACTTCAGAGTGGAGCAGTCGACCCCCGGTTGGGATTCAAGTGTGGATTGAATAAGGAACGTGTTGAAGGCGGACACTGTCGTATTCGGTGGTAGCGGCAGGGCTAGTCCTGAGGGCCGACAAATCCTTGCGGCCGTTGACCAATTGGCGGATGGTAGGGCAGCTCTGAACAACACTTGAGTTGTACTGAGATCAGTCGCATAGGATCACGTTAGGTTCAGGGGCCTCGGTTTGCAGTGGACTCATGGACAAGCATGATTGAAAGATGAGAGTTGGACGCGTTTGGGATGGAGAAAGATTAACGGATAGCGTGCAAAGGTTCCTAGTTTGCCCCTCCAACTCCTGGGCCGCTTTATTGGTCGCCTTGACCTCCACAGGCGTCAAAGTAAAGTGGCTTTCTGGGGCCAAAGATATCTCTTAAGCCTTACTGTGCGTCATTGATGATCGATCAAGTGGAAGTGGTTATTTGGTACTTTGAATTAAACATCATGCACGAGGCTGCATGACAAGTAAATGGCAGTATGTTAAATAGAGACACCGACATCATTGTTACAGACATTTGGAACGAGTTTGAATATGAGTGGTGATACATCCATTGAGTGACCCACTCTTATGTCGCTGTGAACATGAGACGGACACACGCCCCTTGTAGCACCGAATACGACGAGTACAACCTGAATCCTAGTAGCGAGCAACATTGTTTGCTCGTCGCTTCAACTCCGTTGGTCATAGAGATCTGAGTATGAATCTATCGAACAGGGTGGACACTCTCAAACTACATGGGGGCTCACATTCTGAACGGCCTCTTAGTCCGAGCAAAATACTAATCCTCTCACAGAAAAGATAAAACAGTCACTCACCACATTCAATCCATCATACCAACTATATTCGCATGACTATATGCTGATAATCAACCCTGCTCACCAGATTCTTAAGGCGTCAACAAAGTCACCAGTGGCTCATCTACAATATGGCCGTGGAATCATTTGTTTCGTTGTCATTGTCAAACGCCTCGACTGGAAGAACTATAAATATCTGTATTTTCAATAATCATACCTGTATATCATGATCCTCATCCTGAACAATATCTAAAGATAAACTTGGATTCTACAATACCAAGACCATCAAAACTCAACTCTTGAAACCGATATTTCATATCGCTACCATCATCAGCCGACTTCAGAATGCCAGCTCCAGTATACGACTGGGAACAGGAGTACACCCGTGACCAAGTCATCAAGTACGAGAAATGCGCGGTATCGCAAGGCAGATGCTTCTATTGCAGATGCCGTCTCGATCCTAGGCTACCAACTTGCCGTGGGTCACATGTTCGTTCATGCAGAGATAAGGCTTTCCCCCGCGGACTCGACAATCTCCCAGTGATTGAATAGCTAGACAATAAAACTTGACAACCACAGCGCTGGATAAAGACGTACTTATCTTGACTGCAAACACACCCTACAAAGCCAATGAACGTATGGGAAATGCAATTAGAGAGCGTCTTGTTTTTGCAAGGAGTCTTGGTTCTCAATTAGAACAAGTGTATATTATTATGCCCTTTGGGACAAAATGATATGATCTTAGCCTACTGAAGGCTGAATATCATCTCTATGAAGACATTCCAAAATAGGGTAGTCACAAATTTTCCTGTGTCTCATACCGTGGTATCCGAAGCTCCAAACAAACCCATCCCGCTATGAAAATGCAAAAAGTAATGTCTCAGAAGGCCCGTGGCCAGGTAGGTGGTATCAGTGTGTCAAGGTGGACAAATATGTCCGAAATGTCGTCGTGTCGTGTCGTATCGTCCGTCTTTTGTACAAGGTCTGTAAGTTGTGTGATCGATGTTGATGGTAGAGAGTCGAGGCTTCGTCAATTTCATCTTCCACCCCAGCTGCCGCGGCCACCACCACCGCCTCCTCCACGGCCGCCGCCCCAGCTGCCTCCACTGCCTCCACTGCCTCCTCGTCCACCGCCGAAGCCACCACCGCCACTGCCGCCGTTATTGTTGTTGTCGTTCCATCCCTGCCAGTTGGCGTTGTTTCCACCGTTGCCATTGCCATTGCCCCCGCTTCCAGTGGTCTGTGGCTGGTCGGTGGTCGGTTGAGGAACTGGTGTGTTGGTCACCGTTGGAATATTGGTGATGGTCTCAAAGGTCGTGATACTGGCTGTTGGCTCGGTAGTAGGCTGTCCCGGCGAGGTCACGGTCGGGGAAGCTGATGGTTGTGATTGAGTGGGTGCAGGACCGGCTCCATTCTCAGAATAGACCCTCAAGCTGTTGATCATCCAGTATGTGTTTTGGAATGCGGAAGGATTGTTCTGGACATAGTCCTGACAGGTTGACGCTTGTGGAGCACAAGTGGAGTCGGTAGACCAGACACTGCCGGCCCAGTCACCGCAGAAGGCGACGTTCATGATCATCTTTTGATTTTGAAACTTGGCGTCAATGTCGCAAGCACCGGCGAATTTGGCGGCCGGCAGTCCCCAGTTGGAAGGATCAGGATTGCCGCCGGAGATGTCGGAGGGAATGGCGCCTCGCGAGAAGAACCATATGCTGATATAGTCACTGGTCCACTCGGTAGCAAAAACTCCTCCACCGTTGTTGTTGAACCCCTGGCCGAAGCTGCTGGAGTCCTGGCTGTGAATGGCACAGCCAACGTTCGTTCCTTGTCCAGGAGCGGCGACATCACAGTTGTCGGTGGATAATGTGCCGGAAAAATCGCCAGTGTGGCTGATTGAGCAGCCAGCGTCGGTGTGCAATGCCATGCTGTTGGCTGACTGTGTGTTGACGCCTTCGATGATGTCGACTTCTCCGCCATAGGGCCAGTTGGGGCCAAGGAGCCAAAATGCAGGCCATGTGCCACATGCTCCAGCGGGCATATGTGCAAGGTCAAGAATGAAGAGGCCGTGGTTGTATTCCTTCTTGCTGCTTATCCGAATGCTGTCCCGTCCTCGGCCGGATGCAACGTTGGATGAGTCCACACCCATGTATACAGCTCCGTTTTCGACTTTGTACATTCCTTGGTTTTGAGCCTGTTGTTGATTGATGTAATTTACATATCCATGTGTTGGATCATCTCCCTGCGGCTGATTAGTCTGACATTCAAAGTAATTGATGTATGATGACTTACTGTGAAGAAATCAAACATGCTCGCGAAAGAAGAGGCAGCGTAGTCATCTTCTAGAACGTAAGAGGCAGTGGCGCTCGCTACCAGTAGCGAGAGCACGGAGAATGTTGAACGCATTGTGAAAGATGTAGTAGTGTGTCGATCGTAATCTCAACACTGACAATGAGGAGATAGTTGATACAGTGTTTAGTATCGACATATCGAAGGCTAGAACGTCTGCTGTTATAGCCAGCTTCGTCCTGGTTCATGCGTATCCAAGAGGCGAGGCTGGTATAGAAGCCACCAAGCCTACCAAAAAAAAATGCGCGCGCTGGTTTTGTGCTTGTTGATCACCATGCGGCTCGTGCCGCAGAGGTTGACGACGGCGTGCAAGCGTTTGAACCAACAGCCGGAGGGTATTGAGTATAGAAGTGGGGGCATGGTGGCCATAGCAACGTGTGGTTGGTAGCGCTTGAACAGACTTTGCCTCAAGGTGGGACGCCACGAGCGAGATAGAAGGCTGGAGGAAGCTTGGGTGATGATCACGCCGTTCGTAGAGCGTCCCAGGGTCGTGGGACAAACGGAGGGTGGAGAGATCGGCGCTAGAGGCAACAGGCGAACCCTGAAGTCGCTGGGTGGTGGGTCTCCTCATCGAAGCTGGCATGGCCAGTCGCAAATGACTCTATGATAAGCGCGTCCAACTTCAGATCTCGTTCTGGGTGGACTCTGTGTTTCAAAGAAGTTTCCATGATGGTGAGGGCAAGATAGTGGCTTTGATGAACCCAGCTTGGGAGAAGGCCTGATGCATTCTAGGGCGTGATTGAGGCTGTTCAGACGGCATCTCTGTTGACCCAGTCTTGGAGAGGTTTCGAGACCCTTCAAACACCCTATCGTTGGCAATCTTAGCAGCTGGACGGGAGCAATCACACCCAGAAGCTCTCCAAGGACAGGACTACGGAGTACGGAGCGTACGTGGCATGGGACCAGCCTCACGTTTTTGAGGGGCGAAGTGTTGCACACACACTGTTTTTACAGGTCAGCAGCGTATGCCTGCGACTGAGAGCAAGGATCAGGCCTCGAAGAGGTCAGTGTTGTTGTTGTCAGGTCGAGGATAGAGTTCGAGCGATGTTGAGATTCTGGTCCGTGAGAGGAGGTCGGAAATTAAGAGCAAGGGTGGACTATTCCCAATTAGGAAAGGGATGTCTATATAAAGTTCAGCCCAGATTCCCAAGTTACCAGCCTCGCATATCATAAACTCTCAGTTCGTTACAATCATCCACTTTATACGACCTACCGGAGAATTCTTTTGACTTGGGCCACGCGGGGTGCCTGACCACAGTGTGGTCCACGTCTTAACACTGATCTTGTGGTGTTCATGGCGGGATGTCGCCTCCCTCTTTGATCACCCAGCGCCCATGGGTCTTTTCGTCTTCTGGTGAACAGCCCATCACAGCATGACGTGGCATAGAGAACATGCCTTTGAAACAAGGATCTCGTATCCGGTGTGGATGGTTGGTTACGTGTTTTCCCTGCCTCTCATGTCTGCGCGTTTTGCCTCTTGCACGACTACGCATGCTGTTGAGCACATGATTACTTGACACAAGTCACCGATCCAGTCAAGGCTGCTCATGATACACTCAGCACATATGCTCGGTAGGTACCGAACGTGGTACGTATCTGGCCAGGAGTGCCCGGGCCTGGGTCGGCACCTGGAGGGCAGGTCGAAGAGGCTCAGCTTGTGCAGCCTAGGCATGTCCAGGCTATAAGATATCATTTTCTATCCCCAGCCATGCAAGCCTGATCACGGACATCACAATGGAGTGGCTCGACGACAGCGTAAGGCAGTCGCTGGACCCTACCTCGGAATACCAATTACCCCATCGCCTTGGCCCAGTTGTGTATTCTGTCCGATCACACCAGCGGTCTTGAGGACGTCGACAACGCCACTGGCTACGGCTTGATCCACGCCCTGAGTCTTGCTCACAAACTTGACGTCTTTGAGCCATTCTCGCGCGTCATCTTCGGTATAATGGCAGCCTGCTTCCCCAGTCCCTAGCATGCGCACTGCTTCGTCTGGAGTCTCGTTAAATATAGCTATTCCTTGATCCAGGGCCTGGAAGATCTGGCCCAGAACCTCGGCTGTCGATGTACTGTCCGGGGGAAACGTGGATGTGGATGCTGCAATGTGCCATGATGGCCAGGGAGTATATATCTCTCCAATTTTCTTCAGCGGGCTGTCTGACGCGTGGAAGAATGGCTTGGTGGTAAAGTGTTCCCACATGAAAAAGTCGGCGGTCGAGCTGGTCACGCCATCGCGCAAATCCTTGAAGGGCCCCAAAGGTACCACTTCTAAGGCATCTGATGTCTGTTGTAGCCATCCTTGTTGCTGAGCTAGGACAAAGGCCATGACGTGCGACCCACTGCCCATGCGGCTCACACCCACTCTTCTGTGAGTTTGGAGATCATCCACCGAGTTGATATCCTGTCGATTTCGACCTGTGACAATAGCCCATCGCAGGGGCGTGGACACCCAGGAGCCAACGATGGTATAACCTTTTTCTTGCAGCGATTGATTCTTAACATTGTCATTGAGTAAGCCTGCCACCCATCCTTCCGTCAGTCCAATTGCCAGATCGATCTCTTTGGCTCGGAGGGAGGTGATCATATGTCCGGTGCCGGAGGGAAATGGTACTAGGGTGATTTTCAGAGATGATGGGAACAGAGAGTTTCTGGCGGCAATGTGCAGGGGGAGCAGATAATGCTCTGGCACGTAGCCAATACGAATTTCCGAGGCCATGTTGGCTGTCGACAGTAGTATCTAAGGACTGCGCGATGTAAGTTGAGGTTGAAGTGGTTGAAGTGGTTGAGGCGGTTGAGGCGGTTGAGGTCGTTGAGGTGATGAATAAATTATTTCAAATGTTGACGCAGTTAGAATGAGGGGAAGGAACAACCCACGCAAGCTGAAGGGCAGGTGCCCCCTTGCCCCCTCCGGGCGATAAGGTCCCTCGTAGTTACCCCGCAACGGTCCTTTTGGTTGTTTGAAAGAGTCCAAGCCCATGTACAAGGGCCGAGGGGCTTTTTGGGGGGCGCTTCTCGGCCTTTTAGGCCTCTCTGCCTGCCTATCGTACATAGACCAGGGTCCCCTAGCAACCTCTATCGTATCCTGGAGAGCCCTATTCGTCGTTGCTCCCCAGGTGAATCTGAGGCTCTTCTCAGGCCCACAAGAGCGGAATACCAGTCCGCAAACTGCGGAGGAACCTGAAGCTGAATTCCGCTGCCAACTCAGATCAAAGTGACGATCATAATATCTTGAAATCCCAAATTCAAGATTTACACTATTTACACTGCTTGTTCTTCATAGTAGGAACCTAGTTATTATCCTGGTCAATTCCCAAAGAACAAATTGGCATCACCAAACATGGCTGCGTCCTCGCCAGATACTCGCTACACTTACAAGCTATATACATACTTCAGGTCATCATGCTCCGCACGAGTTCGCATTGCAGCCCACTCCAAAGGACTTCCACTGGAGTACTCATTTATCCATCTCGTCAAAGGCGATCAACTTGAAAGTGACTATTGCACTTTGAACCCTTCAAAATCTGTCCCAACATTGGTTGTCATCGACAAGCAGACGGGCAAGGACATCCTCACCATCAGACAAAGCGTGGCTATTCTCGAATATATTGAAGAAGCCCGACCAGATCTACCACCATTGCTGCCGCCCAACGATCCAATTGGGAGAGCCAAAGTCAGAGAACTGGTCAACATCATCTCCAACGATGTCCAACCCATCACCAATCTCCGCACCCTCTCTTTTGCAAAGGAACGTGGCGTTGATGGACCGGAATGGCAGCAGCATTTCATGAAGCTGGGTTTCAACGCCTACGAACAACTGTTGAAGCTCTATGCCGGTAAATACAGTGTTGGCGACCAGGTCACCATGGCTGACTGCGTCCTGGCACCTGCTGTCGACGGTGCCGTGAGATTTGGTGTAGAGGTCGAGCAAGACTTCCCCACTATTTGGAGAGTTTGGCAAAATCTGAACGAACTCGACGCCTTTCAAAAGGGCAGATGGAATGCTCAGGCCGATACACCAGAAGACCTTCGGGGCAAATGAATCATCTACTCGCTTTCGTAGATGACTACCAATGATATCACGTGGCTCTACAGATGCATTGTGTTCCGCCCTATCAATCTCAGTATATTACGGGGGAGTATACGACCATCCGCTTTCAACGTCTTTCTGGCCAACGTCGTCACGAACTATACGGACTCTCTTTGTCCATTTTCTACCTGGAGCCCATGAAAAGTCGACTTCAATGATCCTACTACGTTGATGAGTGACCAGGAGCAGTGGTTTGACCCTCTTGACTCGACCTTCTGCGTACTCTTCTAGACCTCAAAGAACTTCTGTTCCATCAAGTTTGTCTTTGTATACATGAGCATTAGTCCTTAGCTACCGAAAAAAAATGCCAGGAACAGCTATTCCACAGACGCAAACGGTTTGTTCAGATGAAGTGATTCGACCGCCTTCTTAGTGCCGGCCGTTTTCATCTGAGAGCTCGGTCTACCATCAACAAAGCCAGATGGTAGAGCACTCCGGAGGTTCTAACATTTCCCATAGGCTCTTGTCTTCCCTGTATCTCAGCACAGACGTTTGCTCACAAAGAATCGCTCTCGTCAATTCCTGGTTTTCTCGCTGCAGCTCTAACGTTTGATTGCATCCAGAACAAAGCCAGGTTAAATAGAGTCGCAGTGGCCGTGGCCATTGTTTGAAAACGCAAAGAAAAGGCAAAGCTTGCCATTTCTCCACTGTGAATATCCCCTCTATATTCTTCTCTTACACATTCTTCTTTTATATATATCAAAGTGCTGCCTTTTGAAACCAGCAAAGAACAACATACATTGACACCATAACTGAACACTTATCATCATCTACCACTGCAATCTACTATCATGGATGTCCTCTTGTGTTACGACCCGAACGGTCAGTGGACCACACATCGTGTGCCCAGATCAAGCATCCCCTTTTGGCTTTACCTACACCTACTCCGTGAGATGGTCACACGGGGAGGTAATGACAGCCGCTGGCCAAGACTAAGACATCGGGCCCAGCAACAATTTGGAAGTGATCTCGAGATCCCCGATGCAATCCTGCTGGGAATTCGCGATGTGGTAATATTCTTATCATTTGATGACCGAGCCCGACTATTGGCTTTGCCGGAAGCGCTGTTTAGGCCTGCCGAGTCAGAGTCCGAATCCGAATCCGAGTCCGAATCTGAGCCGCAGGAAGCAGACCGTGACGACGCGGACGATGCGGATGTGTTGAATGACAATCCTCCTAATCCAGGTACTCACTTTTCAGCAACCCCTACTCCAGGCCCTCACGGGACTAAAAGACCTTTATCAATCTCTGATGACGACGAGGATCAGGCTCAGAGAAAGAGAGCTCGAACAGGGGTTGAAAGTACTAACAATGTCTCACAGGCTGCTAATTTACCTGGAAGCCGTCGATCTGACCCTCTCTCGATATCCGAGTCCCCCAACGACGATGGTGATTCGGATGACGGTCTCGAACGTCAAGAGTCCTTGCCACCACACCAATCCATCGAAGATGATCAGCCAGCCCCAGAGGAGGTAGCTTCCCAGCGGCGTATCTCGCCGGCAGAGCGTTCCTCGCAGTCCGCACAGGAGCCTCTAGTTGAGCAAGACTCGTCCTCCGAGCTGTCATCCCTCCCAGATGAAGGTGAACTCGCGGAGCCCGCCGATGGATCCGATGAGGAGTCCAAGTCACCGGATCAGCCAGAGCGCCAGCGTACTAATACTCGTACTTCAGAGCAACAATCAGAACGTCAACTGTCACGTCCACCCACTCCAGGCCCGCCTACGTTCTGGCGCAAAAATCCTGGAATGTTGATGTATAGTACACCGGAAGAAGCTGCGGAAGCGAGACGGAGACAGGCATGGCAAACGGAGCCTTACAATCTAGCTCGTCGATCCCCTCCAAGAGCCACTCCGCCACTGGAATATCGCAGAGGTAAATCGCCATCACATTTTGACCCTAGAATTATAGCAGAAGCAGCAAGAGCAACAGCTCGTGGTCGAGGCCGAGGTCGTGGTCGTGGTCGTGGTCGAGCGCGTGAAACGGGTACGGGAACTGAAGGAGGTGGAGCAACCACAGGAGCCACTGGAGGCAAGAGAGCTAGAAGAGGTAGAGGAAGAGGTGGCAGAGGTCGAGGTGCAAGTAGCACTCGAGCAGCAGATGAGGCCAGAGACACGGATGCTGACCCGGATACTCCTTCAGCGCAAGAAGCTCAACAACTCGCTCGTGACGAGAGAGCCCGACGTCGAGCACAATGGCGAGGAAGGGATTGATCTCATGCTCTGAGTTCGACAAAAGGGCCAGGATTAAGTTTTGGACCAAACAAAGTAAGAAAGAGGATTGAGTGCATTGTGGTGGGCATTTGTATTGTAGAGCATATCTAGATAGGCAGCTCAGGTAAGTATGGCGTACAATTGTCTTAATAGAGGAGCATATCTAAGACCTTGGGATCAAAATCCCTTCGAATTTTTCGATGGTGGTTTGTTCGTACAAGTGCACTTGTGCAAGGGACAGAGGCTCGGCTGGGTTGTGATGGGACAGGGTAAAATGGCCAGAGGTCATTCTACGCTATGTCTATATAGACTATAGTAAACATCTCACGATCACTAGAAGTAAAAACAACAACCCATGCTGATTAATCGAATCCAATTACGACTCCTGTGAAGACCATATAGGCGTTATTAGCTAGTAATGACTTTTGATTGGCTAAGAGTTATAGAGAAAAGAGAGAGAGTTCTCTTAGTGGGAGATCTTTCGTAGGCCTGTTGCGCAACTAGATGAAGGTGGGCCTCTGGCTTCACAGCGTGAGATACAGTTTGCAGATGGGGGCATGTAGTTCCCATCCATGATCCCAGTTTTGACCCAATACGGCAAAGTCTGTCTTCTCCCCTGCTCTGACTATTACAGTCTGGCGAGTTGCTCGAGGCGTTCTCTGTCGAAAGTTGCTGAGAGATGACATGTTAACGTGCCTCTCCAATGGCCATTTGGCTCGTTGGAGGCGTCCTCGTCACTGAAGGTATATGTCTCATCCCCTGTCCAGTAACAAGCCCATCCACTTGTCGCATTCTTGTCTCCAACTGTAACGATGTATTCCACATATGATACACCTGGACAATTGAGGAGTTTTGCCGCCAGTTGCTCCTGAGTCTGTCTGAGTACATTGATCTTTGTGTCATTCATCTTCGGGCCGTTCCTGCTGGTATGACTTCCACGCCACCTGGGCGTCACGGTGATAGTAGACATGATGGTTTTTTAAAATTACTTTGGCCTCAAAGTATCACGGTTTGAAGTTTATTTCACAAATCTTGTGTATCAAAGTCTCGGTCTCTTGGGGTCACTTGCTGGATAGCAAGCTGAATGTATAGCTCGCTTCTTGTCGCCATCACCCGAGATCAGTAGACTTGAGGCGGGGTTGATTGTACCATGCTGCTGCCAGCTATTAGCGTGTCGACAAGCGAGCTGAAAGCTGGATTGCAGTATACGAACGGTGAGAAAAGAAGATTCGCTCAGCCAATAAACTTCGCCTCGGCCTCGGCAAAGCCCGTATCAAGCATTTGCATACACGAAGCAACTAAGACAAACTGACGACAGACTTCGACATCGACAGATTCTCGACGACAGAGAGAGCTGACTTACTCAAGTTGATAGGTGTGGCGGCCACACTATTGATTGCTGGTATAAATACATGATTGGAGGAGTTCGACCAGGGTCCGAGGCAGGTGGAGGAAATGACCACCAGGAGGAGCCGAGCATGATGGAAAAAGTTCGAAATTGCTCCTCAGCAGCAGAATGCATTAGCGCATGGGGTCGCGGATCATGAGCCCGGTGGAAACGACGATAGAGATCTTCGTGATCTACTACTGTATGGTGTCCCCTTGACCGTAAAGGGCAGATGTTCCTTGAACTACCACGCACGTCTTCTACCTCTTTAAGAGAAAGGAGACGTATCCATTGGCTTTATCAATCTTGGGGGATCCTGCTCAAGGTAAGCATAAAGCGCCATCTCGACTCGATTCTTGGCAGCTGAACAAAGCCAGGTCTAAGAGGCTCATCTAGGCCATCTGCCCAAAGCTGCTCTCGTATTATATTATGCAACCCTTCCGCATTGACCGTCTTCGGTCTCGTCGAGCCGCCAGAAAGCGTCATAATTCCTAACCGAGGACAAGGATATCAAGACAAATTAGGAGGCTGCGTACTTAAGGTAAGGAGCGCACAGAAGCTCAGAGTTGCACAACTTCGCAACCAGTTCCGTTGGCAGTCAGCAAAAGTGGCTGTTTCATTTGAAAAATACCGTCTATACTTTTCATCCTGCCTTTGAAGTGTCTGAATACTCGAATTTGAGTCAACTATGGGCTGGTGGAAAAAGATTCAAAAGCTCAACCCAACAGACTTTGATGTCTTCAACAAGAATTCAGAAGTGCGTGAACAGTTGGCCAACATCGACAAGAATGTTCTTCAGGGTCTTTGGGATTTCATCAAAGATCCTTTAGAACCTGTCGCGGAAGAATATATCAGATATATTCAAAATCAAGTTCATGGCTACAAACCTTTACCTCGCTGGTTGAAGCTCGTGCTTCAAGAAATTGATGCGTATGATGTTGAGATTACAGCGATTGGTTACGCTGAAAATGTCGACACGTTGCAAGATGGATTTGCAGTCACCATAGGCAACAATATTCATTTCCCAGGGGCGATCAATCTCGGTGAAAACGGCCCAGGTAGTGAATACGATGTGAAGACCATGCTTCACGAACTGGAGCACGTGGTACAATACAAACGGCATGGCGGAGTGACTTCGTTCCTTCTTAAGTATGTCATACAAGCTGGCGTCGGCAGTCTCGAGTCACTTCAGAAGATTGGAAAGTCTTGGAAAGACTTCGTCCTCAAAGTCCACAACAACATGGATTTGGAGAAGGACGCCGATAGCAAAGCAAACAGCTTGATCGACCGAGTTATGTCGGAGGGTCGCCAGCTATCTCTGGGCCGTACAACTTTGAAGAAGCGAAATCTGGGGTCGCGTTTGATATTGGACAATGCGACCATGTATGAAGGCGATTTCATGCAGTCCGAAAATGGTCTCTACGAATTCATCTGTCAAGCAGATGGCAACGTCGTAATGTATGGTCCTGGCTACATACCATTTTGGTCCAGCTCTACAGATGGTATAGGAAGCCCACCCTATCGTATCGTGGCACAAGATGACGGAAACGTTGTGCAGTACGGCCGTCATAACTCTGAGGACCTAGCCATCTGGCGAACTGGTACGCGAGGTCTAGAAGGTCAGGTTCTAATTCTTCAGGATGACCGCAATCTGGTCATTTATGCCAGCGGGAACCGGCCTGTCTGGCAAAGTCGTACGTATCTTGGAGCATAGGAGGTAGGTAGGTAGCTGCCGTATCATCCACTGCCGCTCTCTTTTCCCGTCGCATGTTGGTGCATCGGCTCCTACCCGGCAGTCGAACCTCAAAGTAGGATAACGACGAGCTTCTTTCTCGGATGTCCACTACATTTATACTGCTGTTCCTACCCGCAAATTAGTCGTGGGCCGCGTCACATCGCTAGTTGTACCAGAGCAGAAACCTTTGTCTATCAATATGCACACACGTCAGGGACTACCCTGCTCCAACGGTATTGCTCTCACGGCTCAAGACATGGTAAAGAAATAAATTTGGGCAGGTTATCTGGGTGGGCGAACCCCTCGGCACTCGTCTATTTGTGTATAGACAAAGAGATTTACGTAGACGGATCAGTCCACATGCACACTTTGAGTACAGATTCATAGACAGATAATCTTACCCTACTGACTCTATGTTGAAAAAGCGAATGTAAGCCAACGGCATGATTGAATTTAGCAGCGTCGTGGATAGCTAAGTGTCTAATATCTAGGTCCATGAAAGTATAGCCAGGGAAAAGGAAATATTTCGAAACTGCCGAGGTACCTATATAAACGGACACCTTGCCCTCGTCCATCGCATTATCATGGTTGCCCAATTGATCAAATAGTATAGATCAGATTCGAAGCTCTGACCTCTTCTTTCCAACGATTGAAACAACCCCCTGAACCGATTCCATCCGACTCCAACAGTAAATGCCTCCAAGACGATCACGTGCATCTCGAGCAGAGCAGCCTTCTGTCCATCAATCATCCATCCATCTGCAGTCTCAGAGGGCCCTGATTATGTGGTCCGTTCCAATTCATCCGTCATTCATTTGTTCGTTGCTTCTCTGGCCTCAACAGAACCAACTCTCCTACGCCTAGGCTGTGGTAACGCCCTTGCCCACCACGGGCGGGGAGCCACTAGTGACGCCAGATGAAATGGCCGCTGACGCTGCCGTGACAAAAGCGTCATCTGCGTTGTCATCATCGACATCATTCAAATCACTGTCCCTCAACTCACGGACCTCACCGGACTTGGTCACGATCATGACTGCGCTAACATCGCCTCGAATCAGAGTCCTCCCAAATCCTTTGAGTTTGCGGACTTCGCGTTCACGCATAGCCTTGGGCGCAATCAAACGCTTGACCCCGACTTGTTCAATGACCAAAGCGGCGAGCATGTTGACATAAAGGAAAGGGTGTTGGATGATCTCGACCGCAAAGGCATCCAGAACAGACTTTGCCCGTAGGGTGTATGTTTCGGCATTCTGTGGAGCGTATGACGATAGGTACAGCAGGTTTTGCGCCGTGATGCCGTTGGGAGAGGGGAGTCCAGTGTCAGCACCTGGTTTCAGCCTTAATACCTGATCAAGCGACCCCGAAGCTTGATAGTATCCTGCACCACCTTGACTCTTGAGCTCGGCAGGTGGAGCTGGGGATGTTGCAAGAAAATGAGTGTCTTGGTAGGTCTGAAGCGTCGCTGCCCACTCGAGATATTGTGGATTGAGGTTGAGGTCATATAGCGCGAGGGATCCGAGTGTCAGGTACGCATAGTCGTCGACGAATGCAGTGCCATATTCCCGGCCTTGAACAACGCCTTGTGCTTTGTATACACGAGTAACTTCCCCAGTAGCTGGGTTAAACATCTCGGATCGAATGAAATGCGCAGCCTTTTCAGCAGCGGCAGCACAGCGTGCTGCACGGGCTTTGTCAATGGTAGCGAGCGTGTTGGCTGCACGAGACAGGGCAGATATGGCTAGCCCATTCCAAGAGGCAATGATCTTGTTGTCTACCTGCGGCGCAGACCGTTGTGATTTACGATATGCTTGGAGCTGTGCCCGTCCGTTCTTAATGATTCGGACAATTTCATCCTCGGGGATGCCGAACTCTTTGGAGAGTACAGACGGGGTGGCTTGAATGCTGAGGACATTCTGGTTCAGAAATTCGTCGTTGACATCGTGTTCGGTGGGGACGTTGCCATCGGCTTTGACACCGAAGTGACGAGCCAGAATTGGGGCTGCGGTGTCTCCTAGGATAGATTGGAATTCTTTCAAGGTCCAAACATAGTGGGCACCTTCTTTACTGTCATGATCAGTGGTCCCGTTTGTCGTCAAATGGGGTTGGGTTGAGCTGTCCGAGTCTTCGCTGGCATACCAGCCACCAGCGGGATGAACAATCGGTGAGGAAGGGTTGGTGAAGTATTCGACGAGGTTGTAGATGACTCCTAGGATTTCGGGGTTCCGACCTAAGGCCCACGCGTCACAGTATACACCAAGGAGCTGGGCATTATCGCACATCATTTTCTCGAAATGAGGTAGATTCCAATCTGGGGTTACACTGTATCGGTGAAAGCCATAGCCGAGCTGATCACGCAAGCCAGATCTTGACATAGCTAGCAGGGTATGCAAGGCCATTGTAGCAGCCGTGACGCAAGAAGAGTGGCCCAAGATGTCTGAGACAGGAGCGAAAAAGCCGAACCTGGTGTTTGTCGATGGGGTCGCAACAGCTGCGCCGATACGGAGAAGAAAGGCCAGATTGGCCGGCGTGGGGAATTTGGGAGAGGTAGGAGTCAAGCCAAATCCGCCATGGACAGGATCGTAGCGACTGATGAAATGTTCGAGGGCATCATCAAAGAGATCTAGTTCGAGAGGTTCAGGTGCTTCGATGGATGCGGGAGCGCCGCCCTGTATTTGAACAGAGGAGTGGGAGTGAGTTCCCTCGGCAGAGAATTCTCGTAACTGGGTGGTGATCTCAGCAGAGGCCTGGAGACATCGTTCGCGCTGAGAGGTCCATATGTCTTGAATTTTGTGGAGTATTTCGAGAAAAGTCACGTGCGATTGCGTGCTTTGTTGAGAAGCTTGACCAGTGCTGGTGGAGGGACCAGGCCAGTAGGTTCCGCCAAAGACCGGCTTCAGGTCCGGCGTGAGGAAGACGTTCAAAGGCCAGCCCCCAGCGCCAGTCGTTGCGGTGACAAAATTCATATAGATGTCGTCAAGGTCAGGACGGGACTCTCGATCAAGAATGATAGGGATGAAATTGTCATTGAGGTACTGGGCCACCTCGGGAGAAGTGAAGGATTCTCGATCCATGACATGGCACCCTTGAGGACCGATCAGTTTCATCCAGGGCCGCAGAATGCATTCGGAGCTTACAATGACATGAAGCAAAGCCAATGCTTAGAAAGATGAGACGTTCTTGTTGCTTGGCGAGTTCGATGGTCTCGGGGAACCAGCCTTGCCATGCGATAGGATTGTCCTTGTGCGAACGTAGCTGTACTCAATCAGAAAACAATTCATGCCAGTTGACAGACGTAACATCACTCACATAGGGCGATGCGCTCTGAGCAAGGACATTCTGCAGCTGCAGAGGCCGTCCAGCCGGATTGCTGACCATCGAGGCTGGTGATTGGTTGGTTGGCTCTTTGGGGCTAGGCGATTAGGCTTAGGAAATGATTGGCAGCGCAGGATCGTCAATGGTTGACGAGGAAGCCTTGAAATAAAAGCAAAGAGGACCACGGAGGTGAGTAAAAGATGATGGGAGTAAGGATGGACTCTGGAAAGATGAATTGGGCACGGACGAGGCCTTGAGCGAATCTTCGCTTGGGACCGGAAACCGCCGGTTGAGCGGGGATATGTCAGGCACAGATGGGGGAGCAGATGCAGTGTAACAGTGATGCAGAGTTTTCTGCAGTAAAAGAGATCTTCAGGATGATGACAGGAGCCTGGTGGACATTGGAATTGCGTCCGACAGAGTTTTTCCTGTTGGTCGAGTGAAAGAGAAGAGGCTGAAGCAGAGGAAAAAAGCGGGAGGTTGCGAGGAGCCAATCATGATTGTGTATTGGGAGGCTGGCCTGATAGCGCCCCACCTGCAGAATCCGGGGAATGTCACGTGAGTGATAAGGAATTGTTTCTGATTTTGTTCTTATTTTGGAAGGCACCAAAAGGACGCTTGGGGCCACGGTGGCAAAAAAGACCCACAACAAGAGATAATGAGGAGTGAGAAGAAAAAGAAGTGTTTTCTGAAGCTGGAGAGAGAAAGATGTAGCTAGCTACGAGGAGGAAGTTTACATCAATTGCGAGTGATTGGGACATCCTCAACCATCTGCTCCAGCGTCTCACTCTCGTCCTCCTCCATCAATGCTTGTAGCTCGGCTTCTTCTTCCTCTGTTAGCATGGGCAGATCACTCTTTGGTTCTGGTTCTTGTTCGAGAAGCTGGGGATTCTTGGCTTCCTCCACCGCTTTGCGTAATGCTGCCGGCTCTAGACTCCATCTTCTCAGCGTTGCATCAATACTGACGCTGATGACCAAATCGTCAATCACGGCCAGCCCCGTCACTTCTTCAAAATGACCTGAAAATACATGATGGAGATTTCCCGTGGCTTTGTCCCACACTCGTACCTGTTCGTCTCGGCATGCTGTAATGACCCAACCATATGATTCATGTGTGACAACATCACGTACAAAGTCGGGGTGGAGAAGCGTCATGTCTGGTTCCCAATTCCGATTCCGGGACAGCTGTTTCACAGTCTTGTCTGCCGAGGCCGTCCACAGGTCACCGTCCTCGTCGAAATGTAATTTGTACACACTAGTATCGTGTGCAAGAATCGGGCCAGATAGCTTGATCCCACTGGAATTAAGCTGACTGGAATCCGGTAAAGTGAAATGGTAGATGTCTCGTTTTGATGTGGAGAAAAACACGGATGTTTTGTCTGGGGAAGAGAGAGGATCGATCGCAAGGTGCTCAATCCCACGCGAATCAGGTTTCAAGAATCCCAATGAACGACCATCCAACGACCAGAACCGAATATCACCATCTGCTCCACCGGAGATTAAAATATCTTCTTTGTCAGGAGTTGACGCTACCAGTAGGCATTTGATAAAATCCTGATGTGCTGGGAAGGAAGTCTGGCCGGTGACAGTCCGACCAGCTGGAATATCCTCGGCGATGCGAATGACATATTGCCAGATCGATTTGTCCCAACATCCGGCAAATAGTCTCATGGAGGTGAATGGATCTGTAGCATTGGTTTGAGCATGGACGGCAAGGCAAGTTAGGGGAGCTCGTGGCCCTTTGAGGGTCGTCGAAAACTCGTTGGTCGACAGTTTCAATGCCGTGACTTGACCAGCGGCCTCGGCGACAAAGACCACATCCCCTGTAGGGTCAAAAGCATAATTGACTAGAACATCTAGGATCTTGGAGCCAAAGCGCACAGGCTGACCCTGTGTGTTTGCAGCTTTCCTAGCTTTGCGATCATTTTCTGCTAGAGAAGTGCTGGACAAACACAGTCAGACCCATGGGAGGGGCGAGGCTGAGAGTGGACTCACTCAGTCTGGAAATAATTGTCTGGCCGGTCGATAGTGGTCATATCCACTGAGCCTCGTCAAAAGGTCAAGAAGGAGACCGTCTGATTTTGAATCATCAACCGACAGCGATGGAAGGATATGAAATCCTGGTGATATGTTGAGCCTGTCCACGAAGCCCCTTCTGGTCATATGTTTCAACGTAGAGAATCAGGAGAGTCGTGAGTCGATATCACGCCAAGAATACTACGGTGGACTAAGTGCAGTATTGAGTGTCGTGCTGGCTCACACGTGCCACACAATCCCCAAATCTGGATACACAAAGGAATATTAATTGGCCGAAACCCGGACTGGGGGTGACTTTCTGGCCTTAGGCGTTAATAGGCATACCTGGAGTCTTGGTCCTGCAGCCTTTAAGTGACCCTCTCTGCCCCTGTGGCTGTGAATTGCCCAAGACTTTGGGGTCAAGTGCACGCCGCAGCCTCACAAACAGACACCTGGAATATCCTTGTCGTACTTGTCCATCTTTATTCACAGCAACTTCAATTCTCGACTTCTGCCACTACTTTATTCTTCTCTTCCTCTCTACCACTCACGCCTCCCATCCCTCAACCAACAACCTCCCACCATCTCCCTCCTCCCGCGCGCCGCACCTCAGCTTCTATCTGATCCCTCCTCTGCCACTCCTCTTCTCATCATAGCGCCTCTTGCAGCTCCTTCAATACCAAACTTTTTCCACCTGTCTTTTCATGTAACACCACAACCTGCCAAAAACCTTTTACCTTGCACCTCATTTCTTCATTCACCATGAGCATGGATCACTTAATCGGTCAGAGATTCAATCTCATTTCTAAGAGCGAAATTCGGTTCGTCTTTCTCCTGTCTGACTTGCATTCCCTGCACCGTCTAACTCATTCTTTCTAGATATGTTGGCACCCTTCATGAGATCAATGCCGAACAGTCCACTATTGCTCTCGAGAACGTCTTCTCCTTCGGCACCGAGGACCGTCAAGTCGCTAAATTCATCCCCCCTTCTCAGGAAAAATATGGTTTCATCGTTTTTCGAGGAAGTGATGTGAAGGACATCAAGATTGCCGACGAAGAACCTGCAGCTCCTTCGCCGCAGCAAAACATGCCCAACGACCCTGCTATCCTGGTACGTGTTTTCTCTCTCCCTTATTCGCTCTCACAACCAGTGAAGATGATGAAACATTTCGGATGTAAACTCACAGACCTGTTCTTAATGCGCAAACCCATGTGGATATTTCCGTTGCCTTCCTTCTGATTTCACAAAAAACCCCTTCTACTTCACACTTTTGCGTCACTGTTATTTTCCATCATGATACTGACGTTCCACGTGGATTTCAGAATGCGTCTCGCCCTGGACCTCCCCCACAAGGACCTGATGGTCCATTTTCACCGCAGGGATTTCCTCCGCCGCCGCCACATTTCGGTGGCTACTACCCTCCTGGCCAGTTCGGTAGGGGCTACGGACCTCCCCCAGGAGGCTTTGGACCTGGCCCAGGTTTCGGTCCTTATGGCCCTCCTCCGCCGGGCTATTTTGGCGGTCCACCAGGACAAGGCTTTCCACCTGGCCCCCCTGGCCCCCCTGGTCCTCCTGGTTTCCATCAACAGCCGCCTATCGGTCCTCCCGGCCAGCGTCCTCCTCAGCAGCATCCCCAGCATAGCCAGCAACCCTCAGAAGGAAATTCTGTAGGCCCGACCCCTACTTCTGTTCCGACATCCGAGCTTCCTGTCGATAACAAGGCCCCGAGCGCGACCTCCGCTGCTGCACCTCCTAAGACGGGTAATGCAGCTGGATCCGAAAAGAAAGAGCCACAGCCCGAGAAGAAGAAGCCTGCCGCAGTCCCTACAATGGCATCCGTGGCGGCAGCTCCTGCACCCAAGAGCGCACCCACAGGACCCAAGAACAACCGAGTCGCGCCCGCTGTTCCCTTTACCGTTAACCAAAAATCATTCACACCTCCCGTACAACCCTCAACAGACGCGCCCATTTCTTCTACAAATGGAAGCGTCGCAAAGGCTGCGAAGCCACAGTCGTCTCAAGCTGCGATGGAAGAAGCTGCCCGACAGGCCAAAGAAGCCGTCGCTGCAGCTATGGCCAAACTCAACCCACAAGCCGCGACTGCGCAAGCCAAGTCAGTGCCCTCAGGCGCGGCCGTCGATGCCCTTTCTCAGAGAGTCAGTGCATTGTCGACTTCGACCGTGCCCGATGGTGCCCAACGCGGGGCTAGAGGAGGATCACACCGTGCTGGCAGAGGTGGCACCCACCCTCGTGGGGCGGGACCCGCGAAGAGGATGGAAATTCCAAAATCGGATTTCGACTTTGAATCTGCCAACGCCAAGTTCAACAAGGAGGACTTGATCAAAGAGGCGATTGCCACTGGCTCGCCTCCAGTCGCAGGCGCGGAAGAAACCCCTGTGGAAGTCGGCGAGAAAGACGACAGCCTGCAGGCGCTCCAGCGAAAAGACAGTATCCCGTCCAACACCGGTGCCGCGTACAACAAATCATCCTCATTCTTCGATAACATCTCATCCGAAGCTAAAGATCGCGTGGATGCCAACGAGGCGCGGACACAAGGACGACAATTGCGAAGTGAAGAATTCAAAAAGAATGTGGAGACGTTTGGCCAGGGTAATGTGGATGGAGGTTTCCGCGGCCGAGGTCGAGGTGGTGGCTATGGCCGAGGCCGTGGCTACGGAGGATATCGCGGTGGCTACAATAGCGGCAATAACCGTGGTGGCAATAGCGGTTATCGTGGAACTCGAGGTCGCGCGGGTCAGGGACAGGGTCAGGTGCCGGCATCTGAAGCATAGTCAGGCTGTCTTGGATTCGGTTGCTTCTTGTATCATAATGACGGACGGCCCGCTCTTGCTCGAATTTATCTTTTATGTTTTCGGGGGAATACATGGTGGATCATGGAGACGTCATTTGCGCAGCCTCATTCGAACCGAGACACGGGTATGATGATATGATGAAGCGGCTTTGAAATCATGCACATGGGACGACGAGACTCGGGGATGCCTAGGAAAATGAAATGGCACAAAGCGATATGGAGTTGATGCAGATGCGCGCATGTGTGCAAAAGTCACACGAGAAAGCGACAGCTCTGCCATGGTGGTCTGAGTCTGATGAGCCAGCATCTTCTCGGCAGATGCCTAAGAAATCAAAGTTCATTCGAGACGGTCGACTGCTCTGACCTGAAACTGAGGAATTAAAATAAAGCCTGCTGTTCAGGGGATTGTGCTTTGTGCTTTGTGCTCTTAGTCTATCAAATCATTCCCCTGGCAGTACACTATCAAATGCATACTCAATTCCTCCTGCATGCCAACTTTCATTTTGCTTCTGCCTGTTCACTGTGTCTACATCCGTCATTGATCCCTGGAGCTGCCTGGAAGTAGAAACAAGTCTGGGGGGAAGGTCGATCAGGCATGAATATCGAATGAAAGGAGATGAAGACTTTGGGCAACATGATAGTCATTCTCTTCGTCACCGTAGTTTTTACTCGTGCTTCTTCGTACAGTACATACATCCCCTGATAGCCTGGTTTATCAATTATTCAACATAGATTCGATGCCGAGACATTTCCATCACAATATGACCAAAAAATTGGTTCCGGATCTGCTGACATCCCATTGTAGAGTCAATCCTGACTTGACTTCTTCGTCCGAGTACAAATCACAGCAGTACAGTGCCTCGTCACTGTCGGCTGGAGTGCAGCCTGGCTGTTTGCATATCTGCGTAATCATTTGATTTGCCAAGCCATGTGTGTATGTGGCACAAAAGCCCATGCCATGCGCACATGATATTGGACTTGGATTGATGCTTCCCTCAACTCATTTGTCGCCGACGACTGAGATCGACCAAGCATCTTCGGTCATCTTGGTCGGTTGTCCACGATCTGCCGGATGTAGCAGCATCAGATAGATAGTTCGCGCTGCTGTACATGGGCTGTAAAGGAGCGGCAAGGCCTCATTCAGCCCCTTGGTACAGCACGAAAGTTTATCACCGCCACGGATTCTCTTAACCAATTGCCGATGCCCCCTAACACAATTATGACCTCGTTATATCTTCGTTTGGCCCAATGTTCAACCTTTCGGTCTCTCTGGCCTTTCCATCTTGCCCAGAGTATGAAGATGATGATGAATATAACGTTGAGGAGCGCTTGCCGCAGAAAAATCCACGTCAACCACCTTATCCACGATGTTATTCGATAGAGTAGGCGCCTTCGGCGAGAGGTGAGGGATGGAGATAGTGAAGAGGACGACAAGAGATGATTTGCTGACAGCTCTTCGCGAAGCGCGGCGACTTCGATAGACAACTGTCGTAGATGTGACTCCATCTGAGACTTCCAGTGGGGATCGGAAGTGGTGCCGGAACTGGAAGGTAAGGGGATATTGAGAGCCTCGGCATTGGGATCAACTTCTTCTGCCTCAACGACATCATCGCTGTCCCGTTGAGAGACTGGTGACAAGACTCTCATCCGGTTGGGATCTGAATGGGTTCTGCTGAGAAGACCACTGCTCTGAGCAGCGGCGGATATCTGTCCGGTTGCATTGCTGGCAAAGCTTTGGGTCTGTCGAAGACCAGCACGTTCGAGCTGGCGCGTAGGAGAGTCTCCGTCTTCATCGGGGTCGCTGCCGCTTTGACTCCTGATTTGATTCCAAACAAACTCGAGTTCAGAAACCAATTCCCGTGACTCTTGGGTTCCACTGGCATACTCCTTCATCGTCTCAATGAGGGTGCTGATGTACTTCCTCTTTGCGTCGGTGTTGGACATTCCTGCACATGCATGCCACGCATCCCACTTCTCTATCTCGGCTTCGGCCTCTCTTATTCGTAGGTCGCGAGATGCATAACGATGGACATTGTTACTCGATCTGGGGTTGGGATCTGGTGAGACAGAGGGGAGAGTTGGTCTGGGCAAGATGGCTTCGACATCGCCTTCCATCGACTGTTTGTAGAGGCCATAGAGGCGTAGTCGGGCGGAAGGGGGTGGCCTGGAAGAGCCGGTCCGCGGTAGGCGACGAACAGTGGCTAAAGCATGGGTAAAGACGCGATCTTGCTGTCGTTAGGATTCTCTGCAACATCACAACTATCCGGAAAACTAACCAACAGAGTCAAACATGACGCCTTTAGGCGTCGGAAGATGGATAATGTTCGAGTATGAGGTAGGCGGCTTTGGTGCTGTCAGAAGTCAGGGTGTCATAAATGGCTGTCTGGTCTTGCCGGTTATGCAAAATTGACGAGATAGCGAACCATGTTTGCGGCTTTAAACAATATGGATGAGGGAGGGGGAGAAGAGAGAGGGAGAAAATGCCGTCGTATTCAGGAGGGAAGCGAGCAGAATTCTACTGATGGTGATGATGACTATGGTGGTCGTGTGAGTGGTGGTGGTGGTAGTGGTAGCGGTAGTGTTGATGGAAATGGTGGTGGGCTGGGCCGGCGATGCGTACGCTGTCCCCTGCGAGTACCTGTTCCTTCCACATGAATTTACATCCGAGCGCACCTTCCAATTCTAAATGACGGTCGATTGCCTCGGCCCTTGGCATCAGCCGTACGGCGGACTATTATAGCACCCCAGGACATGCCACGACAACGTATTTTGTTCACATAATCTATGGCATCATGTCTGGATTACCTGTCCTTGGGTAGAATGGCCTTTCCACCCCCTGTCGTCTCTGAAGAGCCGCTGATCTCCGTGCTCTCTTTGGCTAAACCACCCTGACTTTGAGGATCATGATGTGATGCCTGTCGGCTGTTCCTCGTGTCATTCGGAGCCTCCCCTCCTGCAGAGTACTGCTTCAGATCGCTATACTTGACCGATTCTAATGCTCTTTCATGCGACGCATGCAGATGAACCTTGGGCACTGCTGATTTGGGCAGGGTGCCTTGCTGTGCAGCATCAAATGCTTCCTTCCATCGACCAGCACACAAGCACCATTTCATGCCATCCTTGACTCCGGCCTTGTCCAGGTTGTTTCCCTTTGAATTGGTAAACTTGAGGAATTCACCATTTACCGTCGCTGCCACCGAGTGATTGCCCTGATCCTCAGGCCCGCTTCTGCAATAGCCGTCGCGGTAGTATCCTGTTGGCGGGTCTCTGGAGAATTGGGCCAACTGGCCACCAACGACTGTCACGAGACCATGTTAGATAATGTGTCTCTAGGAGATGTTACCTTACCATTCTTGTTCTTCATCATCTCTTTGCTTGAAACCTGCTTCTGTGACGCCATTTTACTGGTCTGAAAGGCTGTCGGACGCTTTGCCTTGGAGAATGTGTCCAGGAATCTGAAACTGCGAGGAGATAGGCGACTGACTGAAACACCCGCTCGAGTTATCAACTTTGAGACTTTGTGTCAAGCGGGCTGTCACCAAAATCAATGTAGATGGAATCATGACGTTGTGAATATCTTACATCATGAAGTCAGAGTTCGCCTGCTCCACATGATGATGTTACCACTCGCTAGTCTTCCAGATTGCCAAAGACATCGGGAATCAGTTAGTTGGTCGATCAGGGGTGTAATATGAGCTCGATTCGTCTCGGACAATTTGATTCTTGCCTGTAGAATGGACTTCAAGTGAGACGAGGTATGCTCAATTTGCCCTCGTGACGGTCTAGATTAGATTAGATGCTTTGATGCAGATACTACAGCGAAGCATAAAACAACAGTATCGCGTGGTCGTGACTGCCAAATTTGACATGTCGTCTTTGCAGGCTGAGTCGCGCCTTCCTTCTCATCTGCGTTGACAGAGTTAAATTCCACTTCATTCCATCAAGAAAACCTCATCCACTTGTTATAATCCGTTTTTATGGGAAACCCCACGGGACTCCCCGGATTTACGCGCCCTCTCTGTACTCTTGTCTACTCCGTAGGCCCGCTCGCGTAACAAGCTCGGCAAGGTACCCGCTTGAGTGCAACCCCGCCACGGTGAGATGTGCACTCCAAATCTCCAATCCACTAAAAAAAACAAGATGTATCCCTGGCTGACAGCCGCGGGGGAGCCCAGTCATGTTCTGGAAGGCGACCAAAAACCCTTTTGTTGCCCAGAAGGCCAATCTATGGGTCGTTCTTCACAAGAACATTCCCTCAATACCGATATTTTCATCCTATCAATTTGCTGTTCTTTTTGGTCAATTCTGAATATCGACGCTGGCCCCTTTTCTCTTCCGTCCACGGCAGCTGTTCGAATCTGCTTCCGCGAATATTCGTAATCATGAGCAGAGTCTGACCAATTTTGCGACGCTTGAGGGAATGTCATGGCTGTCTCTACACAGGAGAGCGACGCTGTACCGGTTCCTATTCATTATGAGGACACCGATGCAGACGGCGTTGAGCATCGTTATCTGACGTTCGATACGGATATACCGCTCACTCCAATCCTGCCCCCGACACTTCAAAGGGCGGACTTACCACCATGCCCAAAACTTCACGATTACGGTGATCCATTTGCGTGGTCTCTCACTCGCAAGAGGCTGTTGACCTACTTGTCCTGCTCAGTCAACATTGTTGCAGCTTACTCGGCAGGGTCATATGCATCTCCGGCTGAAGAGCTTATGAGGCTGTGGAATGTGTCGAACGTCGCCTACAACGTCGGAATCACGATTTTTACTCTTGGCTTCGGTATTGCACCCATGGTTCTTGCGCCCTTCTCAGAGATCAATGGAAGGAGACCCGTCTTTATCGTGACAGGAATATTGTTCGTTATCTGTCAGCTATGTTGTGCCCTCACTCAATCTTATGGAGGCATGTTGGCGGCTCGTTTCTTCCTTGGCGTTGGTGGCTCAACCTTTTCGACCATGGTAGGGGGCATCCTCGCCGATGTTTGGATCACTGCAGATCGAAACACACCCATGGTCCTGTTCACAGGAGCAACCCTCTTCGGCACCGGTCTAGGGCCTCTAGTCTCAGGAGTGGTCGCTCAACGATTATCGTGGCGCTGGGTGTGGTACATCCAAGTGATTACCAGTGGAGTCCTCGTTTCCCTTGTCATTATCTTCTTCAAAGAAACCCGGGGCAGCATCATCCTCAGTCGAAAGGCCAGACTTCTCAACAGGTGGTACGCTGCCCTTGAAGAAGCTGGTGCCCTCGGTATGGTTGCCCTCGGTATGGAGGACTGCACGACCCAGGACAAGTCGCAACCATCGAACCCTCGTCGCATTCGCTGGAAAGTAAAAGCTGATGAAGACCGCGCATCATTGGCTCGCATGATTGCCACCTCCCTTTACCGCCCCATCCACATGTTATTCACCGAACCTGTTGTTTTCTGGTTCAGCCTCTGGATCGGCTTTTCCTGGGCTGTGTTATATCTGCAGTTCGGATCCGTTCCCCTCGTGTACCGAGTCAATCACGGCTTCAGCCTAGAACAAACCGGCTTCGTCTTCGCGTGTATGTGTGTTGCGGCGATCTTGTCAACGATCCTGAGCATTGTTCAAGAGAAGTGGGCTGTCAAGCACTATCCAGTCAAAATCAATGGTAGTCCCGAAGGGCGTCTGCTATTCACCTGTGTTGAATCTGCACTGATGCCCATTGGTATCTTCTGGTTCGGTTGGACCTGTGTCTCGTCGATTCATTGGATTGTTCCAACTATCGGCATCGGCATTGCAACCATGGGCATCTTCAGCATTTTCCTCGCGACTTTCAACTACACGGCTGACGTCTACCATGTTTACGCCAGCTCAGCCCTTGCGGCTTCGGGATTGTGTCGTAATTTGCTCGGCGGTGCCTTTCCCCTCGTCACAGTGCAGATGTTTGAGGGAATGGGATTCCAGGCGGCAAGCAGCACCTTAGGGGCGATTGGGGCGGCTCTGACACTGGTCCCCTGGATTCTGGCATTTTACGGGCCAAGGATCAGGGCTAGGAGCAAGATTGCCAGCTCATTTGTTTAGCACTTTGCCTTGACATATTCCTGTCATCCCTGCAATCTGAGGCCTTGAGCGACATTGCGAAATAGATATGGCGTTTGGAGCATGTCATTGGTCTTGGAGCATGTTGAAAAATGTACAGACCCTGCATATAGCAAAAGTATCTACTATTACAGTTCATCAATGTGGAATGGAAATTGTCAGAAGATTTAGCATCAACAGCTTCCACGCAGAATGAATTTTGATCTAGACCTAACGCTGATGACATCGAGTTCCATGGCACTACTATTGGGCGCGTAGAACCATCGACTTGCTCTGTGAACCATTCAACTAAAAGTGCCTTTTGCCGGTTAAAATACATCTAAAAAGACAAGAGGGTGCTGCGGCGATCATAGAAAGGCACCGTCTCATTTGGCCTGTTCGGGCAAATAAGCACCTCCAGCCAGCACAAGATTCATATTCGTAAACTTGGTGACATAGACAGGGCTTTGCTTGGTGAGGAAGGCTGAGATCTGGTCACTGGTGACCACAGCATCTTTGCCTCTCTTCTTGGGAGGACCTCCGCCACCAGTGGTGCCGGTAGTCATCGGTGTGATATTGGGGGCAGTTGTTGTGGTTGCTGACGTGCTACCGGTCCCTGCGACTGTACCACCCGAGGCTGTCGTTGTACCACCGCTGCCGTCGGTCTTTGCCGCCGGATTGCCAGTTCCGTCAGCCTTGTGTGCTGCAGTCGTGGTGGATTCTTTGGCAGGACCTGTAACATCCCATGCCCTTACTGTGCAATCAGCACCCCCCGAAACTAGGACCGTCGACTCCGCCGACCAAGACAGCGACCATATCCCGCCTTTGCCATGACCACGCATTTTCTTGAGAAGTCGACCAGGGCCAAGATCCCAGATGAGGATGACGCCGGTATCGTCGGCTGAAGCAAGATATTTGCCATTCTTGGAACAGGCGAGGGCGGTAATCATCGAAGTGTGACCAGTGAACATCCGTACAGGGTTGCCATTGTTAAGGGCCCACATCCGGACGGTCTTGTCACTAGACGCTGTGAAGACGTAGGTGGAATTTGGGTGCCATGCTGTAACGTCGACATCGTCGTCATGGCCTGCTAAGATCCGGATTTGACGAATCTTATCAGTCTGCCAGATTCTTCCTGTCTTGTCGTGGCCACCACTTGCGAAATAATAGCCATAGGGTCCCCACGAGACTGACCAGCAGGGACCGACGTGACCTTTGTATACCACCATACATTGGAAGGTTTCAAGGTGCCAGAGTCGGATCGTAGCATCCTGACTGCAAGACAACAGCCATTTTGTGTCGGTGTCGCCGAGTTCTTCGGTAGGTTTCACCGTCGAAGGTGCGAATGAAACGGTGTAGACTGGTCCTGAATGGCCGATCAGTCTTTGAGAATTCGATTCCTGGCCGTTGACGGGTGGACCAAGTGGAGAGCCGTCCATCGTCCAGAGACGAATATATGATTCTTGAAAACCTGCAGCAACGAGTTTTTGGTCGCCTGAAAAGTCCAAGCAAATGATGCTGTCGTGTGTGTTGTGAAATGTATACATGACTGTGCTGAGAGCGGGTCCGATTCCCCCTGTCCGAGTCTCAATCTTCAAGCGATCGCGATTTTCTCGAATCTTTTGAACCTCCATGGCCACATCCCGAGCAGTTGAAGGAGGAAAGGGAATTTCGGCTCTGTTTGGACCTTCATCCTCCTCCTCCTGCTTAATGTTGAGCATTTCATGAGTTTGCAGGAGACTGTCCTGACCGGGGCGGGGTGGGGCGGAAGAGTCAAGCTCGGTGACTTCGGCACGCACATCCTCTTCAGCCTCTTTCTCCATAGGAAGCTTACCAAGCTTCAGAGTCGCCAGATTGTTACCGACAGTGGGATCTGTTGATGAGACCGCATTGCCAGGGCGATGACCAGGGATTCCTTCGTCCTCTGCAGGCATGTCCTGACCTTCAGCACCGCGGGCAATGACTGCCGCAAAACTGAATCGATCATCGGCACCACGATCGACCTGTCTGAGATCTAGATGGTTCTCGACGATTTTCATCAGAAGCTTGAAACCAAACTCTGGGAGAGACTCTAGAAACTGCATGAAGTATACGAATGCGGCTTGACTGATCGACAGGCGATATTTGTTCTCGCGGTAGAGTCTGGCGACCTTGTCTTCGGAGTGTTCTGGTAGGGTGATGCGCTCCATACTTCTCAGGTCATATTCATGTTCTCTGCGGAACTCTTCCGAAAATTTCTGGAAGAACCGTGCGGCTTCTTTAGCATGCAGTTGTGTGATGAGTTCGAAGTATGTGTAGACAAAGAATGGCCAAAGGAGCCGTGATACTTCCGGTTTGTAAATGTCAAGAGCATCATCGGTCCACGCCTTTAAGCGCACAAATGTCTCGAAGTAGCGGTTAGCAGGAGGGCCAGTGGGTTGGAATGGAGACTCTCGCGCAATCTCTTGATTTGATGACTCCGCCCGAAGCATGGCTTCTGTTCTATGGTATCCTTTCTTCGCAAGGTAGTCTATCACCTAGAGATCTGTCAGCTTGACTTGACTGAATTCACCATACGAAGAAAAGAAAGTGGTTTGATCAAGGCTGCCAAGAGAAATGGCTGATCTAGCTTGGAATGGACAAAGGGGAAACGCTCGCCTGTGATGTTATGCTATCTTCCGAGAGCGCGCCAGGTGAAAGTGTTTGCCGTGATGATATTCATGGCCGTTTGACAGTGACAGAGCATAAATGAAGGACGTGGGGTTGGGGCTGGGTGTGGGAAGCGTCAAGTGTACAAAGTGAATATGTTGTCTAGGCCTCTGATGTCGCGGGTTGCGAGAAATGTGAGATTGGGACTGCGACTCATTATGGGCTGACAAGGCCAGGGCGCGGGCGCACTAATGGTCTTCTGGATGTAGTGTCGCACGAGAGTCTTGTCCAAAATGCGTTGCCAAAGGAACTGCGGGACACCAAGGAAATGGGATGTTTGCTTACAATTTGATTTAGATTCTGCTGTGAGATGGTACTGGCACCCGTGGCGGTAGACGGTCCTGTGGATTGCACCGGCGCGCCTGAGCCGGCAACCGCTGCAGCGCCGACGCCATTGACAAGTGATGTGCCGGTAGTTGCCAGAAGCCCATTTGGCCCTGTGCTTGCGCTGCGAGGTGCTGGGCTAGGCGCGTTGGGGCCCGACATGTTGTGTTTCGTTCATTCACCTTGTACGACAATTGTGAAATTTTTGGAGGCTATGAGCCTCAGGCGAGTAGAGTTGAAGATCAGTCCCAGTCCGATAGTGGCGAATAACCAGGTGATTAGATGGTATTGGTCCTGCGCTTGAAAGAGATTGGGAATAATGTCGTCTCAGGAAGACGGCGTGAAGGTTGAAAGAGTGGCAGCCAAAGTCGAGATATTGCGCTAGCCTTATTTGGTATAGCTTGGTCGGATATCCTTCCGGATATGGCTGAAGCGTGTTCCCAGATTCTACAACCGAACATCAACGCTTGACTTGTCTCTGAATCGTTGAAAAGAAACTGTCTGTTAACTGTGACATTGACAATGAAATTGATCCTTACAAGATGCTGAAACGCTCTCATCAGGCATTGTCTACCATATCATACCACTATGGAAGCTGATCCACCGGAGTCGGCCAATGTCAAGGGCCATGAGTCTCCATTCACTCCAGCCGAGCGCATCGCCGAATTAAACGCGATTGACCAGTCCATCTCCACCCTCCTATCTGCCGCATCCGATGTGATCGGTATTCTTTCTAACGAGCCATCTTCTGAAACCCAAGAAAGAGCTCTGAGAAATCCAACCTCTGCTAGATCCGCATTCCAGGATGCCGCCTCCACCTACTTCACTACCTTGTCCTCGATCGATGTTCGGTTACGTCGCCAGGTATATGCTCTGGAGGAGGCCGGCCTAGTCAAACCGGGTGACGACAGGGATCCAAAAAGAGGCAGAAAGGTTGGCGGGGAATATGGAATTGAGAGAACAGGAGGTGGCCCACTCGATCCCTCTTGGCTGAGTGCTAGGGCCAGTGACAAAGTAGGCTCGGGAATGAAGGCTGAACTCCTGGCCCAGGCGAGAGTATTCATTGAGAAATCGGAAGGACGTTCAGCAGAGAAGAATCTCGATGAGAATTCGACAGATCTACCTCGAAGCACAAGTGGCGAGGACCGTCGAGATCATGATGTGGGATGAGTCAGCCTCTATGGTCTAATCAACACCATAGTAGTCAACTCTCCACACGTTGAAGGCTTCATGCGATCTTCCACCGCAGTTGTGGCGCAGGCCTTTGTTGAGCCAATCGCGTTGTCTGCCTGTTATGCTGACTGCGTCTTATTCGTCTTGTGTTCACGACACTGCGAAGCAGCAAGTCTAACTCACATCAGCGGCGCGCACCCGATACTGTCGCATGTTCAAGTGCGCCAGTCACTGGCATGTCGCTGGACGTGTGCCATAGGTCTCCCGTGGCCTGGAAATCATCGCGGCAGCTCATGGCATACCACATCCTACATCAAGTAGGTCACCCTAGCTCTAGTGAAGCCAGAGGCAGAGAACAGGCATTATGTACACATTAAATTCATGAATGCCACAAGAAGAGATACATCCATTTTCGTACTTTGTAAATCTTTCTTGCATTTAGTATAGCAGGGTCACGTGCACCACGTGAACACCAACGCGTCAAGGGGCTCAATTCAACCAATAATAACACGGCTTGGCGCGAACCGCGAGTCTGAGACTCCGTTGTCCTCGACTCTTGATCTGATAATATCCACTGCCCAATCCAACGAAATGCCGTCAATCCCTCAGCGCTGAGCCGGTGGAAGACTTGAAGTTTCCGTGATGGATGACCCCTGTTCCTAAATCGTACGGTCTCTTGGAGTTGCCAAGCAGAGAACCTCACCTGTGGCTAGGTCAACTTCGATCATGTCGACTCCGAATCCCCAAGATCAGGATCGACATCAACCACAACAAATCTTTGTTCGGGCGGATGAAATCGACGCAGGGACTTCAATATTAACACCGAGTAAGGAGTTGCCCCTGAGTGCTTTGACTCCTGCGGACATTGCTCTCTCAGGTACCGCACGTCCCAAACCTCCCGCTCGTCCAGGTCTGAAGAGAGAAGGTTCTGCGGCACCTCCGCCTCCACCACCATCACAGCCGCCCCCGTCTATTCCGCCTCAGTCTGATCCTACGGACTCTCTGAGCCTTCCTCAACTGCGACAGCTTGTCAGCCAGTTCCCTAAAGTAGAGCAGAGAGCCTACGCCTTCCAATATGCCGACGCCCAGGACTTCGCCCATGAAATCGATGAGTGGTTTCACTACACGGAAATCGACCAGGATAGGGGCTATCTACTGAGTTCGCTTGAAGCTTTTGAGCAGAAGTGGAGAATTTACTGTGAATCTAACGATTTTCCTGAAGACAGGACATGGATCGCCGTCACCGACCAGCACAGAAAACAATTCTGCGCGGACCTCGCCGATGATATCTCGGATGATGACTATGCCGGCCGTATCGAAGCTCTCTGTGCCTTCTACTACATTTTGATGGGCGCCTGGAGCACTACAGCCGGCTTAGACACTCAGGCAGAAGGCGATGGTGTTGCTGATGACCCAGTCTCAGAGTCCACTCGGGCCAACACCGTTCAAATCCAATGGATGCACAAAGGGGTTGATCTTTTGACGCAAGAGAAAGCATTACCAAACCTCTTCAATTGCTTGATTCAAGCAGCAGAACCACCTGTTGTGAAAGAAGCTCCTCTCAACAAGGATGCCGCTGAAGCCTCCGAAGGCGACTTTGGAGAAACCGAGTATAGGGAGATTCTTATATGCCTTTCCTGCTTCTACATCCTCGTTGAATCAGTGCGGTCAAGGATGGACACTGAGCGCGGCGTTGCATGCCGACAAGCCTTTCTTTCATTGCAACCCAATTTCTTGGTCTTCCTTGTCAAAGCGATCTCACGACTACGATGGGATGAATCTTACAATATACCCCTCATGCACGCATTGCAGTTGTTCTGGAAATCTATTCTCTTGTTCTTTGGCGACTCAAAAACCCATTTGGCTCAAATCAAAGGCATCTTACACCCAAAGGACGATCCCTTCTCCTCCGAAGCTGCACACCCCATCCTGACAGCATCGCCACTGGATTATCACCTCTTTCGGCAGGAGATCACTTCCAAATATCCTGCGTACAATCCTCCATTACCACTCGTTCCCCTCGAGTTAGAGCACAAGACCATGCTACCTCCATTAACCACCTACAATGCCAGGTTGGATAGTTTTGCTGCTTCAACTTCCACTGGAGGAGCTGCATCCGCTTCTCGAGGCTCTATTCTACACCAACCTGTGCATATTGCTACGCCAGCGCCATCTCCGCCACCGTCCCCTGTTGGGCCTGGTGGCAAGACTGGCAAAAAGCAAAACTACCAGACCAATCAGAACTTTCCCTTCCTCTACCCTCCCCTCGACAGCTCCAGTAATGCCATTGGAGGCAAAGGTTCAACGCAGTTCCAAGATCTTATGGTAGGAAGAAAGTGGGAAGGCAGCGATGTTCCTCGTTCCATTATCGAAGCTGGAGAGCTCTTTGCAAGCCGTATGAGGATGACAAGAGGGATGCGCCAGCTTTGGAAGGAGAGAGACCTCTTCATGAAATATGAACGGGGCTGGAAGGGCAGCCTTGCGGACCTGGCCCAGAGACCTGGCGCCGAGATGACGACAGCAGAAGAGCAAGATGATCTCGACAGCCTAGGAGATGACGTCCTCCGCTCGCGCATGGCTGCTGTCGAAGATTTCTTTCGAAATGCTCTGCCAGATCTGCAGTCACTGATCATCGTCATGATGAAGGTGATGCTCAACAACGTGCAAGACGTTGCTGTTCGAAATGGCGGATTGCAAGACACGTCTCAAGCTTCTGGTCTGAGTCGGAGCAAGTCAAATTCCAACATGGCACAGAATCAATCTTTGCCCATGCCACCTCCACCCCCACTCCCCGCAGACATGACTTTGGAAGATCTGGACAACGTTCGGTGGCGTGAAATAAGCCAGAAAGCAGTCTCTGGAGCGATTTTCCTGCTTCTCAAATGGTTCAAAATATCTCACGTCTTGAAGTTCGAGTATTTAACACAACTTCTCTTGGACTCCAACTATGTCCAACTCACTTTGAAGTTCTTTGCCCATCAGAATCTGGAAGATCTCGTGGCATTCAGGTATGATCGCGATGACCTCAGTGTATGGCAGTATTGTCACGTTCATTCGGACCACCCACCACTGTCACCCACAAGTCCTGATGAGCATTCGGACAGCTCAGAAGCAGAAGATGCCGTTCCTCCTCCAATCTCTCGTCATAGACAGTCCCCGTCCATCCGATCAGAGGCACCGGCTTCACCAGAGCAAACTCAAAGCCAACAAGCCTCCAACAACTCAGAACAGTCTCGTCCATCAGTCGACGAACTGGGTAACCCACTGGGTCCACTCCCGACAACACCAATCAAGGAATTCTCCTTCCGGCAATTTCAGACCTCGATCCATCTGCTCCGAGTTCTTCAAAAGCTTACTCGTGGCAAATCCCATCGAATTTTGTTTCTTGTCACATTCAAATCGAGTCAAATTCTGCGACGCATACTTCGTGTTCCCGATCCGACACTACGGTTGTATGTTTTGAAACTCTTCAAATCACAGGTCCCCTACTGTGGTCGAAAGTGGCGGCAAAGCAATATGAGAGTCATCACTGCAATTTACCTGCACTGCCGACCGGAACTGCGAGACGAGTGGCTGGCGGGCATGCATGATGCCAACGTTGAAGGCGAATTAGACGAAGCCGTACCACTTGAATGGGCTTTACGAGGCCTGACTTTCTGGTGGCAGAAACGCATGTACCCGGGTATTATGAGGCGAACTGCTGCGAAATCGACAAAGGGGCAGCCTCCTGGTCTGGGAGATGATACAGAGACTCGTGATGATGTGGACCATGACGATATCGAATCTAGTGAGGATCATGGCGGTGCATCAACAGCAGAAGATGAAGGTGGTCAAGAGATCGATCCCGAAGAGCGGGACTTTTTCCAGCGAGAACTTGACGCCCTTGGCTGGGGACTGGCGAATCTGCACCTTGCCACGGATGCAGATGGATTTACCTTTGGTGAAGATGCAGCGACCCATGCTGCTGCGAATTCCGCACCAACAAACAACTTCCATTATTCGCAGCAGCAGCAGCAGCAACAACACCAGCTTCCGTCCAATGGAATAAGCTCAAACTCGGGTACCAATGCCAGTAATCACGCCTACGGGATTAATGGCGCTGTGAACACGACCACAGCCAATGCTGGTGGCAACAGTAGTGGACCGCAGACTGCCTTACCATTGCCTGCACCCACACCGCAATGGGTAGTTGCTGACGCAGCGAACATTGAAGCATGGCAGAATGGCTAGGGGCCATTATTGGCGCGTTACTCTACAGCAAGCCGTGATGAAGAGGGAGGGGATGGGGATGTTACACCTACCACGCGTACAAGGTTCATGCCCGGACTGTCAGACCAACTCACTTATGACGATGCCGGCGATAGCATTAGCACTAGCACGACGGAGGAAAACCCGGTCAATTTCGACGATCTTAATCTCCCACCACATTTCTACGGTGGTGCCACGCAGTCAGCACTCGCCTCCTCCGAGAGGTCCCAACTGCCGTCATCTCGTCTTCCATCATGGTTCCATGAGCGCCCTGGACAGTCCGTGAATGAACACGCTATATTTCACAGGCGCAGAGCCGATCGAACAGCCGCGAACAACATTCGGCGTTCTCAACCTGAGTTGCGAGGATATGATGATGATTTCATTCTATCGTTGCCAACCGTCCCGAACAACCCAGATGTTGAGCACGATCGAGATCGAGATCGAGATCGAGAACAACAGGCGGATAAAAGTCCAGACCGAACTATGGCGGTCTCTACAGCGTCATCACCTGTGGCATTGTCCTCAGCTCCATCGTCACCGTCGCTGTTTCCAGCGCGTCCGCTACCATCGGACGAATTCCCCTCGTCGCGTGACCCCCGATTCTGGGAGGTTCTGAGACAAAGTTTCTCTTGGAGAAATGATGTGGGTGAAATTGAGAGTGGGGCTAGTATGGGAACCGCAACTGAGACTGGACTGGAGCGTGAGGGACACTGGCTTGACGACAGTTCAAATGATTCTGGCGAAGTCTTGCGACCGGATACATATCGCCCATACAACCAGGCTTGGGAAGGCGTTGCAGAACGGGAAGATGACAATCGAGACAGTGAACAAAACGACTTTAATGCCCGAGACTACCAAAACTCAGATCACGAGTCGGACCGGGAACGAGATAATGTGAACGCTCCGCTTTCTAATCTCTGTGGTCAGCGCAATACTCATCTAGATCGCGAGGAGAGGCGCGTGCTGGAAGAATTCGATCTTGCCATCAGATCTGATCAGAGAAGCAGAATTGGGGGCGCGTACACTGGCAGAAGGCATCGGGAGTGGAGCGGAAGATAGCTGGGTAGATCAGATCAAGTGCTCGTGAGCTCGTGAGTAGGCAGTGAAGTCTCAACAGATCCAATTCATAATGTATTCCACTTTGTTTGGCTACATGGTCAACCATATAGTATAGTAGCAGGTAGTATGAATTACGACAGGTGTTGACAGTAAGAGCAGAGTCCGAAAGCCATGCAGAAGACTTCACATAAGTCGATTCTTTTGTTTCTGCATGTCTGATCGAGGGATCGAGCTGAGAAGAGACGGGGATTAGGTGAAGTAATGGTAGTGATCTCAGATAGAAGCGGAGTTTGGTCAAGTTCTGTTCTGCGCATCCAATGGTTGGATGAAGGCATGGAATTTGATGACTTTGGGTCTGCGAGACAACAGTATATTTGTGGGATTTGGTAGATCGACGATGCAAGTCGAAAGATCAGGCGCCATCACCCCAAATACCAACCACGCCCATTGCAAATCCAATTCCTGCGATCCAACTCCGGACTTTCTGGACCTTTCGCTCTCGGGACATTTCTGACTCGACCTGTTCACCATTGATCTGTTCCTCGCTCTGACTGAGTGGATCGACTTCAATATAGCCACTGTCAGAGCTGGTGGCGGGACTAGCGCCTCTTCGAGCGGCGGTGGAAGATCCCCAGCGACCTGCTCGACGGCTCACTGTTGGAAATCGAGAAAGGCCATTGTAATAGTATTCAACACCTTGGCCTCCAATGAAGCTGACCAAGGCGGTCCACAAAAGGTATGGGTGCTTCCCTCGTGGAGAAGCAAGAGTGTAGGCGGTGATGAGGGATAGTGACGAGATGGATGCAAGGGTGAGTATTTGTCGGGTTGATGTTGTTTGGATAGTGGAGAGGGTCCGGGAGGCGATCGAAGCAGAGGGGAGGAGAGCGAGGGAGGGGAGAGTGATGGTAGTGAGTGTGTATGAAGTGCCCTGGAGGTATCGATTAGACAAGATGGGAATACTGTGGGAATTCAAAATATACGTACGGTCAAGAGACCCAAGGATATGGTGCCGACAAACTTGGTGATGCTTATAGGACAGGGCATTTTCTTGTGCTCGGTGGCGACAGATATAAGTATACAGAGAGGTGACAGCTGAACCTGGAAGAGTAGGAAGGGCCGGTGAGGGCGAAAGCTGCGGACAAGGGTGGAAGAGGGAGGTGTGAAGCGAAACAGGTGATGGCGATGAGGTTGGAAAGAAAGGTTGAAGTTGAAAGATGGAGCCTTGAGGTCTAGATGACGCTACGGAGTGGAGGGCAGGATGAGTTATGGAGCGATCAAAAGATGGCGTGGACGGTCAATGGGATAAGGTGAGGTGAAGAGGGGAGGGGAGCAAGGGAGTCGATGAGATGAGAGCTTGATTGGTGCCTGCCATTACATAAGCTTTGATGCGAGTGGACGATGAAAGGCAGGCACGATTATTGACTGCACGGCAAGGTGATACGTTGTTCCGATTGAGTTCAGCGAAAGGATGGAAGGTGCTGACGAAGTGACTGCCTGCAACCACCAATCTGCTCTTGCACATTAGCATCTCATCCTGTGACAGTGCTTTCCCTTGTTACTGGGGGCACCGTGGCCCTTATGGCATACTTAAAAAGATATTAGGAACCTAGTACCTAGTACCTAGGTACCTAGGTAGTGTTGTTCTCAACAAGCACCTAAAATCGGTGTATCGGTGTATCGGCTATCTAATTATACTATAGCAGCGACTGCTTGAATCATGATGAGCTTTGGTGTGTCGGCTTAACCAGGATAGTAATCAAAGACTTAATATGGGATAACCTGGATTTATTTTGGCATGTGTTTGAACAGCCTCGATTCGACACTGCGTATCGGCTATTTGGGGATGACAAGGTCCCGGTCTTGACTTGGTTGCGGCTTTACGAGTCACGACCACCCTCCCCAGCTACCGAGGTATCTTCCCCAGATCCATCTCCTCCATGCTTACGGCCGGATTGCTGGCAGTCTGATGGGCGACCCGTTTAACATATTATGATATACTCGTACTCCTGACTTGTTCACAATAACTCACAGTGCTACTCAACACAGATCGGTCGTTCCTACCCTTTGGTCTTTTCTCATTTTCCAGTGCCTTCATCAGAATACCCCTCGGCACCTTCTCCTCACTTCCCAACTCATAGTCGCTCCTTCCTCGACCCTTGTTCCCCCATCATATTTTCTCAACCACAACCATGCCTCTTCCCAAGCATGAATATGTCTCTGAGGTCTGGAAGGACAGCATCTTCAAGGGCAAAGTCGTCTACTGTACCGGCGGTAACGGATCCATCTGCTCCGCCCAGGTGCGCGCTCTGGTCCACTTAGGTGCTGATGCTTGTATTGTTGGCCGCAACGTGGAAAAGACAGAACGAGTGGCCAAAGACATTGCAACTGCGCGTCCTGGTAGCAAGGTCCTTGGAATCGGTGGCATCGATGTTCGAGATGTTGAGGCTCTCCGCAAGAGTGTCGACCGGACAGTCAAGGAACTTGGTGGTATTGATTTCTTGATGTAAGCCTACTCGACTGATATTCCAGCTGCTCTGATTCTCGACTGACAATGACTTCCCAGCGCCGGTGCCGCAGGCAACTTCCTTGTGCCCATGTCCCAACTCTCGGAAAATGCCTTCAAGACTGTCATTGATATCGACATCATTGGCAGCTATAACATCACCAAACTCGTCCTTCCCCACCTGGTGGCCTCTGCGAAGAAATACAATTCCACATCCACACTCCCACACACTCCCACCTCTGGGCCTGGCGGTCGCATCATCTACGTGTCAGCCACCATCCACTACACAGGGCTACCGCTGCAAACCCATGTCAGTGTTGCCAAAGCCGGCATTGACGCCCTGTCCGCCAACGTCGCTATTGAATATGGTCCCCTGGGCATAACCTCCAATATCATAGCCCCTGGACCCATTGGAAACACCGAAGGAATGGACCGACTGGCCAAAAAGGTTGCACCTGGCGAAACACCTGGACGGCAGATCCCGGTGGGCAGATGGGGAAAGGTCAAGGAAATTGCCGATGCTACCGTTTACCTATTTAGTGATGCTGCCAACTATGTCTCAGCCGATAATCTGGTCGTAGACGGCGGTGCCTGGAGAATCGGAGCCGTCAGCCCTGGAGGCGACTTCAAGTACCCCGATTTCATCCTGAGTGGTGCCGAGGTCACTGGAGTAGCCGGTGGCAAGAAGTCGAAGACTCCGGCCAAGCTATAGGTGCCTTGTAAGAGATCATGGGCGGAGAAGGGCTTGCCACATCGCGATGGCACTTTTAGGAAAGTTATCTGAGGCATGAATCTACAATGCGAATCTGCAGATTTCCGGGTACAAGATTTCCATGTGGATAAAACGATGAGAAAAAGGGTTTATAGGTCGAAAGCTGAATCGGTCTTCGTTATGGCTACCTAGCTAGGTATGCAAGGCGTATCATGGTCCCAACGAAGACTTTATGTCTAGCTTGCCACCAGGCAGATATTATTTTCATGTAGTGCTTTTAGAGGCGTCTTATCATTGCACGTGAGTCAGTCGCGATGTGAATATGCTAGGCTATGTTCAATGCCCCAAATATAAAACGACCCAACACCATTGCTGCATGCCACTCTTCACCGATGGCGATCCTCCACATCGACAGCCGCCAGGCTCATAGGAATACTCCTCGGCACGGGCGCCAGAATTGTAAACGGCTCCTCCTGTGGCCTCTGCGGCGTAGTGCGGAGGCCATGACCGAGAATACCATACGGACTTGCCGCATTCGATGACGATACCGAACCGGGCGTCATGTCGATATCGGTGCTCTCTTGGATACTTGGACTGTAGTCATGAAACATCAACCTGGTGTCGAGAGGCTTGTGTTTCGTCGACCCAGGTACGTTGTGGCCAAGGCTGGCAGGGTACGGAGTATTGAAATCACCAGTGTCGTGGCCATTGACATTCCCTGTCCCAGGTCCATATCCACTCTCGCCAGCACTGAATTGCGATTGTACATGTCCCAGAGCGCCTGCTGGTGGTGTCGGAGTTGGAACGTGATCTAGTGCTCCAGCATAGCCTTGTTTGATATGCATTTGCATATTCATCTGTGGCGCAGGGTTGAGGGGAGCGGTCATGCTGGGTAGATTCTCCGATACTTTGGCCAGTAACAGTGGAAGATATCGCGATGCTCCGCCGCGGAGTTGAGAGATTAGGTTCACGAGTCGATTTAAGTTTTCTGAAGGTGTTTCGCGAGCAGCAGGAATGGAGGAGGTAGGGGTAGTTGATGATGGTGTGGCTGTGTGACTGCTGAGGTTGATTCTGGAAGTGGAAGATGAAGGTAAACTGGTAGTTGATGGTTCAATAGGCACGCATGCAATAACATCCGTCAATGTGCATGCAATGTCAAAGAGTTTCTCGATCAAACCGACGCCATGGACTTCCATGGAGAGAAGGGAAATGTTGGAAATGTCATTGAGGAGATCTCGAGCTACCTCGATGGGGAATTTGAAAGTCATGGATGTGTCGCGAGAATTGGACGAGAGGTAGCCATTTGTTATGGAGAGTTGCCAGACCATCACCCTCAACCAGTGTTGGGTGACTTTGACGTCAGCAAACTGGCTTTCGGTGGTTTTCAGTTCTGGGGGAATTGCATCGATGAGGCGTTGTTGCAGGCGCGCAAGCCATGCGGAGGAGCATTGGCTCCTATCCTTGTTCCACAACGACATGAACTTGTCGTCGATGCAGCGGAATAAATTGACCAGATAGATAGTCCCCGAGATCACATCCTCTTCGAACGGTTCTCGGGCAACCGGGAGATCGATCGTGGGATGGAGACTGAGAGGTCGGTGTCTTTCCATGGCGTAAGCCCGTTCAGTGACCAACAGAAGCCAGTACGTTCGACGGCGGAAATTGCTCTCTGTCATATCCACATTGAGATAGGTGGATTCTTCGTGTAGTGACATGAGTTGTGCCAAGGTTGCGGCTTCGCGAAGGTGAAACCAGCAAACATTTTGCTTCTCGAGGGTGAAGTAGCAACAAAAGAGAAAGAATGATATCTGTACCGAGCTTAGAGTCGGGTTTTCCACGTAATTGATGGTTCTGCGGACGCGCGTGACGTCGTCTAGCACCATATTGGCGTATCCATAACGGTTCCGCGGAGGTTCGCCTTGATGATGGCTCCCAGGAGCAACCGCTAGATTCATGCCAGGTTGAACCATGACAAAGGCGCACAGGGACCCGATAAGACAATAAAACTCGGGATTCACAGCAAGCTGTGCATGGAGAGTCTCTGAGAGAACGTGTCGATCGAGGATCCATGAGGTTGTCGACATGTAGGTAAATAAAAATTCAAGGCAATGGTCGATGGTCTGCTGAGACAACAACGCGTTGTTGCGTGAGACTGGGGGTGACATTGGCGACTTGTTGAAATCGAACTCGGACGAGTCGTGTTGAGTAGTGGGCGTCGACCGGGGCGAGGTGGGCTTTTGTTGTGTGTCGCGAATCTCGGATATCACCTTTGCGCGAGATCCTTTGGGCCCTTTCTTCTGGGGGATGGCAAGATATGTACACTGTAGAGTTGCTTGACTGCAATTGGTACACGGCAAACCCCCCGAACAGCGGACCTTTCTTCGATGGCAAGCATCACAGGCCTTCTTGACCGGCGGGGTGGCCATTTTGAGTAATGGTTGGACAGCGAGAGTGTCTGTGTATGTCCAGGACTTCGCGTCGCGTGAGCGCTCAAGTGAAAAATGTCATTAAAGCTGTCAGAGCAGCGCAACAATAGAGTCGCATAACCCCTGTAGTCAAAGTATGCTCTCGTTGCTGTAAAACAAGGCAATTTTCTCCTGTGGCATTGATACCGGACCAAGAATCACAGGTCAACCTTTGAGCTAGAGGAGACATCTTGAGGCTCGGCATCAATGGCCTTCTGGAGATGAACTTTGGTGGCGGAAACTCAGCCAGGAAATGCGGCTACCCCGCGAGACTGGATCTGGCATAGCATCGAAGTTTGACCAGCAGCCAGCCTCGGAAGTCAAGACTCAAGGCGATAAAAGGATGTATCGAGCACGGTCCTGGTTGCATGTTGGTTTTCCTTGGAAAATCTCGTCAGGAAGAGAAGAACAAATGTTTGATATTTTCTCGATCGAGACCTGTGGTCAGGTCGTTCTCATTTCTGCCTAATTCGATAGCGTGCATCACTAACGCCCACTAAGAAACTCCCACGGCTCCTTACTCGAATGGTTGTTCTCATTTATCACTCGTAGTTGCTCAGTAAGGCTAGTCTCCATTACGTGTAAGAGTGCGTAACTAAGTAATTTGATATCATGTAGTGGTGCAGGTGCATGTATTATGTGCCTGGCGCCTGCCTGATTTCCAGATCATGAATGTGCCTGTCTAACTAATCTGGTTGTTTGTTAAAACGGCAAGTGCGACCGCAATCTCAACTACTTGGTCATTGGAAGGCACCAACCCAGCTGATTGCTTTTGCAAGTTGTCGTATAATGACCTGGTTATCTACTGACCTTGAGCGAGATATGCATGGTGACAGACGTCGTATGTAACGCCACATCGACGCCAAATTCCTTCATCACATCCTGTCGCTTTCATTTCCCAGCCATGCTGGAAATCATGTCTCTCTGGGCCTGTCTCTCGCGATTGACACCGGTCAATGGTGCCACGCTTCGCAGATCGCCCACAACATCCTTGGCCTTGCCGAAGTACACCTCTTGTAACATGTTTCTCATTTTACCCTCCATGTCTTCCACCAAGCGGCCAGTGTTGACGACATGACCGCCATCCTTGCCCTGTGATCCAATGTTTTCCACCACCAGATCAGCCTCAACTTGTCTAGTCATGCTCCCTGCCAGATTTAAAGATCCCACCGAATCGTTCTGTCTGCCGAGATGCAGGATGACAGTACTTGTCAGCTTGTAATGACATGTGCGTCCAGTTCCTCTCCGCTCGTCAACTTCGAAGACATGGATACTATCCCAGCCAGCTTCTTTGTTGACGCTCTTCTTGAGCAAGACAACGCCAGCGAAGCCATCGTCCAGATCCCATAAGTAGACACTGCCAGTGCCACCCTCATAGTATAATTGTCTGTACACTTCAAATGCACCATTGGCTTCGATTTCCATATTTCTCACTCGATCGCTCTGATACGTGGCATCATCTAGAGGAGGGTCAAATTCATTGCTAAAGGGGCTGCGGTATGAGTCGCCATCTCGGTTGTAGTCGCATAGCAAGTAATCTCGTCCAGTCTTTTTACATCGAGCCGAAGTCAGAGGTTGGTCGACTGATGATAGCAAGTCCTCTTCTAGATCTGGGACAAGTGATGTGATGGCTTTGAGGTTGTCGGCAACGGAGAGGGGGGATAATCGCCGGAGGAGGTCTCTACAAGAAGAGGAAGGTCAGGTCAGCGGATCCAGGTTAACAGACCAAGGGTCAGGGTGAATTGGTCTCTGGCAGGACGAGACCTACAATGCTGCGTCAAACTGTGCATCGTCCGCCATGATGCTCCCGTGTCGACGTAAAAAAAACCTCGCTTGCAGTACTCAAAAAGCAAAAGGAGTTGGTTCAACGATATGGGATGATTTGTCGGGTACCAACGTAGTGACTGGCATGGTGAAATGGCAGGATGACGATTGTTGTCAACGTTGATCATCAGGCTCCCCCGGCGAGGCTGCGGAACAATGCCAAGCCAGACGAGGGGTAACGTCCCTTCCCCCATTGTTGTCAATTGTTAGGAATGGACATGCCTGTCTGACCTCTGCCTCCCACGTGTCTTCGCGAGGTTGTGTTTGAATATTATTCATAGACATCAAGTATACAAGACCTGGAGATACGACCTCAAACCACTATTACATTACAGGACATGGTATCGAGCGTCTTGCACTTCCAGTTAAGCCTGTAGAATCATGCCAACCACGCGGGTTCATCGTCCCACCCATTGCATGGACATGTGTTCAATTGTGATCCTGGGGATCCCTCCTTCCAACCCCAGAAGGGCCACAAGTGGTCACGAGTAATACGAGGTACTTGAGTTCCACAGTAGTGGAACAGTATAGTTTGATTGAATGTGATATGACCACCACCATTTAATATTTCCTTGCCAGTCTGGTCTGGCCTCTTTGTGTTTCGACTCCAAAACTGCAGACGATGATCTATCACATCGGTGGATTCGTTTGAGCAATAAAGAATGGTTCATCTGTTCCACAAATTCAATTGGAATCAGCCCTCAAACTGGAATTTCTGGTTCTGCTCTACCAGCACTTACTGGCTGTCACTCGATACGGACCAACACATTCGTCCTACCTCTTCGTCCCTCAGATTTCCCTCGGAATTGTTCGCCATTCCTAGGTGAGACAAAATCATGTAGAGCGCCGTGAATCCCACTTTATGCCTTGTTTTGTCACTAAATGTAAAAGGACTGTGGATAGGTTCATGGTAACGGTGACGGAGACGGTGACGGATAAGGTAAGTGGTTGTGTTGGATATTGTGCTAGAATTGCCCCTCGTCCTCCTTTCTGAGGAAACCAGACACATGTTATTCCATTCTGCATCTGTAAATTCCGTGGACGAAGACTACTGGACGTCCATGACGTTAGAGGCTCGCAGCTGCCTCAACAACAAGGGGAATCACGTGATGATATATGTTCAAAGAGGTGTATTGCATTTTATATAACACATTTCTATATCGGGCGTTGTTGAATCACAATTTTGCTTTTCCACCAGTGCGTTCTTCCTCTGCCAGTGCCTCGGCATAGAGTTGATCCAAGATGTCACGGTATCTTTTAGCCGCCACAGGTCTCTTCAACTTGAGGGTCGGGGTCAGGAGGTCGTTGTCAATAGTGAAAGGGTCCAACTCCAACTTGATGTTCCTGACACGTTCATAGCCAGCAAACTTCTTTTTGCGGCCGGCCTTGTCCAAGTCCTTGAGGACGGCAGCTTTGATCTTGGGGTCATCCGCAGCTTGTTTAATGGCCGAGAGATCCGTAGGTGAGATTTCACGGCCCAGAATCCGAGATGCAAAGACGGCAAAGGTGTCGGGCTGAACGCCAAAGATGGCAACTAGGAATGTCTGGACACTGTCACCGTGGACAAACGCCTGGGCCAGGTAGCTGAGCGAGGAGAGATAAACCCCCTCGATACGCTCTGGAGAGAGATACTCTCCCTGGGCGAGTTTCAGTACATTCTTTCGTCGATCAATGATGGTGAATCGGCCAAGTTCGTCCACGCTACAGATATCACCCGTCTTGAACCAACCGTCTTCCGTGAATGCCATGGCGGTTTCTTCTTCGTTCTTATAATAGCCCTTGAAGGTGGCATTTCCCCGCAGCAGCAATTCACCTCGTGGGTATGGTTTGTCATCGATAGTGTAGTCCATGTCAGGAACACTGAGCAGACAAGCCTCCTGGGAAGCCACTACTCCGCCACAATTCCCGAGGGTAAAATCGTTAGCTGGCTGGGCAAGTGCAACTGCGTACGATTCAGTGAGACCATAGCCTTGAAGGATGCGAGTCGAAAAGGCGATTCGGAGGAAGGCCTGCAACGAGGGATCGAGCGGAGCGGCGCCTGACACCATAGTCCTAGCACGTTCCAGGCCCAGTGCCGCAGAGACCTTGCGACCCCAGACACGGTCCCACAAGGCATGGAACTGCGTTGGATTGGGGTTGTTAGGGTTGGCGTTTGCCAGCTTGGTCTTGACGACATGCCGACTCAGCGCGCCTTTGGCACCTGGCTGCTCGATGGTTTGTGCTTTGATGGCACCTCCAAAGCGATTCCAGAGTCGAGGGACGGATGCAAAAACAGTGGGGCGGATGAGTTTCAGATCATCGACCAGTTCGAGAGGATTGCCGTGGAAGTATCCGATACGTGCACCGGCCCACAAAGCACTGTGCTCTAGGAGCCTCCCGTAGATGTGCGCTAGAGGGAGGTAGCTGATGGCGGCGCCCTTGTTGTCCGTTCGAGAGATGGCCAGGGATGCCGAGGTGGCAGCAACGGCATTAGCATGGGTCAGAAGGACACCCTTGGGAGCACCAGTTGTTCCCGAGGTGTAATTGATGGTGACGGGGTCTTCAGGACGAGGAGGATTGCAAGGTCTGCCAGACGCCGCGCCCAACTTCTCGACAGCATCAAGAGAATAGATGGACAGGCCCAGGTCTTTGGCAATTCCGTCCAAGAGAGCTTGTTTGGAATTTTCAGGTTTTTCATTGATAGTCGGCTCGAGAGGATCGATGACGACGATCATCTTGAGGTTAGGCAGGCGCGGCTTCAGACTGAGAAGAGTGGGGACATGATTGATAGAGGTGACAACGGAGGCGAGTTGGGCGTGAGAGATGATGTACTCTGAGGTGTCGGGGCCGAGTGTATCGTACAAGGAAACGGTGTATAGAGACTGGGACATGCAAGCCAGGTCGGTCAACTGCCATTCGGGTCGGTTCTGACACCATAAGCCAACGCCATATCCTGAACCAGTGATGCCCTGGCGGGTGTGGATTTCAACAAGGCCTGCACCAAAATCTGCTCTTCTCTTTTGAACGGTTTCATAGTCGAGCCACTCGTAGCTGCCATAAGCGCGCTTGGCCGAGTCGTACGGCCGGTAGCCTAGACAAGGAGAATGGGGGTATCTTTGAGCCGAGGACTCGAAAATGTCATGGGCAGTCTGAACAGCTGGGTCGAGGGTTTGTAAGAGGCCATCCTTGTTCTTGTGGTGACGGTAAATGGGTGATCGACCTGGTTGTTCGGAGCCTGGGATGGCAATGGAGTAGGGTTTGCCAGCAGGAGGAGGCTCGTAGTACTCATCCGCCTTTTGCTGGAAGGCAGGTTTAGAAGAGAGAAGAGAGGGCATGGTGGTGATGAGGATGGTGATGAGGATGGTGGGAGGATGGTGGGAGGATGGAAGTATGATGTAGCAACACGGTAGCGAGATGGATTGAAGGAATGCGGGGAGGAGGGGATCAAGTCAAAATCCTGAGGATGAAGGAAGGATCTCAATGAATCTGGGGAAGGAGCGTGGGTGGACGGAGATAATGGGGGATGGAGAAGTGGCAGGAGCAGAAGTAGAAGGAGCGACGGAAGAGACACATGTTGATGGTCTTGGAAATTCTTTTACGCAGTGCGCGTGACGATGATGGCAGCGTAGGCAGTCGTGGCAGTCAACATTATGGCACGTCCACACATGTCTGACGTTGTCTCAGCACGTTTATGCCTCGGTGTTTTGCATTTCTGGAGTGTTTGTGCCCAGCTTCTGACCGTGAGATCTCACATGATTGGCTTTGCTTAGCCATGCTCTGGGCTTAGACTATGGGGATGGAGCATTGGCGACTTGGGCTTAGGGCCGGGCGAACCATCGCGCCACGGGAAGGTGAACTATTTGGACTGCCTTACCGTGGATGTCTCTTCTACTGCACAAATAAGCTGGGTGGAATTTTATTCACTTCCCTAGCGTTGTAAGTATGTAGAGTACGAGTAGAAGCTGCGTGATTGCAAGACATGTTCAGAACTGTTGCGTACGTAGAGCATTGATTGATCGACCACCATGGAATCTACGCAGTACGTCGACCTCGCTCAGCTCCGATTCACCAGTTGTTTCATACCTCCACTTATTCCCACTGCATGTGAAATTCTGCGCTCAAGCCTAGCTTGGAAAGAGCTCCGAACAGTCAGATTATAGGCTCCTTAGGCCATTCTTGGCCTCTCGGGACAAGATATTTACCAGTGATCTGTCTGCCTAAGTAGTGCCTCTACCAAACACGCACCAGGCTCGCTTTTGCGGTTGGACTTGCTTTGCAACGTACCATGCTGCCGGCTTTTACGTTGACCTCTGCAATCGTTATGAGTGGATGTGTTTCAGGGGAGTTAACAGCTTGCTTAGCTGCGCTGCCATCATACTCCGCGAGTTGAGTTCGTTAGGAGATCATAAAGGACTTTAACGAGTCTCCTCTTCGCACTGCTATCACATACTCGTAATCTTCTCGGATTTGCAAGGATTATCCCTACCAAGTTTGCGCGGGACTTCTTACTCTATACGATCTGCCGCGAATGAACTAAATAAGCTTCTATATTAGCGATGTACGTCGCCGACATGACCGACAAGAGGGAACAGTCAAAGTGGAGATGGTACTGAGTCGTAAGACTAGGTAAAGATTTGTATGTAAAGACGCAAGAGGAGCAACGAGAGAGATGAGAGGCGGAAGATGAGATACGTGGCTGGCGACTGCCGGGCCCCCGCAGCAATGTACGGTATAATTCGAATTGAAGGAGGCTTAAGCAGACGACTTATTAGGGGTTAGCTGGAAGAATTACCGAACCTTTACACTGTGACTGATTTCCTCTTCGAGCTTTTCTGGCTTCTCGAGTTCATTGCCTCGGGCAGCATTTGCCAATAAATGTGGGTCGCATCCGATTGAATGCCTGTGAAGATGAACACTGGTTCCTCTCTCGACTCCGTGGGCGGATCAATATTGAGGACGATTTAATGTCGATATGAAGCGACTTTCACAGGCTCATCACCTGATAGCGCATACATGTGAATTATATAGTACGGAGAATATATTCAGGATGCTACTAGGGACTCAAAGGGTCAACTCTAGGTCACGTGATATGACTTTTCCATGTGGGTCGAGGGTACTCTATATATCACATTACAGGTCGGAAAGCAGAGGTTCCTCCGCCACCAGAAGAACCAGACGACCCAATATGGTTCCAAGCACTGGTGATTGGTCTGTATATTTGTGCGACTTAACCTTACGGATACGTCCATCTTCCTAAAAACGCACTGCTTAAGCATAAGCTCCTATGTTCCGGGTTCCTGCTTCCGGAACCAGCGCCAATAAAAGGGCTGTCAACAGGCCCTGGTAAACCGAAACCTTGATTGTTATCAATTGTCGCTCCAAAAAGACCACCAAGGGTACTCTCCACCCTATGTGCAATGAATTGGTTTGAAGAATCAAAGGTCGAAGCCAGTTCGACACCCATTCATCGGCTTCCGTCATACCCCCACTCTCTGACGGCACTAAGTGCTTCGCAAACAGGCCACAGTGTTTGTGTCGGGGTTAGAGATGGGGCATAAACCTTGAACTCGACCAGCTTGCTTGATTTGTAAAAATTTCAAGATACGGGTTGAGGTACTGCGCGGTCCAAGCCAGAGCGTTTGGTGAGTGTTCTGAGAATGATTTATAGCCTGCTAGCCTGACTTCACAACTGCAATCTGCGAATTCAAATCCTTGGGAGGAAGGAGAAATGCTCCAAATGTCCCCAGCCCCATGTATCGTACAGATGAGTCTCATTTTCGTCCCCCTATTGCAGGACTTTCTCCGTTTTACAATTTTTGTCCCGGCCGTGCCTGCAAGTCGGGCAACGCGGTGTAAGGATGGGGATGTCCGTTCGGCCACACAAACACTATATAAGCCTTCATATCAGCGACGGGAAGGCATAAGATGATCATCTCGGGGTTGAAGAGAAGAACTCACACAGCTCCATATGAAAACAGGCTTCTTCTTGGACTTTGTCGGTGGACGGGCATTGGCTGCAATTTCAGGAAGGGTGGTGAAGGGGGTATGAGGAGGCATAGATCAATTGTAAATTTTGAGTCTGTATCCATGGACAACGATTCAGCTACGATGAACGGACAACCCCTAATCGGAGCAGCTCCAGTTGACCATCTTTAAGTAAAACATATCTGAAGTAGCGGTGTGGTCTATCCAAACCGAGGTTACAAGGATTTCCGTTCAACAATAGATACGGGCGTATGTAACATAGATGTAATGATTTCCAAACTGTGTGCTTCTGAGATACTGTGTCGGCAGTGTCAAGGAAGCTGATCCAGTGGGGGAAATTGGCATCACGTGACTAAGGAGTCCTTCGGGTGAAGACTTGGATTGTCATCGGATGTACTACTGCAGGATGCCAAGTATGGTTTAGGGCGTAATCTACGGAGTATGTAAATGACTGTACCTATGAAGGTCGAGAGAGCGCGGGAGAGTGTCGAATCTCGCTGGAATTCAGGCGATTTCCTGGTGGGAGGCGCATGAATGGATACGGGCATCTGCATGTAGCTGCCAGCAAAAGATGGCCAGCGCAAGCCCCAAAATGATCACGGGAAGCGAACAAAATTTAAAAATTGGCCGTGCACCAGCCGAATGTGCAGTTGTGAAACTTCAGCATCATTAAGAATGCAACAGCTGTTTATATATCTCTCAGTGTCAGAGGCAAAGGAGTAACTCGGATGGGACAGAGTGTGACATTGTCACACATGGCCAACCCCACCAAATATCTATCTGTTGTAGCACCATTCTGACTATCTTCACCAAAATCCCCCACTCAACCATGCCAAACTGTTGATTCAATGCGCTCAACAATGCTACAACGTCCCCTGGCATGTCGCTTCAATGCACTCACTCACGCCAGCACCTTCCCTGGCATGTTCCTTTGATTCTCTCTCTCCACGACCAATCGTAATGCAACCACCACCCCCACACGGTAGTCAAAACCCTCACCGCCTCCATCAAAATAGGCATAAAAACGAGACAAATATGAGCACGCATGCCGCATTCAAAGGTTTGTCAGAGCACATATGCAGTATGTCTAGCGGGAGCTGGAGGCGTGCCAACGCTCTTATCGATCTGGCTTGAGGATGCTCTGGCAAACGGGGTGGGGGCGCCGCACCGACATCGACACGATTCTGTGGCCAAGAGAATCAACGCTTGAAGATTTAGGGATAGGTAGAGTTCATTGAAACCAGAGTCAACACGAGCTCCTTCTAGTTTAACGCTTACGTTCTCGGGTAGAACCTGAGCTTCGATCATTGCCCGTGCTCTTCCCAGTGCCGGCGAGATATCCTGCAATATCAAATTCGGCAGGATTGGAGCCTCCACCTTGCATAGCTCTCGCAACGCTTCCCATGGAAGTCTTCTTCTGCATTTCCTCATACTCGGCCTTCATCTCTGGATCCATATTCTCCATGAGCTTGGGCATGCCAAAGGTGAAAAGTAGAGCAACGCCACCCATCAGAATCATTGGGTTCTTGAGTAGACTCATTGGATTGAAGCCCTGTCGTTGCTCATAAAAGTTTTTGGAAGTCAAGGCCTTGATAGACAAGGCCAGATCGGTTGTGGGAGCGGCGACAAGAGCGACTCCTTTGTCCTCCCATCTTGTCCCACGATATGTCTCCCAAGCTCCAATGATAACAGTGCCCGTGGAATCAGCAGAAGGAGCAATGTCTATGCGATAGGGAGCAAAGACAAAATCTCGAGTATAGACATCAAGTAGGAGGGAGCCAACGGTGGTAACATTGTCGAACTGGAAGTAGTTGCCGCGTCGAAGTGAAGCTTTGAGAGGAGGACCCGAACCAGACGTTAACGTTGCGTGGGTCGAAGAAGGAAGCGTATAGGGATTGGGGATGAGGTTGGACGAAGGGATTTGAACACGGATAGACGCCGTGTGAGCAAGAATGAAGCCCTGGCAGAGGGTGAGGAGGAAGACCAGAAGCCTGGCCATGGAGGTACGGATGGGAAGAGAGGAGAGGCTAAGAAGAAAGGCTCGACTTTGATACTTGGCTGGAATTCGAGTCGATTGAAATGTTGATAGCCGCGGATGTTTCCCTTCTATGGTGTCAGGCTGGTGGGATGTCGCAGGCGATGAACATAGAGTTCTGGGAGTCCGTGATAGCCAATCCCTTTTGAGGAAAATGCTTGCCGCTTTACATCACTGTTTGAACCAAATTTAAAGCGGCGACATAATGACCCCTTTTATGCAAGAAGGCGATCTCCATCGCAGCAGATTTATGCCAGCGACTGAAGCCACGCAGATTTGACTAAACACTCAAATCGATTCAACGTCAAACTGTCCAAATTGCTCATGCTATAGGATAAATGAGTACCGAGAAAAAGCTCCCATACATAAATCGTAAAAATGGATGCAAAGCCCCTTCACATCACAGAAATAAAACAGGACAGGCATGCCGTTATCATTCATTCCTACACATCTTCACCCCCATCGGTCCATGGGAATCTCTGCAATTTCTTTGCCCATGCCTAGTGTGCTCCTTGGATTTCGAGCTCGTGTGTAGTCGAATGGTCTGTCCCAGCACTGTCATCATCGTTGGACTCATCCGTGCTGCCATCAATCGACTTCTCATTCACCCCAGCTGCTGTCAATATTGAAGTGAGTTCTTCCAGAAATTTCTCATCACCAATACCAAGTCCAGAGTCCACTCGTGTTTGTGCACGACCATGAGTTGGCAGTGTTCCAACGAGATCAGAGCTCTCATCTGGTGTACTCCCTTCATCACCGGAAGGCATGTCTCTGGCCACCACAGCCGGCGCATCAACATCAACCTGCCTCGTTTCTTCCACATTTGCCACATCAGCTCCGACTTGTAGCTCTCCACCTTCATGCGTGTCAATCTCGTCAGATCCAAGCAAGCCATCGTGGTGGTCTGACGGAGAGACATTGAGAGATAGGGCAGAATACTCCACAACATCCCTATGTTCGGCAGGATCTTTCATAACCTCTGTGGTTATTCCCACTTCCTCTTCCATAGCAACTCCAGAGCCGCCTTTCAATGGGTTCTCTGATTCAGACAAGCCTCCTAAGTCGACTGCAGCCTGTCCGAGAGTGTCGTTAACGCTATCCGCATGGTCCCGCCCGAAGAATGCCAGCCCAATAAAGCCCATACCGTTTTCGAGGACGTGGAGCGCGGACTGGTAGAGAGCTGCTTCGAATGCAGAAGTGGCTGACTGTGCCGCCTCGTCGGGTCCTTCTCCTTTCTCCTCCTTCCCCCCCTGCCCTCCGTCATCTCCGACATCTCCAACGTCCAGGATTTGATCCAACAACTTGCAGAAACTACACAGGTATTCTAGGACAATCGAAGGCTCGAGCTTCTCAAATGCTAATCGGATGGTGTTAGGCAGAAGAAGCATCTGTCGAAGGATCGCGAGATATGGATCTTCATAACACATAGACAAATCCGCCGTTCTCAGTTGCTCACGACTGACCACCGTACTCTCAGCTTTTGCCCTGACCCTCGTAAAGGTAGTCTGTAAAAAGGCTCCAGACATTTTCTCATTGTTGATCAAGTTGGTCATATCAAGAGTGAGTTTATCCTTCTTTTTCACTGACAAAGTTTCGGTCAGAAGTGCAAGAATTCCAATCTTGCTAGCCATTTGAGGGTCATCGACCAGTCGAAGTTGCGTGTAGTCGTCAGGGTGAGTTTGGAAATACTGTTGAACGGAACGCTCTGCCTGATCGAGAATGTCGCTAAAGACTAGGCCCTGATTGCCAGAATTTGGAGTCAGTCCATAAACATCGGCAAAGCTAACATGCTGGAGTCGATTGGCCAAGCTTTCGTAGCCCATGAGCTCGAGTGCCCCGAAAAGGTGTTGGAAGTGTGTACTCTGATTCGACAGAACAACGAATAACATCTTGTCAAAAGCATACTCCCTATCTCGCTCAATTGCTGCGGCAATTTCACGGAGAAGATAGGTTGTTGTGTCGTTCTTGTTGCGGATTCGGGCAATACCAGATTTGACCCATTTTGTCGGATGTTTGCTGAAATCAATGATCCATGCATCTTCCCCTTCCTCATACACACCCTTGCGCTTCAGAATTCTCTCTACCTCATCAAGGGCGATGTAGCTGATCTCTGACTCTCCAGAATAATCGTCAAACTCGAGCCCCAGTCTTGAGTATAGATCGACATATCTGGAGATGCAGCTTAGTCGGAACCGCTTCCACAACGCTAGAGCTTCCGGGTCTCCGTCTTCCATCGCCTTGAGAAGCTCGTCCCTCTCTTCCGCAATCGGTTTGTCTAGAGCCTCCAGATCCTCCTCTGTCGGCATGGGGCAGGTTTTCAGAAGTTTGACTTCTGCTTTGTGCAGTTCGTCGATTTGTGTATATACGTCGAGAAGATGTCGAAGCGGATCATCGTCCAAAGATGCCTCAGAACCAAACCTTTTCCATCCAGTTGCCAGAAGCCCGATATGCTGACCCCAGTCTCCAACGAAATTCAGTCTCACAACATCCCATCCCATGCTCTCATACAAGGTGGCGATAGAGGCTCCAATAACAGTGCTGCGGAAATAGTGGCCACTGAACTCACGGCCTAGGTTGGGAGACGAGAAATCGACGACCACCTTCTTCCTTGCCTTGCTGGTGTTCGGGCTGTGGCAAGCGCCGTCTTCCAGGTGCTGGCCATATTTTTCCGCCCTGTCGAGGATATAGGGAAGTAGTATGTGACCGAAATTCTCGCGTTGGAACAGAATCCGCAAATGAATGCCGTCTACCACAGGACATTCGAGCAGGGGCGACTCGGGAAACTAATGGCCACATAAAAATATCAGAAGATGACACTTGTAATAGAAATCTCCCCAAGAATAGATAGATCCAAGCCTCACCTGGTCGGCAATGTGCTGAGCCAATTCCTCAGGGTCCTCCCTCAATCGCAATCGGGCGATTACGGTCACCAGATCCCAAACATCTGTGCCAATTGAAACCGAATCATAGGCCACTTGTCTGTCGCAACCTGTCAGTTGCACAATTATGTCTGCTAGAGTGGACAAATATATGTCTGTTGGGCAGCTGAGAACGTCTGCAGATGCAAACTCAGGAATGCTTCCAGACACTCCAACCTCCTCGAGGAGATTTTGCAATCCTTGCAGGGTGCAGCTTGCCATGGTGCTGTCATGTGTAGCGGCTCTCAAGCTCAGCCTTGAAAGACACATAATACATCGTCCGTGCCGTGGCCGACGAGACATATATCCATGAATGGAGGCTCAACCTGAAGCCATGGCCACGACCTCTGATTGGCTGCCTCGATGCATCGCATATGATGACCCCTTGTGCAGGTTTGGGCATGAGCCAAGTACCGAGCCAGTAATACCTGCATCTAGCTCTCAATGTGTTGGCAACGACATGCAAGTTCTCGGTAAACATCTGCCTAATGATAACACATGACCCGTTGATACAGACATATCATGATCAGTTGTGATGGCGATCCAATCCTCTAAGTACTCTGTCAATTGGGTAGTGGACGATGCTGTTGACATTGAGAATGCTGGCATGAGTTCTTGTTATGACGATAAAATTTGAGGCATGCGCATAAGGTAGTATGCCCACAGGATCCTGCTGTATCTTTACCATGTTCTGGGAGGCACGTCGCCTCCAATACCGTGTTCAAGATCAGGGTCATAGCGTATCCTCCTCCTCCAATCCCCCGACCGCAGCCGCTGCCTTCGTAACACTTTGTGAATGATGAATGTCGCCCAAATCTTCAAATAAAACCAGACACGTTGACGGAAAATCGTCACAGCTGTGCTAAAGACAATAAGAATACCCGTCATGACTAGAAATGAGGCCAAGGTTGGTGGCACAAAAGGTGTCACTGTATCTTGCATCGAGAAGAAGCTCATACCCAGGGCGCATGGGCTCACAAAGCACTGGTATAATGTTAGTACATCAATAATGCGGTGGCTTGCTAAGCTTGAAGACTGACCACCATAAACACTGTCATCGCTCTGGCTTCTACAGTGTAACATTTGTTTTCTTCTGCAAGTCTCGTATTTAATATTGTGGCCATGCACTGCTGCTCGGCGAGTAGAATTCGATATTGATCGATGGCAACTCTTTGGTACGCTAGCTGTGTCTGGAAGGTGCATGCTCCAGCAGCTTGCTCCGCAAAATGTAGTTTGAGCTGCATTGTGTTAGAATAATGTTGGTCCCATGAAAACCTTCAAAGGTGATTCAGCGTTTGGGTCCATAACTCACTTCTTTCAAAGATGCGTCACAACGAATCACCTGTGATTGAAGGGCCTTCCATGAAGTCTTCAGCTCGTTATGTAGTGCTTTGATGGTGAAAAGAGCGCGTTTACCAGGAACAACATCCTGGGAAAGGTCCTCGAAAGAACGAGAGTGCTCTTGGATAAAGCCTTCGACACTTTGGCAAAGCTTGCCTAGCTCATCTGCCATACGCACCGCCAAAAGCCGGACTCGGCCTATCCGGTCAATGATCGCCCTGCCATGCCTGCGATTAGTTTCAATCGCACTGGTCGACGATGTCGTCCGCCGCCGAATGATTGGGGCCTATCAGATGTATTAGTTTAGACTGCGTATGTGGGTGCGTCTTGGTATGTAGCGACATTGTGGCTAGCTACGAACATACATACCTCGTGACAAGCGCGGACTGCTTTGCATATTCTGTCCTCTATTGTCTGCCATTCAAGTTTGACTTGGTTGAGCCGGATGTGGGTGATAAGAAGAAAGTATGCTCGGGGGTCGCATATTGGCTGGTCAGCAGCCACTGTCCCAAGTGTTAAGGGGTCCATGAGAAAACCACCTTCCCCAACGGCTTCTTCATGATACTCCTGCACCGTTTCTCTTGACTCATGGTCATGATAAGTGTCGACAAAAAGATAGGCTGTCCACCTCCAAGAATCAGAGCCGGTGATAGTCAATGATATCTGAGATTGGTAGAGATAGTGGGAACCTTCAAGCACAGAGTCATTAAGGAAGGATACGTCTTCGAATCCTCTCAGAGGTGTGTCGTCATCGCACCCAAGAAAGCGGCGACTGTCTTCTAGAGGCGGTCTCGGGCTGTCAAATGCTCGCCACGCATAGTAGGGGAAATGGAAAGAAAGTTGAAAAGTGAGCATGCCAGTTTGCTAAGACGATGTCAGCGATTATCTATCGAGGGCAGACAATGGATCGTTCGGACTTACCGACAAGTCGATTCCGATCAGGGGCTCGAAAAGCAGATGCCGATAAAATGCACTTCGAAGGCTGTCGACCTCATGGCTCGACGCCGTGGCAGCAAGCACATGGATGCTCCAACGGTCGAGATTTGTTGTGAAGCTAGGTCTTGTCAGTTCCTGAAGTTCTCGCCTCGTATCGAATACATACACTGTCCGTCGTTCTGCATCAGGTAGTTGTCCATTCTCCTGTTGAGGCCAGTGGATAGGCTGTCCATGATGCTCGGCAAACTCTTCCCAGCTTTGGGGCGTGTCATATCTCTTTATAGCCTGGTCAGCAGTCGCCGTGGCGGGCCGCTGGCGAGGATCTGGAGATGCGCTCTCTGCCAGGGCTTCGTGATTTGACGCCTTTTGGCGTGGGCTAGGCCAACTTTGGAAACGCTACAATAGGCTGGGTTAGTATTCATTCCAAGGATCGGTTTCGATGTTCTTTCCACTCACCGGTTGAGAGCGATGCTCCAAGTAACTTTGTGGGGTAAGAGGCCCTGGATTGGGTCTTACTCCTTCACGCCCCGGAAAACAGCATCGATCGTCCACCAGAAAGACTGTATGGTCGGGAGGACAGTCATCTAGGCCGGCAAGTCCGCAGAACTCATCGACCTTGTCCGCCACTGCTTGGCATGCTTCTGACATGTTTCGGTCGAACATGAAGGCTCGCACCAGGCTGATTCCGTCATGGCGAGGGACATTGCTCGAATCAACATACGGGTTGTTCAAGATACTCGTGTCGACGAATGGCCGGCTTCCAGGGTTCCCATCTCGATTCGAACCTTTCAGCTCTTCGCCGTGTTGGAGATGGCTATTTGCTTGTACCTTTTCGGTTTTCTGCTTTTTTCCTCTCGTTCTCCTGACCCCATCCTCCTTCACTTTCTCGTGATGCATAGCGTACCGACTCCGTGGACTATTTGCCTCTGAAGGCTTAGGGAGCCCATGAGCCGGCTGCATCTTACATGAAGCCATTTTTGGTAAGCCGGAACCGAGCAGGTGAGAACAGTGGCATTCAATATTTTGTCTCAATAGATGCTCGATCTGCAGGGTGCGTGACAACTAGGGAAATATGCAGTCTTGTAGCAAGAATCACCGCCACAGTCTGCTGGGATGGTTCGGCCGCAGGATTTCTCGACCTTGGGCGTCGTTTTCTACTGCACCTATCTTACGGATCATTACAGAAGGCAGAGAGTCCACGTTAGATGACCCTGCAATTGAATCTAAGATGCCCTTGTTATGGGACATAACTTTGGGACAATCAATTTGCTACCCAAGCTGATTGCCTGATGCCTCACGACAGCAGCAACACCACATTCGTGGTTCTAATCAAGTTTGAATGACTTGAGCCGATTGTCCACGGGGTCACCAATGCACATGCGCCCAGGACTATTTCAACAACAATGACAGGAGTCCGATCGCGAGTGGTGACAGCTAACCATTGCCCTCACACGTATGCGCAAAAGTACTGCAATTACGGTGAGATCCAATCAGCCTTAAGTTTGCTGTGGTGGCTGTGCCTCCTCTCAATATATTCAAGATACCAGGGAGGCGATGGGCCGGCTCTACTGGGGGAGCATATTATTGCATCAACTTGCACAATTTACAGACTCAGGTTGGGCAATGTGGCCAACTATTCTAGGTTGGGCACAATGCTTAGGCGTCCCTAATACAAAGCAGCCAAACATGGGACATGATGCCCGAACAGGCACCTCACACACCGCGGTGCCCGACTGGGGGTTATCGCAAGGATGTTCCAAGACTGCACTGCATCTGCTGTTGACAGGTTGCCACGTTGATCTAGTTTGGGCAGCAACGAGATCGAGTCGTCTTGTTGGCATGGGAGTCAAAGCAGGCTCTGATAGCCAATTAATTCCGAGCAAACACAATGCCTCTTACACAGTCGGCTATTGAAGGCCTTAATCCTGAAGGAGCGAGGCCCGACAAGTACATATGGTACGTTCGAGATTTGGGGCGAGCCTGTCGCTTACTTGGCCCAATCACCTCCGCATCGACCAACAAGTACTAGGTATATTACGAGGTTTAGCACGGATGCCTCATCGCCTGAAAGTGCCCTAATAGTATGCGAGAACGTCATCACAGGCGCTGCAGCTCATAATTCGCGTGACCACTCTTTTCTACTTCCTGATGTCTATCAAGCTTTGAAAGTTGGTGTGAGAAATCGTCTTTACGAGGGTGTCACGAGAGTCTCAGTACCGGTAACTCTAATCCAACTTCCTAACAACAGGCGTCGCATGACATGAGGGCAAAGTCGAATCGAGAGTTGGGAGGCAGATACGATTTCAGCGTCACCTGTCCGTAATTAATTGTTCATCATTGATTGTAGAAGCATATCCACGATTAATGTGCCGGGGGAGGCGGCGAGGTCGGAGGTTTCGACTGGTTGCTTTATTCGCAAGCCTATGCAAGCTACGTAGCCTCATTACCTTCTAAAGCCAATAAGAAAATGCCACAAGACAAACTACACGTGTGTTGCAGCAACGCAGCTGTTGGCAGGCAAGAGTTCTCTCCCCATAAGGCTGCGGCTCTGAGGCCTGTAGGCGGCATTGGAGATATATGGTCTCACGGATCTACTCTTGGAGAGCCTCAAATCTTTTAGCTTGGTTTGCCTTCTAGCTACGTCGGAGAAGAGCGAATAAAAAGGCATCGAATGAAGAAGGCTGCGACTTGGGTAATGATCTAAGCGGGTTCTGAGTCAAAACGATGGCTGCCCGTCGTCGTCGGCAGTTTCTTGAGTATGTTCCGAGATGCACTTCCCCCTCAGGTTGATCAAGATTGAGCTCACATGTCGTCAGGTCGCTCCAAAGCGACCGGGTTGAACTGGTGGTGAAGACTCCTGAAGGCGAGGAAAGGTTGTGCGCATACCTCGAGACTTCTTGCTGCGGAGATCTCGTGGATTTCGTGACCTCCTGAAGCGAGCATCCTCTTTGTCCGACTCGGATCAGCTACAGCTGGACTCCACATCTCTGAAAACAATCGAAGACTTTTTGATCTGGAGCCATTCATGCACGCCGGAGATTGAAGCAGGAGGCTCGTTTGATGATACGGTGAAGCTGGGGATTTTTGCAACTACGTACCAAATCCCGGCCCTGGGCAACCAGATCACGGACCAGATTCGAAAGAATTTGGCGAGCCAAGAGTGGCATCTCAGTCCCAATATCGTGAATGACATCTATGCTGCGACAATGCCTGGCAGCCCGCTCCGAGAGGTGATACGAGCTGCGTTTGGGCAATCGCCCAAACCGAGAGGAGAAGGGTGGAAATCAACTTTCCTGAATCATTCAGAAATAGGATGGGATTATAACGAGGTGGGTGAGACGAAATGGTCGGTCGAAGAGTATCTGGCAGAAGTGTGCCGATTCCATGACCATGAAGACGTGACCAAACTCGTGCTGCCGGCCGATGTTAACAAATGTCCCTATCGTGAGGAAGAATGCTATCCAGTGGAACAAGGAGAGGTCAATGGAGAAGAGTTGAAGGGAGAAGGGGAATTCGAGAACCAGAGCAAAGGAGCCATGGTGAATGGTGATGGTCTGCATGGTGCTGAAGACTACGCAACGGCTGCTGATGATCCTGGTGTCCACGTCGGAGAACACGTCAATGATGGCCCAACTGACCAAAGCCGGGCCAGGGAGTGGCTACTAAAGGAAGACAATGGGACTGAGGACGAAGTCAATGGAACAGCAGGTGGGACGTCAGAAAGCGTGGAGCCTCGAGAGTCAGAATCTTGGGCAGATGCTGATGGACGGACGATCTTGTCCGAACAGACCAACGAGGAGGTCTATGAGAGCATTGCAGATGCGTCGATTGACGAGGCAGTTCCAGAAGTATACGAAGATCGCCCAGCAGTGGAAGAAGTGGGACCACCGCAGCAAGAGGATATGTCTATGCCAACAAAGCACGAAACCTTCCAGACAGCGATTGAAAGCCCGCCGCCAGCGGTGGGATCGAACAAGCAACAGAAGAAAAAGAACAGGAAAAAGTCGAACAAGTGATGGAGGGCTTCGCAGGGAGGGGAGGTGGTGGGAAGGAGGATGGAATTCAGGACGAAATTGGCCCAGACATGTTTGGTGCTCGAATCGAGCAACGACTGCGGATGGAATGTTGGTTGAGGGGTTGATGTCACATTCATTAGGCATTTTGACGAGCGCGCGTTTTTGCATTTGAGTCGGCTTTTGATTGTATCATGGACGGTCTTTCTCTTGTGGATGGACAGCTCAAAAAGAGGCGAAAATGAAAACTGATAGATATCTAGGATATCCCTCATCATCCTTGTATGACAATGACAACCTTGTTGATGAGATTATGATGAAGATCAAACCTGTCATGAGATGGGGATGATGGCATTATGGGAGACTGTTTGTGATGCTGGTTAGGTGCTATAGTTACTGCAGCAGTGGTGGGTGACGAGCTTTACTAAGGGTATAAGGAACTGGGGATAAGACTACAATAATAAGGACATCATGGGGTCGAGGTGTCTCCTCGGCCTTTATGTCCAAGTCGAGAGTTCCTTACAAGTCCTCATAGGTACTAGGTACTTCGCCTAAGAAGTGACGCTAGTACTTCGTTTATGTAATTGCAGGTGGGTCGATGTTAGCACCACTAAGTACTCCTTAGTACCAGAATGCTTGATGCTTATTTTCTTCGCGAGGTCTAATAATCCAGGCGTTGTCTGCGCCTACAGTACAAAGTGCTCGTAGATACCTTAGGGAGCGACTTGAACCGAGGGACGACGGGGTTTTCCGGATCATGGGCATGCTCTAGGGCTAATGTATGCATACCTAACCTACCTACCTTACCTAGGTAGGTACCTATTTGGCTGTAAAGTGTCGCGATTACCTGCAGCTACAAACGCATGGTAAGCTTCGGACTTTCAGGTCCAGGTCCAGCTGGACTCTAGTGGAGTTTTGTTCTGGCTCAAACAAGCTCTTGCTCCCAAGAGTTTAGGCATGTTCGGCATTTCTTGACAGGCGCCTCGGGCTACAGTTGCCTCTAGGATTGGATGGTTAGGGAGGGTTGGGATCGGAATCCTGACCCTAACCAAGAACCCTTGTGCCCTAACACCCAGACCCTGGCCAGATTGACATTTTACATTCATCCACATTCATCATTCCTGCCTCCTCATCCCTCATCCATCTACTGCATTCTTCACACTGTTTTATTTTTCTCATTCCTGACCTCCACGCGGATGCTTGTCGATGGTACATGAGTCTAATTGAACGGAAAGACTCTTCATCTCCATATTAACTCGCCACACTCTCAACCATACCTTCACCACACCTCCCAAAAACCCTATCATGCCTCTTCACATTTTCGACTCTCATGCTGCGCCTCCTTCGTCCCGCTTTCACTTCACCTTTGCTCCAATCCATCGCAACTTGAAATGACCAGCTGCTTTGTGAGCACCGAGTAACCAGATTCGACATTCCTCATCTCTCAATTAGCATCTTTGACCTTAACTCTTCCATACTCTACTCCTTCTACACTGTCATCTCATACCTTCACTCGCTCCTCCCTGCGGAACACTTCATCATGCCCCTCGTCACTCTTCCTCTGGTTGTTGCCTTCAACGTCAACACTAACATGGATCACAGCCATTCATTCTTTTAATCTCTTTTCCGATATTTCCTGATTCCTCAACCAAACCCTAGATATGCCATCCTATGATATCTGAACCATATTCGATTTGTCCTCACCGCCTCCCTGGCCTCACACAACCTGCACCCTGGGGCTCCCATCATGGCTGTCCAGGAATTGATGCTGGACGTTTGGGAGTTTCTCAAAAGAAATGTGATCCCTGATCTGTTCATCAAGAGGAGGCTGAATTTTATCACCATCCATTATCTTTACATGATTGGCATGTCCCTACTCTTGTCCGTCGTCATCTTCGGCATAGGCGACATTTCTTACATCGATGCCCTGTTCTTTGCGTCCGGGTCCTGCACCCAAAGTGGTTTGAACACCGTCAATGTCAACGACCTCAAAACCGGCCAGCAGGCTATCCTGTATCTTGGCGCAATGATGTGTAACCCTATCGTCATACACTCGGCTGTCGTCTTTGTCAGATTATACTGGTTCGAGAAACGATTCAAAGACATCGTCCTCGAGGCCCGCAAGCTGCGACGCACAAAGTCTCGCAACCGCGCAAACACCAAAGATGATCTGGAAAATGTCAATCCCACCTTGAGCATCCGTGGCAGAGTCATCCAATTGCTACCGCACACCGGCCGCCGTACTGGCCGCAATCAACACTCCCAATCCGACGAGAAACTCGATAACCCCCCTAATGCCAATGGCAAAGCCGTCGAGTCGTCCCTCGGCTCCCAAAAAGACGATGACAGCAGTGACGATGGGCCCAAGCAAAACCCGCAGGATGAGGGTGGCTTCCCCTTTTCAGCGTCACGGTCCGCCGAAGACGTCCGTCTGCCTGAGCAAAGGCCTCGTGAACAGCACATTCTCTTTCTCGAGAACCAACGCAATCCCCACGACACCACCACCCTCCGGATCCCCAGCCCCCGCGAGTTCGAACGTGGCAGCCGGCCAGAACACCTCGATGGTATCGACAATCATCTCCTCCGCCAGATGACCATGGACCCTGACCTCGCTCCAAGCTCCGACAATGACAACGGTGACATGCATGCACGTGTGGAACGTGCAGCCACCCACATCACCATCGACGAGCCACGAGTGGTGCGTGATCGATCCGAAAAGATCACGTTTCCTCGAGTCAACACCAAACGTTCCGGCCAGCAGCAGTCCCATGATCGTGCTGGACCCGGTCCATATGCGCAACGGCCCCGCGTCAACAGCTCGCGCTCTTTTTTGCGCAGCAACACCGGCCGCACTATGGAACCGGCTCCCTATCTCAGCTGGCAACCTACCATTGGTCGTAATTCCTTCTTCTTTGACCTGACGGAGGATCAGCGAGAAGAATTGGGCGGCATCGAGTACCGCTCCCTCAAGCTCCTCGCTAAGGTGTTGGTGGCATATTTCTTTGTCTTTCACCTGTTTGGCGCTCTGTGTCTGTTCCCGTGGATTCTCCGCTCTCGTACCTACAGCCAAGTCGTGGACGAAGTCGCCCAGAATCGTGTCTGGTGGGGCTTTTTCACCAGTGCTTCTGCATTCAATGACTTGGGGTTCACCCTGACGCCAGATTCGATGATTTCCTTTCAACGAGCCGTGTGGCCGTTGCTGCTCATGACGTACTTGATCATCATCGGCAATACGGGGTTCCCTTGCATGCTCCGCGCCGTCATCTGGATCATGTCTAAGCTGTGTCGCGACGACTCGCCGACATACGAAGAATTACGGTTTTTGCTGGACCATCCCCGCCGATGTTTCACCCTGCTGTTTCCTGGTCCCGCAACCTGGGTGCTCTTCGGCATCTTGGTTCTTCTGAACGGCGTCGACCTGATCTTCTTCATCATCCTCGACTTGAACGATGCCACCGTCACCCAGTTGCCGAGTGGCATCCGATTCCTCGCCGGCCTCTTCCAAGCTGCCGCCACACGGACTGCTGGTTTTGCCGTGGTGAACTTGGCCGACCTGCATCCTGCCATTCAGGTCAGTTACCTGATCATGATGTACATTTCGGTGTTTCCCATTGCTATTTCTATGAGAAGAACCAATGTGTACGAAGAAAAGAGTTTGGGCATCTATGGTAGTCCCGCCGAAGAAGGCGAAGATGAAAAAGAAGCTAGCTATGTGGGAGCCCATCTGCGGCGACAATTGAGTTTCGACTTGTGGTATGTCTTCTTGGGTCTTTTCATCATCGCAATTATTGAAGGAAGTCGCTTGGAGAACACCAACGAATACGCCTTTACCCTCTTTTCGGTGTTGTTTGAGATTATCTCGGCGTATGGCACCGTCGGCCTCTCTCTGGGCTATCCTGGGACCGACACGTCCTTTTCGGCGCAATTTCGGACGCTGTCGAAATTGGTCATGATCGCCATGCAGATTCGAGGACGACATCGTGGGCTACCATATGAAGTTGATCGAGCCATTTTGCTGCCCTCGGAGAGCCTACAGGCAAAAGAGGCCAGAGAAGGAGAGCGAATTGTGATGCGGCGTCGGCGGTCATCGGCGGGCCAGTCGATGCTCTCAGCTGTGGATGGAAATCTAGATGGACGTCATTTCCGCCCGGAAACCGGGTTGGCAACGGCAGTCCACGTTGGTGAAGGCGAAGCCTACGTCCGACCACTCCAGGCCCGAACGAACACAAATCGAACAGACGTGAGCGTGAGCAGCAATACAGAGCAGCATCATGCGTATCCAACCCATACAGCACATCATCCTCGACCGCATTCGGGTCAGCATGGCCTGGGTTCTGCCATGTACAAACTTGCCAATCAAATCGATTCTATCAAGGAAGAGAAGAGCCGCGAGTCATGATGGACGTGACATGTTGCGACACCTGTGCATAGTGGGGAGGCTGTCTTAACATGTCTAGCCGACTTGTTGATAAGTCTGGCAACTAAATATTCCAAGTACTTGAGCGATGGCGCTAATGGAATGGTTTCAATGACAACGATGACGATGGGTTTATTATAGCTGCACCTGTATTGTATCCTTAACATAAATGTAGGATGGAACAAAGCGAAATCAACCATGATATCGACCGCATGGGTTGAATCACGTGTAAAGGCAAAGAATCTCACGTGCAATGTCACGTGGCTAGAATGTGTTGGGTTTGTGTTGGGTTCGATGAAGCCAAGGTAAGCCTTTGTAGTGGATTCCTTGGGCTATTATTGGCGCTTTTCTTGGAAGGGGAGGAACACGCGGTGAAAGAAGGGGACAAGACTCCAAGCAACACACAGGTCTAATGTACAGACAAAAGTCTGCATTGGCAGGAATGCTTCACCAGCCCATTCCAACTCAAGCCTGAAACCGGTGGAGTAGAGAGTTGAGTTATGTGTGACATTCTGTATCACACCATCTGTCACTGGAATCATCAACAACAACTTGTTGATAGTTTTGGGTTGCTGGTGATTTCATCGTGTCTCTGCTGCGCCTCAAGCTAGAGGGTAAACCCTTGGCCCTAAGAAAATCCTGCTCTCCCACGTTGCCTCTATTTCTTTCGGGCTCTCGAGCTCTCGGGTGTCGCAACCCAGACCCAATCTTAGTCCCTCCACTCCAAATCCGGGGCCATGGACGAGGGATTTGCCCGCATCGAGTCGCCGCTCACAGACATTAACCTACGCGTACTTCCCCCCCGTAGTGGCCCCGAACGCCCCCTAAAAAAACCTTTTGTCGACCCATTTAAATTACCCACGAATCACAATACCATGGCAGCCGTTGTCCAGCTCGCAATTTGTTGGTCAGACGACACTTGCCCCATCATCACGGACTTGAACTGAGATTCTCATTGGTGATATTTCAGTTTTTAGTGGTCTGGACGCTGTTCCTTCCAATCATCAACCTCGCTGCCAGGTACAGCCACCGTTGTTCCTTCCTCCCGTCTTGCTGCTACTCTGGTTGCACCTGCTTTTGCAACGCCTGTCCTGCTCCTTGCGAGTGCCACAGTGCCTGCCCCATTCGCTTCTTCCTCACCCTCTCCCTCTGTTCACCCTGTCGCGGTTTCCTCCACGTTTGACAATCTCTTTTCTCTGATTCTCGTCGTCGTCATCAGCATCCAACTTCCACTTCCACTTACTCTTCCCTCCCACACCATTTTTTGCTGTCTCATTCTTTCAACCCTCTCCTATTGTATATTGTCTCTCTCGACTATTACCTACGCTCGTTTGCATCCACTCGCATTCACATACCTCGCCCTACCATCACCATCCCTCGGGGCTGCCATTTTTCACGCTAACCCCTGCCGCTCGCTTCCTCAATCTCGACGCGCCCCTCTCGAAACCTCAAACACTTCCTGCCGGTGTCGAACGTCCACCCTTTCCTTTTCCACCTAAACTCTTTTTTCTTCCGTCAACAACTTTCGTTCGCAACACCAAAAGACGTCGACAACCTTCTGTTGGTGTTGGTCGTCTCATCCGACCGGCCACAACACACAGTCTATCTAGGTGTCGTTGTATGCCATCTTAAACGGAGACAAGATGAGGCTACCTTCACCCCTGGTCCTCGCGCCGCTGGCCGGCATCCTCTCCCTCACTCATGCCCTCGATCTCGACATCGCCAGCGTCGACTCGGTCCGTTCAACTGCATCTACTCTCGCTTATGACATGATGACCTATTATTCTGGCAACCAGTCTGGTCAGGTTCCTGGACTCCTGCCAGGTCCCTGCCAGTCAGACGCATGTTACTATTGGTGGGAAGCCGGCGCCATGTTCGGTTCCTTGATTAATTATTGGGAATACACACAGGATGACAGCTATAACCATGTTGTTACTCAAGCGTTGCAGTTCCAGATTGGCCCTGATCAGAACTTCAATCCCCCCAACCAAAGCAGGAACATGGGTGTGGATGATCAAGATTTCTGGGCCTTTGCCGCCATGGATGCCGCCGAGGCGAACCTGCCCGATGTCGGTGGTGACGCCCCGTCTTGGCTCGCTCTCGCTCAAGCGGTGTACAACTTCCAATCCGCACTCTGGGATGCCGCCACTTGCGGCGGCGGTATGCGATGGCAAGTCTTTTCCTTCAACGCCGGTTACAATCTCAAGAACACCATTTCCAATGGCGGCAACTTCCAGCTTGCTGCTCGACTGGCCCGTTATACCGGCAACCAAACCTACGCAGACTGGGCGGAGAAGATGTGGAACTGGATCGAAGGCAGCCCTCTGTTCTATCGACAGGACAATATCTTGTATATTTGGGACAACACGGACGCCGACAAGAACAACTGCTCTGATGTTGAGCGGCATGCCTGGAGCTACAACTATGGAACCATGTTGGTTGGAGCTGCCCACATGTATAACTTCACCGACGGCGCTGAACCGTGGAATACCCGTGTCCATGAGATCCTCGAAGGCGCCTTTTTCTTGTTCTTCCCCCAAGAATATGGCGGCAACATTATGACCGAATTTCAGTGTGAGCCCACGAGTATCTGCAACAATGACCAGAGCAGTTTCAAAGCTTATCTAACGCGATGGATGGCCGTCACCGCTGTCCTCGTTCCAGACACCTGGGATTTAATCATGCCTAAATTACAAGCCAGTGCCCAGGGCGCCGTCAAGCAATGCATTGGAGGAGAGAATGGAAGAAAGTGTGGTCGACAGTGGTATTCAACCACCTGGGATGGCAGTCAGGGTGTGGGTCAACAGGTAAGCATAGCCCAACTCGCACAGAAATGGACTTCAAGCTGACAACGTCTCTAGATGTGCGCTCTCGCCGTTGTCGGTGCCACACAAATGAACCAAGCCCTCGTGCCTAAGAGCGCAGCGTCCGGTGGCACTTCCAAGAGTGACCCTGGAGCCGGCGGAGACGCCAGCACAGCGCCCGACATTCAATTTTCCGCCATCACCACGGCGGATAAGGCCGGAGCTGCAATTCTTACCATCTTGGTGGTGGTGGCACTGGTTGGTGGAGGCATCTGGATCATTTTGTAAACCTGTTACCAGTTGTATCCTGTTTTTGTTTGGCACGCATGCCCAACTTGTTTGAGTTGGCCGAGTGGCTGCTTACGATTGCGACAAGATTTGGCATAGGGAGGCGTACGGTACTATTGATGGCGGCTTCTGGTCAAAATCATCTTCAATCGGGGAGGGGCAAAGATATGCATCATTTGCACAGATCTGTCTGACTGTTAGTCTGAAGACCTCATCTTGCAACATATAAATTGTCGAATGACATTCAGAATTGATCGAATAATTTCGCCGCATCAAGTCTACTGTAAACAAGATGGCCTGGCCAAATGTAACAATGACAGGCCCCTAAAAATGCTTGGGCTGGGCTTCCAGTCAGCAATAATCCCCCAGAGTCTGTGAAGTACTTACTTGCTTTGGTACCTTGGGTACGCAGATGACCCCCCGGGGGCTTTTAGGGTCTTGGAAAGCCTAGAGTGTCTCTAGAACCCTACTTAAAATCACCAAAGTTACACATTCCCCCTAGCAAGGTGGAGAGCGGAGGTGATAGGCTTCGCCGTTGATAAGTATTGATCGGATTCCAGCATACCTCAAGAATGACCGAGGCACCAAAGGTATGAACACGTCAATCCCATGAATCGTTCCCATGGATAACAGTGTCTAAAGTCTGGGCGATGGGATGACACCTAAAGAGGCACCCTCCCGTGAGCGGCACTGGGGAAACCCCCCTCCCCTCGCCCCTCACTCCTCTCCCCGTCTCCCCTTGACGGGATACAAACGCGAATCACACCCCGTTCTTGATGACCGAATCCAAGGCTCTCCCCCCGCGCACCGGCACCGAGGATAGAGGTTTAGAACATTCTGACCATTCGTTGTTCAAGAAGTCTCGAGCCGTCAAGGTGGTTTTCGAAATTAAAGCTACGGTGATGGCCAGTATCAGCAAAGCTGCCAGGGCTGACTCTCTGTTAGATGATTACAGCATACATCTAGACCCATGAGACTCGTCCTTTTGTTGCTGCGGCATCCGCTGCGCACCATCATCTTCTCTCACTCATTCCTGGCCCAAGTCTTGCTGGCTCTGCTGAAACGAGTCTTGCTCCCACACTTTCCTCAGTACCAGTCTTTGCGACTGCAGGTCCAACGGGCATACCAGGCAGCTGCTGCGCTGACCTTTCCAGACCTCACACATCGACTCCCAGTCACCAACCTCAGCCTCAAACGGGCTCGCAAATTGGACGATGCCGTCCCTGCTTACCTGATCCCGGGAGCTCGACTTCTGTCCGAGTTTCACCTAGCCCCAAAGGGTCGACAAGCGTCCGTAGTTCTCTATGCTCACGGCGGTGGATATGCCCGAGGCGAGGCCAGGATGTATGTCAATTACATGGAGCGATGGATACGAGAAGCCGCTAAAGCCAACCTTGACCTGGTTTTTGTGAGTGTCGAGTATCGTGAGTAACCAGCAACCCTCCTTAGACATGCAATTTGATTGATTGGACCACTGATCCATCTCCATAGCATTATCGACTAGTCAGCGTCATCCAGCGCAGAAGAATGCCTTCATTCAGACATACAAATACCTCCTCGAGCATGATATCAGACCGGAGAATATTGTTTTTATGGGAGACTCGGCTGGAGGTCAGTGGTCCCTCGGCTCAAATAGACTGCTTTGAAAGACTGACCACGAGCATTAAGGTGGATTGAGTATTCTTGCTGGCCTCGAACTCCATCAACTGCAACTACCACAACCAGCAGCGACTATTCTCATCTCGCCCTGGATTGACATGTGTCTCAGAGCCTACGAAGGAGGAAATGCCGCCGTCGAGAGCGACTACTTTTTGATGGCCAACACCGCCGTCCCCAGCCTCGTCAAGCTGTTCATCGGCGACAACCCACCAGATTCACCAGACGTCAACCCACTACACTCGACCTCGGAACAAATCAGTCGCCTCAGCCCACAGTTAATCTTCACCGGCGCCGCCGAGTTTGCGCGCTACGATTCGGAAAAATGGGCTGAGTTGTGCCGTGAGGCCCAGGTCAAATGCAACATGACGATAGAATGGGGCCAGATGCATATCTATGCGGTCGGCTCAAAGTTCGTCGACCCGACTGTCCGGATCAAGACTGACAATATGATCATCGACTGGATCAAACAGCACGTGCCTTAGATTGGTCCTTGACTAGGGACATAGATGCACAGGAATAAGACTAGAAGGCAATTGAAGCGGTCGTGGAAACATTTCAGAATTCTCCATTACCCAGACTCTCGCCTGTAGAATGTACGTACCCGTGAACAAAGCGTCCCTAAGAAGTATTCAAGGTGTCACAGGAAGTATCCAGACCATCCAAGACTACTTCCCCTCGGCCCCACTTGGACGAATGCCACATACCTGGAGTAAAGAACGAGTGCCGAAATGGTAATCCAGTCCCAAATCAACCTCGGCGCCGTTTCTTCTCCAACCGAACAACCACTTTTGGCATTGTTAGTCCTCCGAAGGCTTGGTTCATTGACGGACAACGGACAACCGTGTTGCATCGACCACTCATCAGAGCCTCGTCGATTTATATCGAGGAAGGATACAATCAACTACTACACTATATCTCCACACCAGGGTTTGATGGCCGATCGATGGGTCGATCTTCTAGACTTCTGGCTCCGAAGTCACCTCCTGTTGGCCTGTCCAGAATTACTGCAAGATCATTAATTCCACCACGATGAATCGACCACGCTCGAAACCAGAACCGAGGCCTGTCCTCATAGGCAACATATCTGGATCAACAGGTGATCGATTAGACGGTGAGTAATGCCAGCACGCTGGCTCTCGAAGAAAGACTCTGACCAAACCGACAGGGCTCAAGTCAATGCTCAACGGCGATGTCACGGTGGACGCCATCATAGGGGATTGGCTCTCTGAAGTTCGTACGACCAAAGCACTATACGAGCCACACCAAGCACCACTGGGCTAACAACCTTCTTCTACCTCTCCAGGTCAACTTAGCAAGCAGAGCACTTCAACGACGTAAATCAACCAAGGCTGGCTATGAACCTGGATTTCTTCATTCTCTCCGTCTCGCCATAGACGACTACCTACAGTATCGAAACCCTAATGTCCGAATCGCTGTCAACGCCGGTGGTTTGAATCCGCAAGGGCTAGCTCAGGAAGTGCAAAAGTTGCTCTCTTCTCGAGGTGCCACCAAGAAGGTCGCCTACGTCGTCGGTGACAACCTTCTTCCCGATTTGGAGTCACTTCAGATCCAGCCTCTCACCAGAGCAACAGGACCTTTTGACAGTTGGAGACGCAAGTATCCAGACATTGTCCTGGCAAATGCCTATATCGGCTGTTGGGGTATCGTGCAAGCCCTCAACGATGGTGCCGATATTGTAATCTGTGGTCGATGTACTGATGCAAGCACCGTGAGTCTGTCTTTGTGCACAAGCATCAATTGAAAGGAGTATCAGTTGACACAGGTTTCACAGGTCATGGGAGTCGCAGCATGGTGGCATTCTTGGACAGAGCACGATGTTCATCAACTGGCAGGTTCTCTCGTCGCAGGCCACCTTATCGAGTGTGGCTGTTATGCTGTGAGTGATTCTAAGAATCTCCAGCTTATTCTTCGTTGATGATCTCTTTGCTGACGGACATTTTCGCCTTGCACAGACTGGTGGCAACTTCGGCGGCTTCCAAAAGCTGGCTCCGCGATACTACAGCCTTTCGTATCCTGTCGCAGCCATTTCAGCGGATGGTACCAGCGTTGTGCAAAAGCACAGCAATCAGAACGGAATGTAGGTGATCGATGGCTATTTCAGGGGTCGCATGAGCGTAAAATCGGGAATTCTGATATTCTATCACCAGCGTCACCACCGATACCCTTCGCGGCCAATTAGTCTATGAGCTTCAAGGCAATTTCTACTACAACCCCGATGTCATAGCCGACTTGTCCGGCATTGCTATGGAGCAGCTATCGCAAGATAAAGTCCGAATATCAGGGATCAAAGGCAGGTCCATTCCTCCATACCTCAAGACAAAATCTTCTGTGCTATCATTGCTTATACTTGACAGGGCTCGCGGCACCAGAAACACTGAAGATCGCCATCATGGCCATTGGCGGCTACCAGGCAGAATTCTCAGTATATGTGACTGGACTTGACACAAAAGAGAAAGCCAAGAGCTTCGAAATCATGTCACGCAAGATGATTGATGCCGACAAGCTGGACGTACTTGATTTCCAACTATACGGTAGCCCCAAGGAAGATCCACAGAATCAACTCGAATCCACGCTACAGCTACGAGTATTTGCGCAAGCTCAAGACCCCAAAGTACTTACCGCAGGGCGTTTCTTGGGCCCTCTCATGAGCAATCAGTTATCGGGCTATCCTGGATTGACAGCAAACTTTGACTTTCGCACCGCGGAGCCCAAGTTGTTCTGTACTTATTTTCCAGGCTTAGTTCACCAAAACCACGTTCAGCAGGTCGTTCACTATGTCGAGCCCAACGGCAAATTGACTCCGTCATCAGGTTCACCTGTGCGGAAATTGGTCAATCTGACCCGTGTCGCTAGCTTGCCTGTCCAGCCTAACTACGACTCTCAAAATCCAGTATCTTTATCTTCTTTTGGCCCTACTGTTCGATCACCCTTAGGTCTGGCAGTATATGCCCGCAGTGGCGACAAGGGTGCCAACGTCAATGTCGGGTTCTTCTTCCCAAGAGGTCTACACGATGGAGAGAAATTTCAGTGGCTGAGAAGCTTCCTCACTACTGAAACCTTGCGCCGTAAGTCATTCTCTAAAGTGAATTCCTCAGTTGACGACCGAGTCTAACGCGAGTTGTGTCAACCTCTAGGACTTCTTGCGGAAGAAGCAACCCCAGAAACATTTATCGAGCGTTGCGAATTCCCCAATGTGCATGCAGTCCACTTCGTTATTCACGGAATCCTGGGTGCTGGAGTCAGTAGCTCGGTTAAGATGGATTCACTTGGAAAGGTATGTGAATTTGTCCTCACTCAATCTCGCTCAAGAAAAGATGGAAAGAAGTGCTAACGCCGTGACCCAGAACTTGGCCGAGTATCTTCGTGCGAAGCATGTAGATATGCCACAAAAGTTCCTGGCCAAAGAGGCGCTTATGTAGCTATAGCCGAATCGTCGGGAGCCGGGATATAGAATTCATAAATGATCATTTCAGGGTCGGTTTGAAGCTCGAATGTGACCATGTAGAAGGGGGATATATCACAGCTCGATGTTTCACTGCTTATCCAAAACCAAGAGTCGTTAAGCAAACCAGCTCACATGTCTGGATCAAGCCAAAGTTTTCTAGGGTGTGATAGAATTTCGACCTTGTTTGGCCGAGGATAGTCTAAGGAGGTCAATACCCTGCCCTCCCTTGGGTCGTTCTACGCCGGCGGCGGGGCCGAGCCATATATCATCCGAGTTCATATTCCGTCAGCATGTTTTCTCACAACATCACTAGACAAATCTCACAAATCAAGAGAGAAATACGTAGTCGTTAGGCTGTGGAATCATCACAGTTGCATTATCATGGTTTCAGCACCTCCCCTATGTGGAATTAATGTTCTGGAGTTTGCGGGACTAGCCCCTGGTACGGTTCAGAAAAGAAGACCAACTCGGGAAACCAACAGATCCTAACCATAAACCCACAGGACCTTTCGCCGGGATGCTTTGTGCAGATTGGGGCGCGACTGTTCTGCGAGTTGACCGGGCAGCGGTCCAGGGGCAATACTTCAAATCCTCGGACCACTTGACACGAAGAAAACGATCGATTGAAGTCGACTTGAAATCAGCAGGAGGGCGACAGTTGATCAAGGATATGATCGACAAAGTCGACGTGGTGATTGACCCATTTCGACCAGGCGTGCTGGAGAAACTGGGACTGGCACCTTCTACACTGCTCGAGCTCAACCCAAAGCTGATCGTTGCACGAATGACGGGGTTTCGTCGAGACGGCAAGTATAAAGACATGGCTGGCCACGACATCAATTACATTGCAGTCTCAGGCGTGCTGTCAATGCTAGGGCCTAAAGACCGAACTCCATTGCCAGCACTTAATCTGCTGGGTGATTTCGCTGGCGGTGGCCTGGTCTGTTTCCTCGGCATCGTGCTGGCCTTGTTCGAACGATCCAACACGGGAGTTGGCCAGGTCGTCGAAGCAAATATGGTGGATGGAAGTGCCTTCATCGCCACTTTACCTCGCATGGCCCTCAAGACGCCCTTGTGGCAGGGTCCCAAAGGGACCAATCTCCTCGACGGTGGCTGTCCATACTACGACACCTATGAAACCCGTGATGGTCGATACATGGCAGTGTGAGTCCAATAGCCGAAGCGTGTTAGTCCCTGAGTGTCTCCCATACACTGACCTATTCTCAGAGGGGCACTAGAACCACAGTTCTTTGCCGTACTACTCAAAGGTCTTCCACTTGATCCCTCAAGTCTACCGGGACCCCGCGATGACAAGGGCACCTGGCCATGGCTACGACAACAATTCACTCAGATCTTCAAATCAAAGACTCGAGACCAATGGGAGGCCATCTTCGACGGCACCGACGCATGTACCGTGCCTGTCAAGACACAGTCCGAGTTGGAATATCAGGACTATCAACAACGGCCTATTGTGACACTGACGAGATCTCCGGGCCTAGCCATCGCCGCCGATGCAGGCTCCTCAACATCGGATGCTGTCAGGGGTCAGGGACCGGGAGATCCAGGCCAAGGCTGGGTCTCTTCTGGATTGCAGCCGGGTCATGGCGGCAATGAGGTCCTCTCGGCGTGGTTGGGCTGGACGGAGGGAACGAACTATTCACGCCGTGATGGTGGCTTGGTGAGACCAGCCTCTAAACTGTAATCCTCGTGAAAGCCACATTTAGTCCCACTCTCGGCGGCGGTGGTTTAGAAACAGAATCAAAGCAGGTAGCAATTTGATATCGGACCATTAGGACGAATCGTCTTGGCTCAATACCAAAGGACATGCTCAACAATGAGTAAGGGTTTGTGCTAGTTGATTTTCAAGGTGCCGTAAGCCGAATATCCGAAAGACACCTCCATCTTGTCCTTCCATACCGAACTTGATCAAATTGGAGATTCCGCCCCCTCTCTCCACGTTTCGGCACCGACAGCCCCTCTCGTATCAACACATGGGGAATTTTGGCTGACGTAGTGCATGCTAGACATAACAGAGTTATTGAAATGTCTGGTTGTTGACACTATAAGCGAGAACTGCACATGAACAAGACGGTGAAACGACAGCTATCATGATCGAACGCACTAAGCAATACTCCATTCCTGAGGAATGCAAAGGACTACTTCTGCAGGAAATATCTCGTAAAGCCAGCGAGAGCAGCACATTTCCGCGGGAATGCACTAATTGGGGAGACCTGGTTACATACCAAGGGACAGCGAGTCCATCAATTCCCATAAACTGGCGTCTCGCTGAGAGTGTTGCCACTCTTAAGGGCCTGGAGTCGGTCTTGATTAATGCCCTAGTACAGCGGAAATATGGAGAAGAGCCAAAGCCAGTCATCATCAACACCGACCATGCTCAGCTGTTCTTCATGTCATCGTTGATGCTTGAGATTAATCCGGACCTCAATGCGACTGTCACGCCAACGCCTATCCGTGACCTGACCGAGAAATATGCAAAGTACTTTCCAAACGGAGATCTACACCAGATGGCTTCATCACTATACCGACGCGCAACTTCTAACATCTACAAGACCAAAGATGGACGATGGTTTCACATTCATGGAAGTCTGAACCCGGATCCATCATTGGAAGGAGCTGGTCTTCCTAGAGATAAGCCTGAGCTTGTGACCTTGGAGGATTCCTGGGCTCCATTCATCGACCGAATAAGCCAAAAGACGGCAGAAGAATGGGATGATATCCTTGGAGAGAAATTCAGGCAAGCAGCCACGATCTGCTTGAGCTACGATGAGTACAGGAACAGTCCTCAAGGACAAGCAAACTCATCTGTCAACTTGTATCGAGTCACCAAGCATGCTGCCAGTCAGCAACCGAGCGGCTGGTGGCCGTCAACCAGTCAAACCAACGCCCATCGTCCACTTGCTGGATTGAAGATTGTCGACTTGACTCGCGTTATCGCAGGTCCTGCCATCGGTCGAGGTCTTGCAGAGCTCGGCGCCAGCGTCATGAGAGTCACAGCCTCACATCTGCCAGACTTCTCAGGCTTGCAGCCAGATTTGAACTGGGGCAAGTGGAATTGTAATCTAGATTTACGTCAGGCTGGCGATCGAGAAAAGCTAAAGGAGCTGATCATGGATGCCGACGTCGTGGTGAATGGATATCGGCCAGACGTGTTTGTCAAGTATGGGTTTGGTCAAGACCAGGTGTTCGAACTGGTCAAGCAGCGAGGTCGAGGAATCATCTACGTACGTGAGAACTGTTTTGGATGGGAAGGCCCCCTGTCGCACAGAAGTGGGTGGCAGCCTATAAGTGATGCTCATGCCGGCATCTCCATGGGCTATGGGCGAGCAATGGGAAATGATGAAGCCGTCACTCCTGTGTTCCCCAATTCCGACTACTGCACAGGAATTGCAGGCACATGCGGCGTGCTGGAGGCTTTGATGGAGCGCGCCCGCAGCGGTGGTTCGTATCTAGTGGACACTTCGCTCAACTATTATAACCAGTGGCTCGCCTCGACCGTTGGTGAGTACCCAGATGATGTCTGGAACGAGGTCTGGACTCGAAATGGTAAGGAGGTGTTTCGCCATTACCACAGCATGAACTTCACCATTCCTCGCTATCTTGCAATGATTCGAGAACAGAAGACTCTATTGAATCTCGATTTCTTCGAAACTCGCACATCCGACGCCTTGGAAGGCTTGACTTTCCGTGTCCCACGACCTATCATCCAATTTCCCCCAGATACTGTCAAGCTTGGCTATAATGTGGGGACAAGAGGAAATGGAGTAGACCAGGCGAGGTGGCCAGACGATCTCATGACAGGTGTCGTCAGATAGAATTCTTCCCAGCAGATAGCCTCACGAATCCAAAGCCAATTTGCTTGATCTATTCCAAAGGCGCCTCAGTAGTCTAAGTTAAGAGGGATATCTAAACGTGTGACGCCCGAGGAGCAACAAGAAGTACTAAGTACGTAGTCGCTGTCACAACTTTGGCTCCGCTGGGACAAAGTCAATGCTGACTTTATTATGCTCAGCCACCGAGAGCAACGAGCCCGTTTTCTTATCCTTCATCTCGCCACGAATCGTCGCGAGACGCGACCCTTGTTGCAGAACCTTGCACTCGATGACCAGATCCATGTCCTTGCGTACCGGTCGGAGATAGGTGATGAGCAAATTCCTCGACACACCACCAAACCACCAGAAATCCTTCCTGGCTAGCGGTGCCGCCGCCATAGTCGTGCACATGTCGTGGATCATGGCAACCGCGCCACCATGCATATTCCCCATACGATTCGTAAATGCCGGAGACGCCTTCATTTCAAACACTGCCGTCGTGCCCGCCGGAGTACTCGTTGCGCTGACCACCTTGATATGTTCACGCATAAAGGTCTCATCGAACCCCTGCCAATTGATTAGTTAGCATCATGGTCCTCTACAAAAATGTAGTGCCAAGCATGATATCAACATGAAATTCCGAAGAGGTTTCAAGGATCTCTCTGTACCTGTTGGTTTGGTGCTGCCGCATTTCGATATTCGTCAATATATGCCTGGATCCGGTCTTTGGGATCCGGCACGTCAATGTGAAATGCGAATCCTGGTATGCTCAACAGGTCTGTCGTATATCGTGGTGCCTTTTCGGCCTTCTTTGGTTCCCCCATGGCGAACAGCCAAAGGAGAGGGAGGCACTTCTATCTTCTTTGGGAATATGGCCGTGGCTGGGCGTCAATCCAGAACTACACAGATTCAAAACATCGGCCACTGGCCTTTTTAGGAATGAGACAACTCTCCAAGAATTTTACCCCAACTTTTTGACGACAGAAAGATGGTTTCAGACTTAGGCAAAGGCCGATCACACAGCTACTAGGTACTACTCACCTTGACTAGTCAATTTTTTGCTTCGACGAGGCCCCTCCGAGTCAGCGTCACTCTTCTCCTCACTCTCCTTCCAACATTGATTGAACCGCGGCGCCGAAGCTCGGCAGCATCCCAAAGCTTACAAGCTTGTTCTGACATGCCCGAGATGTGGGGGACTTTAGGGAGAGCTCGGCCGCTTGCTCTCGGCATCGTCATGGGGGGGCAGGCTGTTCTCATGGAAAGTGCATGAAAACACACGTGATCGGTACAGAGCATCCGAGGCACAAAAATGAAGATGAACCTAATTG